ATATATATGTACACTAACTAACTAATAGAAGCATAACTTATTTTATCTTTTGGAAAATTTTGGTTATCGACCGGTCATTGTATGCGTTAGAATTAATTGATCTATTAATAAAATAGTTAAACTTATAGGTTGTCATTTTGAAAAGAAAACATGTACGAAACTTAGGAAGGGTGGATATGTAGTACAAATTTATTGAATATTTTAGAGATTACTTGTATCAGAAACCTACAAAATAAATTTAAAAACTAATAGAAATCGTACGATGAAAATAATGAGTTGGTAATTTTTGTTTATTCATTAAAGAAATAGTCTACAAAGCAACCCTATTAAACCGTTTTAAAAATAATTATACTACCTGTAGTTTATTAAGTCGAGTACAATTTACAAGCCGTTACAACATTTTTTTTTTTTAATATTCAAAAACAACGGGAGCTAAATTAATTATTTGTAATGAAACTAATTTTTAATAAACTTATATTTTTATAACGTAAAAAAAATATATATATGCATAAATCTCCTTAATAAAAAGTTAAGAAACTTAAATTGGAAAACTTGATTTCGAAGAAGCCACATTATGTCTCGGTAAAAGCAATTCAGTTTTTTTCCTAAACGAAAATGCTGATTGCGCTTTCAGAAGGTAGCCGTTCGTTGATTTATTTTTTTTACGCGTTTTACCAGCTTGATAATCGGATTATTGATGTCTGAAGGTATTAAACTGAATTTATAATATTACCCAATCTGCGGTGCATACAAAACTGCGGGTCAGTATTAACTACGGGTATTCAATGGGTAAGTACATTGGACCAATAATTTAAATCTCCAGAGTTGACAACCTTCGAGAGCTTTGCGTGCACATTAACAAGCAAGCAAAGCGGATGAATATGTTTAAGAATAAAAGCTATAAGAGCAATTGCATAGCTGCACACGGCCATTGAGTATTTCAAGTATGACAAGGGTGCGAATTTACGTTACAACTTGTGCAAACGGTCTCTGCCATTAAGACAGTCTAACCGCAACTCGAATAATTGATAATGTCTGCTCTAGAATCCAGTCAATAATGCAAGCTGTGTGTGTTTGTGTGTGGCGTGTGCGCGTCATCAAACTTGGCTAATTTATTATCGAGGCAACACGTTTTGTCAGTTACCTACCAAAACCGCCGAAAACATCCATTAGGTAGTTCTACAGATACCGGAAGTAGTTCTTGGCTCGACCAACGAAAGTACATTGTATTGTTTTCACAAGGCTGTGTTTTGTAACAAGTTCAAAAGTCACATAAAACGTAAAACCGAAAAGGAACCTCTAGTCGGCATTTTCCAAAACTAACTGAGTTAGAACTATTTTTCGAATCTAGATTGGTTTTTTTGACCTGATACATCTTTGTAGCAAACAAAAAAATGCCTAAGCCATTGCACTTTGAAGTTTGCGAATGTTTTGGCCTGACCCGATTAAAACAAAAATATCAATTTAAAAAAATGAGCTTAGAATCAAATCAACTTTTTATCGCTTATAGTTTATGAGAAATTTGAAAATTATCCGTTTATAAGATGTAACAAGCCTGTATAATTATCTTATATTAAAGCTAAGACAAACGTCTATCTTCTCACTGTTGGTGTGTAGCAATTTGTGTTTATTCCTATTCACAACAAGCTCTTAAAGTTATCAAAATCAAGTTTTTTTTTCATTTCAATTACCATAGAAAGTAAAAAATTTAATTGAATATAGAGTTAGAGGTGTTTTGTAAAGCTTGTGTATTAATATGTTACATAGACTGTAGTTATATTTTCTACTTTTGACTAAACTGAAATATATTGAAACATATTTTCATTCCGAATTAGTATTATTATATTCATTAATGTTATTATAAAATCCAAACAACATGTGCCCTTTTCAAGTGTTGAGTGTCTTTTATACAAATCATGGGAAAGTGTTTGTATAAAGCAAGCAAGAAATCGTGCAAACCTTATAACAAAAACTAACATCAGTGGTAATACAGTAGCGACAGCTGCGAATAATATTTTTATCTCTTTCTACCATTTTTTATAAGGTTCTTTTTATACATACATACATATATATATATATATATATATATATATATATATATATATCTTGTGGCTGCTGTTTGTATTGTGCTTTTAATTTTGCTCGGTCGAATACTGCAGCCGGAGTTAAGTACATATAATGTATAGACCCTCAAGCAAGCCTTTTTCATTATATTATACACTATAGAATCTCGAGGACGATGTAGGTTTATCATATTACACTGATAGTAACATAATATATATAGATACAAAAAAAAAATGACCCCGAAGAGCAAGTAAAAGAAAAATAACGGTAGATATGAGTTTTTTTGGCTACTCAACTAAGTTATGTCGGAAACGGACTTTTTGTTTTTTTCAGCTAATAAAAAAAAACGAATCTATCTTGCCAATTACATTGACGAGCTGATGTGATGTAAATTGCTTTGGACAGAAGGCATGCAATTGAAGTGTACTAAGAACTTTTAATCTCCACGCAGAACAATGCCAGAAAATATTCTTTTGGTGAACTTGAACATAAGAAACTAACCATAATATGTCTTTTGAACATACTTTGTCTGTTATTAATAACAATTATTCATTTTCAAAAAAACAAAATCTGGAGTATAATTTAGTTTATCAATATGAAATGTAATAATATAGTTTAGTCGATTCACGAAATTTATTTGTTGCTCTACTTAAAATTGAAAGTCTTCCACCGATTTGACGATGTTATTCGATTTTCTGTCTTATTATACCAAGCTAAATGTTGTATATTTTTCTAAGGTTTTTTTCCCTTGGCACTGCAAATAAGAAAAGATTATTGTGATTTCCCGCGTCGGAGCAAGACTATATTATTTTCTTTCTCTTAACGTTCGCCCGCATGTGTATAAGAAGCCATCAATGACCTAGTTTTGAATGGCTAGCAACGCATAGAAGCGTTGCTGCGTTACCACTCGCTCGCCTACGGTTTCCCAATTATCTCAAACATCAATATATTATATATTTTGGAAAAATTATGTTCTAAAACTTCGTGTCTATTTTTAATACCAAAAAGTTGCGGTTTAAAGTATTATATCTACAATTAAAACGAACACATTCATCATACTACAGAAGCGGTCGCCCTTATATTACATGATTTTCCAACAGTTCAAAATCATTTATTCGACGCAAACCTTAGAAAGTATTATTTTTACAATGATATACATTATTTTTGTTTCTGGACCCACAATATTTTCAAAACCGCTGAATCGATTTCTTTGTGTAGGAAGATTACATTAGATCAGGAATCGCAACCAAAAGGTCGGTTCAAAAACTTAAATGTTTACCCTTCGCCCTACAAAATCGAGAAAAACGCTAAATAATGTACATATTCTTCGATATACATTGACAAACCAAAGAAAAAAATTGCAGAAACCCATATACCCTTATAAATGGTGGAATACTTTTTATTTATTTCACTTTTAATTCCTACCGTCTTGTGATTTCATACCGACCTCACTATAAAGTATAAAAGCAATACTGTGCTTATTAACTAACTATTTGATTTGATTTTTTTTTTTTTTGTTATCACAATAAAAATAACCAAGTATTAATTGAGTTAAGGCGTGTAAAGCAAAAAAAAAAAATGAGTTAAAGTGTTTTTCTCGATTTTAACGCAAAAGGAGTTATTTTCCAATACAAATATTTTATCTTGATAATTATTTAGATACTATTTTATTCCAACATACTTACCCAAATTGTTATGCATTCTTATTTAATTTACGCCATCTGCTGTGATTTTTGTGTGTATAGTGAAATAAATCAATAATATTACATAACGGTACAACATAGAACCGTCACCTATAATAACAATTTTCTATTAACAATGCATGCATTTGTAAATGTATCTGATGAGTTTTCATTAACATTAGAAAGAGCTGACTTTCTGAATTTATAATATTTTACTCATTATGATCAAAATGATTCGCATGCCAGGTGTGTAGTCTTACATCAAACCACATGCAAAACTAATTTAATCATGCAAACAATGTATACTATGAGGAATTATTGATAATTTGTTTTCTTTTATAAGTTTTAACTTCTATTTACAAACTGTCATCATAATCCAAGTGAATAGTGATCATACATACTTCTTGTTGTAAAACCAATATCATAGAACAGACTTAATATCAAAGTATGTTTTTTTAGCCAATTTATCCTCGGTTCAGCATCGAAATGTATAAATAAAATTTGTGTAAATGCAAACGTCTGATTAAAAATTTAAATGACATAACGCAAAGACAATAAAAAAATCAAATAGTTAAGGGAATTGCATTGGAATAATTTTATAGGTAATAGGACATCTACCTGTTTGCCAAGAAAGTATAAACGAAGTGATGACAGCTGTATATTATATTAAAGCGAATTGAAAAAATGCAATAATGATATTAAATTGATTGGCAGTAAGGAAAAGCGACGGAAAACTAGAAAAGAATGAATTGAAAAAATAAGTTTATTTTTAATTACAATTTTCAAGAACTCTGATTCATGCGGTCTCTATCAAAATGCTTGTATTTTATTTGAAATGTAAACATTTCTACCGCTCTTCAATAAAAAAATATTGACGGTAGTTTATTTTCCCACTAATATAGATCTATATTAGTATAACATGCACTATAGATCTTTTACTTTTAAAAAATATTTTTGACATTACTCATTACTTACAATATAATAACAATTTATAATAATTATTATTTTTTCATATTACATTAATTTATATTATACAAACAATATATTATGTATATAAACACCATATTATTTACAAACTCTTTATTCTGGTTATTTTTTTTATTGTTTACCGCCTACCGGTATAATACCTATTGAAGTCGAAGCGCGAGCAACACTCATAATTCTTATCACTAATGAACACAAGCCGGTATGAAGATAGCGGTTGAAAACGATAACCTCAAAATATAAACCTAAAACGATTTAATTTATCTATATTTATGTTATAGAATCTAGATAATTGAGTCTTCAGTCTAGTGGAGTTAGGTAAATATTAAAAATTCGTCGTAAACGCTCAAAACCCTTCAAAATAATATTTATTCTATTATTGAAACCGTTTTCTTTTAAACCTATGTTTATTGGTATCATACTATTTGTTTAAAATCGAAATACCTATTATGGCGTTACACATTCCGAGAGCGCCGGGCTTTGCCCAAATGTTAAAAGATGGTGCAATGGTATGTATTCAACAACAATTTTAATAATCTGAAACCTTTAATTATTTCAATCGCATTATTTTAATAATCTCGTTTTGCCAACCTTCCCGGTCTGGTCGTAGCATCTCTCCGGTCTTGAAGAAGCCGTGTACCGTAACATAGCGGCGTGCAAAGAGTTTGCGGGAACGGTTAAAACGGCGTACGGTCCGAACGGCATGAATAAAATTGTCATTAACCACATTGACAAAACGTTTATCACCAACGATGCGGCCACCATCGTCAAAGAACTTGATGTACGTAGTAATTTCGTATAGAACACACCCTTAAATGTGTTAATTATTTCTTTTAATACGTTTTAACAGGTCGAACATCCAGCTGCTAAACTCATAGTAATGGCCTCTGAAATACAAGAACAAGAAGTCGGCGATGGCACAAACTTTGTTATAATATTGGCCGGAGCTCTACTCGAGCAAGCCGAAAAATTATTAAAAATGGTTAGTTAGTTTGTTGTTGTTTTTTTTTTTAATTTACCAAATCCTTGCTAATAAAATTACAATACAATGCATTTTAGGGTTTAACTCCAGTCGAAGTATGTGAAGGCTATCAGGTCGCACTTGGGAAAGCCATTGAAATTTTGCCCTCGTTGACGTGCCATGAGGTTAAAGATATCAAAAGTAATTCAGGCAAAGAAGCGTTAGGACAAGCTGTAAAATCATCGATTATGAGTAAACAATACGGCCAGGAAGAGTTTATCTCTAATCTTGTGCTTGAAGCATGTTGTAAGTGTAATTGGCAAAACTATTTTACTGGGTGTCTTTTTTTGTGAAATATTTTTTTTTAACAAAAGTACTTTTGTGCCAATTTCAAATCTAAGAAAAAAGATAGATGCACGAAAGCAGTTATTAAGTTACAGACGCTTAGAGTGGCCATATTTTGCACAACGGTCCATTCCGCATTGTGGTTGTTTTTTTTATTTAATACTATGGCAATAAAAACAACAATAATTTAATCTAAAAACAAATTTTTTATTCATTAATTATTCTTTAAATAATAACAAGTTAAGTTAATTTATAATATTATATTAAAAGAGGTTGACCATTTAGAGTAAAAATATCTAGTTCCATTCCAACACCCATATATGAATATGAGTGAATTTGTCTTAAAAAGTGTCTTAGATAAAATTAAACTTTTGACTTTTAAATTCTTGATAAATATGTAATATGTGTCCTACATTATATTACTGTATAAAAAAACAGGTATTAGATAAGTTTGAAACTTTTTTGAAAATTTTAAAAGCAAAAATTCAAGTTAAACTTTATGTTTAAATAATAACATTAAACTTGCTCACGAGTATATTTTAATATAAGGTACAGCTTTTTTCTTTCAGCGTCAATCTTGCCCGAGAAAACCACATTTAATGTAGACAACATCAGAGTGTGCAAAATTTTGGTAAATTACATATTAAAATAATTGTTTATTCTGTAAATAATTTTCTCTTGTAACAGGGTTCGAACTTATACAATTCAACCGTTGTCAATGGTATGGTATTTAAACGTACAAACGAAGGAGACATTACAAAACAAACAAACGCTAAAATTGCTGTATATACGTGTCCAATCGACATAACTACTACGGAAACAAAAGTATTCAATTTTTTACTACTGTTGGGTAAAAAAAAACTAAAGTATTCTTATTTGGAAATTTTGTTTTTTTTTTGTTTTAGGGTACTGTTCTTATTAAATCGGCGGACGAGTTACAAAACTTCAGCCGTGGCGAAGAAATGGTACTCGAAGAACAAATAAAAGCCATAGCCGATGCTGGTGTCACGGTTATCGTTGCCGGAGGGAAATTTGGCGACATGGCGTTACACTATTTGAATAAATACAAAATTATGGGCGTTCGTCTAATGAGCAAGTTTGATTTGAGACGGCTATGTAAAGCTGTATCGGCAACAGCGCTGCCCAGACTTGTAAGTTTGCGTAAACTTACATGTCAATGAGTTATATTGGTAAATTTGTTTTTTCTTATGTTTGCTTAGACACCGCCAAACAAAGAAGAACTTGGATTTGCAGACTGTGTTTATGTCGATGAACTAGGCGATACGTCTTTAGTGGTTTTTCGTTTAGACGGTAAAGATTCGCGAATGGCCACGATCGTTGTACGTGGAGCCACTGACAACTTTATGGACGACATCGAAAGAGCTATTGACGACGGTGTCAACACATTTAAAGGAGTTACTAGAGTACGCAATGGTTGAAATATTAATAATAGGTACTCGGTTGATTTGTATTTGTCGATCGGCTTTAAAACCTATTGTTTACAGGACGGAAGATTGTTACCAGGAGCTGGTGCCACTGAAATGGAACTCGCTTATCAGATTAGTCAGTTTGCCGACACATTACCAGGGTTGGAACAGTATGCAGCTAATCGTTTCGCAATCGCTTTAGAAGGTTTTGTACAAATTTTAGCCGACAACACTGGTGTAAAATCGAATGAAACATTAGCTGAACTGTATTCCCAACATAGTAAGCTCAACAAAAATGCAGGTTTCAACATCGAGGTGAATAAAAATTTTTTTTTTAATGACTTAGTCTCACGTTACTGTATTTTCCTTTTTTTTTTTTAAATATGAAGGCTAGCGGATCATCTTTGTTGGATGTAGTCAAAGCTGGAATAGTTGACTCGTACTTCGTAAAGTATTGGGGTTTAAAGTATGCAACGCAAGCGGCTTGTACAATATTGAAAGTCGATCAAATTATTATGGCTAAGCGAGCGGGAGGCCCAAGAGCCCCTGGTGGTCGCGCACCCGACAACGATGACGATGCTTAATCTTTTTGATGTTATATGTTTTCTCACTGATTCGAGTTACTAATTTAATTTTTTTTTATACTAATAATAGTATTAACATAATATGTAATTTTTTTTTTTTTTAATGTAAAGTATCTATTTTTGAAAAAATACATTTTTAATAAAAACACAAAATTTGATTTGTCACTTAAATTTAATTCCTATCTACGCAATTTCTTATATATGTATATTTTTTTTTGACTAGGCGTTTCTTTACGATTTAATAATTTATTTTTTGCCGAATTAATAGCTAAATTTGTAAGTTGGATATATTTTGCTTTCAAGTTTCATCATTGTATTATTTTTCAATTCTATAAGATTCCTTATGCCAATCCATTTAACATTTTATATGGCGGCTTTATGTAATTGGGATGACACCGTTATAGAAAGTAAAATGTAATATGTCCTATACGTAAGTCTAACAGACTTGCCGTATTGCAAATATCTCAAAAGTAAATCTTGTTAAGGCGACTTGTCATCAAATAGGTCCCTTAGATGCTGATAAATCCCCAAAAAGCTCGGTTTGAATTAAATTAATCACAATATTCTATCCGTTTTGGTCTCTGGTGAATGAACATTTATATTGCATTTCGGAAACCCATTTTAAAATATTAACGTCCCGTGGAATTACATAATCCAAAATAACGTTTTTTATCGGATAAACGTCAATGGTATTTCGATCCAAACAGTATTTATACACTTTGGGTCTGAAAAAGCCAATTTCACTTTTTGTAACTTTGAGGTAGGTTTGTGATCACACTTGTTTTGCTAAAGAGAGCTAAAATAATTAAAAACAAAAGTAAAACACAAAGATTTTTGTTTATTAATCGTCTAGTTCACAGTAATTTCTACGAAATAGAAAGCAACATCTCTTGACAACCATAGTTAGGTAAGTAGGTACTGCTTTCGAGGTAGGTAGAGTTTAAAAACAGTACCCTTAGGAAAATATCGACATTTGAAGGATTTATGTAAAAGAAAATAGTTACAACAAGAACGAGCGTTAGGTATTTTTCAAAACAAAGTTCAACTACTGCAATAATACATATAGGTAATATATGTAATTATTTAGCTTTTGTTGTAGACAATTTTGTTGTCGACATAAACGGAAACCGTATCCTTAATTTCCACACCGTCGTCTTCGTCGACAAATCTAATAGTCGAATCGTTGGCATACTCAGACTTGTGTTTCTCTTTGCCAAACGGTCCGGCCCTGTTCGGCGACGCTTCGAGCGTGTTCAACGATACGCAGTCTTCGCCGACCAACGTGGACTCGCTGTCCGCCGACAACCTGTTGTCGGACTTGCCGCTGATCTCGCAGTTCCTTTTGCACTTGTCGCTTTTACTACTGTCCAACACGGACATCTCAATGGTCTCGCGGTGCTCCGCGCCGGGACTCCGGTCCGACAACGGCGGTATCCAAAGACAATAAGCCGGATCCATCCCTATGTAAGATCCCGGCACGCTGCTGGTGTTGTGCACGTTGTAATCGTAGTAGTCCATTTCCAAGTCGGACACGTCATGGCCGTGGATACTCGAATCCGTGCTGCTGTTCAACGGATTGTGCAGCCTCCGACCTCTTTGTCTGCGGTTCAAACTCGAAGTCGATTGCACCATCTGCGGGTAATAAAAAAAAAACAAAAGTAGTAAGTCCTATAAACGGACACACAAACGGATGATTTCGTCAGTGTTTCGCCACTAGGTTAACGTTAATAATTATTGAAAAATACTAACGGTTTGACGGGACGACAGCGACGATTGTGACTCGAAAAGTGCACAAGAACGTTTGGCCGGTGAACGGGTGACCGAATGATCTGGTATGTTTTCCGTTTCACTCCTAAACAAAGACAGCACGGTACAGGTATAAGAAACTAAACGCTTGTTGTACGGGTACACACTTGGCTACGGAATCGTTATCTCTTTCTATCTCGTCTTGATTGTTGTTCAAGCTCACAGCTTCATTCCTCGACAGTGCTTGTGACTGTATCGATGTCGTGGATGTCATGTGATCGTTTTCAATCAACATGCTCTGCGCCGAACCAACTGGAAAATGCATACAACTCGAATAACATTTCATGTTTGGCAATTCGTCATAAAAACGTGTGGCTACTTACTCGATTGCTTGTCCACCGTTGTCGCTTTGTGGTACTTATGTTTGCGTTCGGCAAACTGTAAAGTGAAGCACACACAAGTAAAGACCAAAAACAATATAACTGCCGAGATGGTGGCTAGAAATGTATCAATATGTGATATTATGATTAGAACTTTGTCTTTGAAATGAACGTGACTGAAATCCGTCAAATTCAAATGATTCGCCTCTGAAATGAAAAAAAGAAACATTACTTATAGATATTTAAAAATACATTTTTACATTTGTAATTTTTTTTTTTTTAACCTGTTCGGCTTATTACGGCCAAAAATCCACCTGAACATTCATCACTCGATGATAAAGCAGGCTTTGAAAAAAATTCCAAAAGCATATTTGTACTCGTCGATCTGATTGATCTAAGCAAACTCGAAGCGCCCTCGTAATGGGCTAAAAGATCAGAAGCTGTAGAGTCACCGTCTCGAAGTTTTACCCATTGTTCCGGACATGACAAAAATAGTCTTGCGAAATTAATTCGAATAATTGTATCGTCATAAGTCTGGAAAATATTTTATTCACATATTATACTGCACAATGCGCACGATACGTTAAAAAAAAACAACAAATCAAACCTTTATCAACCACAGTGAGCGCCCAGGACAAGTTTTCGTTGAAGCCCGCAACGTTCGGATTTCTTTCGACATATGAATTACACAACCACATCGGCATTCTTCAGGAAGATCTTCATTCCCAATTTCACCATACATAATGACTGTGTCCGACTGATTTCCAGAAGGTGTAATTTGTTGTTCGACCTTTTCGCATTCTTTACCATACAATTCTTTTTCACCGCATTTTTCCGTTTCTAAAGACGGACCCTAAACAAATATTCAGGTCTTTCAACTTTCAAGCACCAAATTGTCAAACACACAGACATTTTTTTCTAATTTCTGTTTATAAACTTTATTGTGTAAATCAAATGTACCTGACAAAATTTAGCTCCATATTTCGGTGGCGGCGAATCACAAGTCCTGTACCGATTTCTCGTCCCGCCGTAACATGTGGTCGAACACGGTGACCATTCGCTCCATTTACTCCATTGTCCAGAATCGCTGTCTAACATAGGACAAAATTCGCATGATATATTTTAAAGAATTTCAGTCGTTAAGAATGAATAGTATTTAGGTCTTAGGGCTCTAAATGTAATCTTAGCAATTGGCAAGTCTGGAGTACTGGCCTTTTAGACCCAGTAGATAATAACATATATATAATGCTGAGATGCACAAAACTTAATTGGTACCATAAACCGTGTTTGGACCAAACACAATGCTCTATAATAAAGAGTTTATGGAACCAATAAAGTTTTATGCGATCCAGCGCTAAAGCTTTACTAGGGATGTAGAGAAAGCATTACAATGCTTTGAATAGCACCCACTTTCCTACCCTGAAATAATTACAACGCATATAATTTATTCTGAAAAAAGGATGTTGTTTTATTTTTTCCACATTTATACCTAATATAATTAATATATGTTGAAGCACAACAGTTAGGCTAGTTTTTAAATTATTAATTGTAACCTTTAACTTAATTAGTCATACATGAAGTCTCAGCTTACCAACGGATCCACTCATTTTGAAAGCCCGCATCGGATGGTTACAAGACCCTGATGACACGTTTTCGTGATACATTTCAATTCAACTTTGTTTTCCTAATTAAACATTCCGAGGAGCTCCCGATTTGGATCCTTTGGATTTTGCCATTCCTAAGTCCTAACCTATCCTAGTAGCCCGCAAACTCCAAGGATGCAGCTATAAATAACTATAAATGAAGTCTAATGAAACTACTTTTTCAATTCAAATGCACGCTACCAAGAGGGTTCAAATTGGGACAAAAGCATAAAGCTTTGAAGTCCTGTAATCTCCTCCCGTAATGGGATTCCTACCGTGCCAATTTAGAGGGCTTTGTCAGTAAACCTGGATTTCAAATGTGTTGCTTAAGCCCGAGGTAGAATCATGTTATTCCCGTCTCGTTTACCGCCCCGGTGGTTTACAAGACCGCAGCTTGCGGATACCGTCTTACCTGTAATCGGTAACGTGGGAACGCATTGCGTCTTTATGTTTGTATACGCCTTGTTTATCGCTTGGTTTACGTACACGAAACAGTATTCTATGTACTTTTCGGAGAACAGCTCGCAATCAAAGTACACATTGTGCCGGCCTTTGTCTATTCGGTGTTCGGAAATGTAGTGCAACTTGGTAGGCGGCAACAGGGTGGAAACGTTATCCCGCAATCGTCCGAACAGTCTCACCTGCGAAGAAAAAACGATTCGGCCCATTCAAAACAACAACATTCTCCAACCTGCACACACGAGTCAGGTCTCGGGTCAGGTAAAATTAATTACTTTGTCGGCCGAGGGTAAGATACACGACGGATAGTGGAAGTCTATGGGGACGCCTCCGCCGTAGTTGTCGCAGGGGAAAATCGATTTACCGTGCACGTTCAGCGTGAATTTATTGTTTGCCACCACCTATACATAAGCATACAGTATACAGTAGGTAAAACAACGCAGCAGAACAACTTCAATAATATATTAGAGACCGCATGGTATAATATTTATACACTACCTCCAATTGTTCGTGAGCGGCTGCGGAAGCCACGGCGACCGCTTGACGCTCGGGCGGCCTAAGTACAGCCGAATAGAAACCAGCGATACCGAAAGAGTCGCAATTTATCAACACTTTCCTGAACTTAGAATATCCGCGAATTTGCTCTGAGTGGACTATCTGCAAGCCAACAAAATAAAGTATGTTAAAACGGCGCAATTGACGCCATCTACAAGCACCAGCGGTGAGTTAACCACGGATAAAGCGGTATACTCAAAGAAATTTATATTCAGATCTGGACCAACAGTAGGGCGACAAATATGACTTCAAAATGTTGTCACTTGCCGAAAACATATTTACTTTTCGAATGGGTTGTGTGAATGTTAGTTCAATCTTAAACGAATCAATAGGCATTTATCGGCCTATAATTGCACCAAATGTAGTGAAATAATACCCTTTCCCTTTTCAAGATTTAAGTCTAATTGCGCCAATGAGCCGCGAAATTGAGTGCCCTCGAGAGGTTCAAAAATGAATCCAAGAACAATAAGATGTACATCATCAAAACACCTTTTAAGCCCACCTTTAAATTCATCGTCGCTAAAATAGGTTTACTAAATTCATCAAAGGGGAGAGGCAAAGTAGAAAGGATTTCAAGAATTTTCCCAACATCATTGAAACCATTTCACCTGCCACCTTAGAATTGATCTAGGGACGCCCTTGGTCTAAAGGCCGTATAGCACTATGAACTTACCAAGTGCTCGACGGAATCGCGAGGAGACGCGACTCTAGAGACGTTATTGCAAGCAACCGCCGTCAAACCACAGTACATCACGTCCAACCACAGCACGGGCACTGCTGAACCGACGGCTGGTTCACATTGTGGCTCTTCGAACCTCACCACGACCACGACTTGTTGCCAGGGTTCGGGATACGTTGTAATGCGTTTCGGTTCAAACGACAGACTAGCCGACGGCCACCGAACATCGAGTTCGACGGTATTGTCCTGTTTTACAATACACAACGTTAAACAAAACATGTTAATTTAATCCCAAAAGAACTGAGAGTAGTGACAACTGCACCACACCAGAGCGCATGGAAAAGAGTGCGCCGAGAAACTCTTCTGCTTCAGAAATGAGTCGAAATGCCGAACCCCAATTGAGATGACCGTCGTGCACACTACTCTCAGTTCTCTCGAGACATTCTTTGACATAATATTATATTGTTCAGTGTAATTCTTACCTCGTTCAAATCTTCCTCCGTGTTCGAGACATCCGTCGCCGAGCCGTTGGATATCAACTGAAGGGCGTAGCGTCCACCTTTGGTGATGACGCCACAGTGTATGGTAACGTTGGAAGGCCAATTTTCGTCGACTGGTATCGTTCCCATCAACGTGTAATTGTTGTCGTTTTTCACTTCGTATAGCTGTACGACAGAACCTGGTTCCATCAGCTCTATGCTCAGGTCGCTTTTCAGTGCAGTGTAATCCGACGTCACGTTTAGCCATTGATCTTGAGTCACCGACCTCGCTAAAACCGACGAAACCGCATGTAGATTGCAAGTGCATCAAATAATCAATTACAGGAACAATATTATCAAAATGTTTTATTATGACAGGGCAGAACAGGTAAAAAAAAAAGGGTTTTAAGGGTAGATTTAAAGGGCAACCTTTAAAAGAAAATAGTTATTTACATAGTTGATTTGTTTATTAAAACTAAAATATTATAATGAAAATAATGACTATTGAATAACCAATTTTGAATAAATACTTTTTTTTAGTTATTTGAAGATAAAAATAGTAGGAAGAAATTGCGTATAATATTTATATTTTCATCCACGCACAATGTACTCTTTTCTACAACCCAAAAAACATTTAATTTTATTAAAAAATGGTTATCAAACTAATTATTATTTTCTATTCTGTATTTAATAAATAAATAAAATATGTAGGCCACTCTTTGAATTTTGGATGTTACCCTATGAAACTACCCTTAAAATTTTAAACTTATAATTAAAAATAATACAAATTTTATCTGAAACTTGTAAAATAATTATACATTCATAGAAAAAATGACTGTATTTATTAAGTTCTGCATATTATAATTAATAATTATTATAAAATATACATTTATAAATTGACTAAATGAAGCCACAAAATAATTCATTACATAATGCCTTAGGTAACATATAGGTATAACAGTAAATAAGAAAATATCATATATTCTATAAGAGGTTACGTGACTATGTCTGGTAAGTTATAGTAAGTATATATACAGATAATATTGAATATAAGTATTATATTTCACAAGGGCGAACTATTTGCACCCGTTGGCCGTTCGTGTGTTTAAAAATACATGCTAAATATTAAGGATAATTATTTTTACCAATATATTCTTGTCGGGTAAGTTAAAATTGTTTTTTACAATGTAATAACTTAAAACTGTATTCGGTAAGAATGATATTATGTTGGTGGACAATAGTTAATGTAGTTCCTGATTTTATGATATTATCTCCAAAGTCCCAATAGGTATTACAATAGGGTTCAATTTATTTTCAATCAATTACCAAGTAACAAAATTACACTACTATGGTAAAAGTATGTAACTATTGAATTTTTTTTAAAAATTGGTTACTTTGTACTTAGCTTAGTGAAACAACATATGTTTTGTACGTAAAAAATGTCTCACAAGATGCACTTTTCGGAAAAACTAAGCAATTTTAGCGTAAAAGTACATACATAAAAAAATTAAATTATCAAACCTTTATCTAAATTTTGACACGGGTGATTTTCGATTAAAAAAAATGTTTTGACAAAAGTTATAAGCTTTTGTAAATTTACTCCTAACACTTAAGGGATAGATGGAAAGCAATGGTTTTGGAGGTTGGTGCGGTGTACCCGCTGGTTATTTCCTATATTTAACTATAATATAGTAAATACGTATTTGATTAGTCTAATAAAAACGCACATAATCGTTTTTAAGAAGCCCCCACATTTTGTATTTCTCCTACGAATAAAAAATTAGGGAAGGGTACTTTGTTATTTATTATTAAGCACATTATATTCGTCCATTAGATTACTGTAATAACGGCGTCGCGTGTTTAAACACCTTTGCAAGTTTTTCTCAAATCCACTAAGGTCACACGAACACACATAAATATATTGATCGTATCTTATATACCCTCGGGTTAGAGATGAATGAACTATTAAACATGTACCTACACACCTATGTACCATTTACCGACTAAACTTATACATAAATAATTACAGTTTTGTAGTTTTTATTTTTGGAGACATTTTAGTCAATGTCATTTTACAATGTTCAAATTTTATATCTTATTTTAGAAAATTCTTGAATTTTATCAACTGTTGAAACTTAAACGGTAACGTATACATTTTATTCATTTTTTTAATTCCTAATAATTTACTAAGACATTTTAACTGATCGGTATCCAAGTTTTAATGATTATTTAGTTATTAAAGTTTAAAATTTAGGATAGGGGAAGGGTGGAGTGAAGTATTACATTTATCTACGCGCATACCGACCACACTCCACCCCTGTCTTAAATTTTAGACTTTAATAAATAATAACTTATATAAGTTAACCAGTCAAAATTTTCAACAAATTATTCTAGATTAAAAAAATGTAATTAAATATGTACCAATATCCAAAAATTTGATAGAGCTCTGGAAAATTCTAAAAAATAAATTATTTAGTAGTTTTTTATAATATTGTAAAATAACATAAGTATAAAAGAAAAACTAAAAAATGCAATTATTTTAGAGACATTGACTGTCTTGCGTTCAATGGATCTCATAACATATATTATACTTCTCATAAATATTGCATAGCATAATATTATGCATAATATATAACATTCATATGTGCAACTAGAAAAACCCCCAAGAAAACGTACCTATAGTACACATCTCCTGACATTTGTTTTTTATCGCATACATTCTGTTCGTGTACACAGTTTTGTGAAAGAAATAAGTGCCTATTCATTCATCATAAGTACCTTTGTTTACAGAAAGTAGTCGAGTTTTCTACAAATATATATTTTTTTTTCTGTTAAAACATAAGCCCTATTAACAAAAGAATTTATAATAACACGGTGTGTACATAGTTTGTAATAATAAATAAATTGGTACCGTATCCACTTATCAAACAAGGGTGGCAAGCTAAAATTCAAGTGTCTGCCTCCACCAGTTAGTACCTAAGTATACAAATTGAAACCCATACTAGCACAAAAAATTCAGGCAAAGCAGAGCCATTACATCCACTGCTTAAACTGTACAAAGTTACTTTTCTTAACTAGTTTAAGACAGTTAATTTAAATAAAATTGTTTTTTTAATATTCTAGATGAAAAAAATAATATAGCAAAATCGAAAAAAATATTGTAGAAATAGATTTACAATAAATGTATGAACATTTAAATGTTCTTCCTGAAAAGTTTATGTATTTGACTTATCTTATCTCTTTCGACTAAACACCGAAAACACAACATAACATAATGTTTTGTATAGTTTACTATACAAAACAAGATAATACTAAGCATTTGAAATCGGTACAAAAAAATAAAAAATACTTACCGACCAACAATATCAATATGACAAAATACTGATTGAAGAGTATTCTGTCGGGACGGTATCCGTTCATCGTTTTTGAGTGTCAAGTACAACCTATTAATATTGAAAACAAAATAGATGAGATCAAATTAAATAGCATATTAGATTCCTAGTATACCAGAATACATTTATTGTATCAGAACGGATACTTATGTAAAAGTTAATCCACATAGCAAATATGTATAATATAATATATTTTATTGAACAATTATAATTGACACCGATATTTAATATAATATTGTAAGGAATTTTTATATCGTGTTTTTTGCAAGACATCAAATATTAATAAATAACACAAACGTTTCAAAAATATTTCCATACTATGATTACAATCTTTCATAAAACTTCGGAAAAATTGTATTATTATATTATATTAAAAATGTTCACCAAAGCTCGAGACGAAAAACATTTATTGATGTGTCGATTTTATACATACGATATTATAATATGAGATCTACGCGTGCGAATTATACTTTTAGAACATTACATTTTATATCGTGGTATTATGCGTTTGCTTTTACTAATGTATTAAAAACCCCATAAGGGTCTTTATTATAATAAAATATAAATAATAATAATTTATAGTGTTGTTACCTCAGAATATAATGATGATGTTTTCGGTCGCCGTTAGATTCATATCGAGTGTAATATATTGTTGTGTAATAATACGCTTATTTAGAATAAAGGTTTAAAGTGAAAACAAAAAACAGGCTAATTAATTTTTGCATGGTAGGTACGAATGTAGTCTAATGGAACTAAATTGTTTAACAATAATCATCAAAAAAACAAAACAATAATGAACAATAACAAAACGACCGCGGTGTCTATTGCACTATAAGTTTTCAACAAAAAAATATATATACATTTTCTAGTTAAAATAACAGCCCACGCGAACGCCGTATCACGACTGGCGCACAGACAGGGTGTTCGACCCCTATAATTTTTCCCTCTTTGGGGTTTTCACCCTCGGCAGAGAACATATAGTGGAGAGCGCGACCTCGCGGACCTTTGCCAAGACTTTTATCGACTCGGCGCATCCCCATTGTTGGTTTTTATTGCTTTTCCAGACAGATCCGTAACGCACATTTATTACAACATAATAACCATTCATCTCCGATCAAATATTTAACCGTAAAACCCTTGTACACAACGACCGTTGCAATACCCCGCCTGAGATGTATACCTACTTACACGGTGGCAGAGGAAGTCTGAGATTCACGTGGTCCGACAATAAAAAAAATATCGAATTTTCGTTGAAAGCCGGCGTATAATTTATTCAATATACTTATAAACTGCCAAATACAAGCAGCACTTTTATTATATTATGTGCTGCGCCTTCATGCGTATAAGCGATGCGTTCCTATATACACAGCGGATAAATGAGTTGTAGACTTTATAAAGTAATAACTTCTGCTCCGACGAACAGCTATCTGCCTGTTGCCACTATGTAAACATGTAACGTTTAATGCAAATTTCGTTGGATTTAAGCCCGGCGGGGCTTACGGGTCATAAAAAATTATTCTAACTGAATAAAAAAAAAAAACGCTTAGATGCGAAGCAATGCTGGAAAAATCTGTAAAAGCTATAATGTGCTTAAGAGAATGCTTTAAACGAAAATAATCGTTTAAACGTGTTTATGGAAAAGTGTGTGTAGGTCAATGCGCAGTGATGGTAGAAAACAAATTTTGATACCGTTAAAAAGACAAGACATTTAGCTAGGTACTCTTGTCGGGTTTTTTTAGAAAACTTAAATTTTACCTTATATACAAGCACTTAAAAGAGTAAAAGAATGTTAGAATAAAATTATTAATTGTCAGTGTTGGGTTGATATTATTGATATTTTTAATTATTACGCATCACAGTTTAACCTTTAAATTAAAATTTTGCAAAAAATTCCCTGTACATTATTCGCACACAGCAACTTAGAAATTTACAACGTCCAAAGTGCAGTTTTTTCCTTTATAAGAAAAAAGTTTGAAAGATTATTAAGAAAAGCGTTTATGTCATAGTCCCAATCTAGATCTACCATTAGGCTTCTTGTAGCACGCTATAATTGTAAGTTGAAAAATATGTTAGTTTTTTTCAATTTTAAAGGGCAAGGGGTAAACATCTAAAATATTTCACTCAATAAAGTACCCGTCAGGTACGATTTTAAACTTTTATATAAACTTACTACACGCAGAATTCGGTTCAGCGATTTAAAAAATACAGTGGATCGTTAAACGTTACGTTACTTGAAGACAGTAGCTAGCCTTAAGTCTTAAAATAAAGCTATCGTATGTGTAACTTATAAAAATATATTAACACTTTTTTGAGACAAGAAATTGGAAAAAAAGAAAAACAAGGTTAAAGAACATTAAAATATGTTACCATTTATTGCAGTTCCAACAGTATCACTTGCTGACTTAGAGCAAAACCATCCATAAAGAGACATTATTCGATATTCAATTTTTAAATATTTAACAACAATTACTTATACCTTTTTTTTTTCTTCTTATAACTGCATTAAAATGTAAGAAATTTTTTAGTAGATAATTCCCTTGAAAAACTAACCGCTATGTCATACTTATCGAGAATGTGCAATATCCAGTTGTTTTCATATAAACTGCAGATGACAAACAACACATCGGACATGAAAGGATGACCAGAAAATGTCTTTAAAATGCAACACAACAAACATTTTCGGGATTTTTATCAAAATTATAATTTTCACAGTAATCATAAGTACGAGCACTTCCTATAAACTATTTTTACTCGATGTTCAAAAAAAAAAAAAGTTGAATATGCGACATTTGCTATTAATTTAAAAATACAAATTTTATAAACGTCATTCAAGTTGTCAACAAACAAGAAAAAAACATTCATTTACATACTAAATGTATAAAAACAATCGAAAAAAAAATGTTCTTGAACATTTTCTTGAACACTGTTGTCGTATTTTTAGTTAACAAATTTGGTTATTTACAATATCTGTCAGCTTTAGTTTTGGCTCTTCGATCTAACAGCGATTCGTGTAATTTTCCTTCTTTTTGTGCTTTTTTCAATTGACTCTGTTTACCTTCAATCATGCGCATTTTTTTGTCTTGAAACTTTTGAAACATTTTTCTAAATAAAAAAATAATATGTGTCTATATAAACGTATGTTTTTAAATTAAAATAAATTAATATTGTCCTTGGCGAATTAAAATTTAATGTAAATATGTTTAATGTTTACAATCAATCTTACACGTAATTTTTTTCTATATCTTTAATGTTGCCTTTTTTCTCATCCAACTTATCAACCTCAACTTCGGCACTCTCCGGAGCATTTAATCGAACTTTGACAATTTCGCTTGTACCAGCAGTGCGACTCATTGCAACTAATGAGTCATCTTCGTCTCTGATTCTAATAAAACATCCGGTCGAAGCCAATATAGCCAATTTGTTATCCTAAAACAGGAAGGATACAATTATATTGTTTGGTAGATACTCGAATAAAATGGATATCGTTGGCCTGAATTTCAATATTTTCACAACTCGAAATACGGGACAACAACGAATTAGGCCTACGACAATAACGGGGATAACCAATTAGTCAAAATCAGTTAACCAACGAGAAGAAAGCAAAAAGCAAATCAACTTCAACAGAAGTCATCGAATAAAGAGAAGAAATTATTATAGATAAGCTTACTTCGAAAATGGGTTCAAACTGTTCTAATGGTCCAATAGCGTCGGATCTGCCGACTATAGTGCCGTCCTTATCGACTCCCAAATATTTTCCGTAACCAGATTTAAAAGCTATTTTGGTTTCGCTTATAGAAATAGCAGTCAATATTTCTTCAGGGAGTGGTCCGTCTCCTTAAAAATTATTAATATTGGAATTAGATTCAGTTAACATACCTTTGTATTTATGGAAAAAATAATTGTTTAAATTATTTTATATAATGACTATAAAAAAAAAACTAAATGTGGAGGTACAATTTATTGACATTGATTGCTAAGACTCACCTTCATTATGAGGTGGACCGAGCGTAAATAAACCGTTATCCATTGCCGTTACATATGTTTGACAGCCAAACTCAAGAGCTACGGGTCCAGAAATTTCACTTACTAATTTAGCTTCCGCCCAATTACCTACCATTGAAAAATACCATATAAATAAAGAATTAATTTAGAAATACAACTTTTATATTATTATTACGATAGCTTACGAGTTTTACGATGTTTTTGTACTCACCGTGGTTAATTTTATCTTGATTTTCTTCCATATTGACTTTTTGGTCTATTTTTTTGGACTTGTCTTTCTTTTTCTTTTTCCTGTAATAATGTATATATTTTTATCCACGATATAACTGTGTTGGATTGTAACAGATACACATTTGTTTTTTTTCCATAAATTAATTTAATTAGTAACACGTTAATTACTATTACGATATGACATTTTTAAAGACAAACTACCGTTATATCTACTTAAGCTGAGTAATAAATAAAATATATTTTTTAAATCCAAAACGACTTACTTTACTTTTTCGTTTTTCAAAATTAATTTTGACACTCGAACCTTTTGATATTCAGTCATTTTAGATTAATTTCTTTCCGAAACCTATTTAATGTTTACAAGCGTATTGCAACTTGAAAATTAATACAAATAATTTATTGACTTAAATTTGACAAATTTTTTTTAGTAAGTAAGTAACAAGTAACTTGTAAGTACATCAATCATCATAAGACATGATAAAATAAACGGGCACGGTTCTGTAAACATAATCACTATCACAGCCAGTTGCTATTGTTGGGTTGCTACCACTTTTCCCAAATTGAATAAATTACCAATGTCTACTTTTCCTACAGATAAAAATTAGGTATTTTTGTACATACAGCCAGCACGGTGGGATATAAATTATAATTTTATTTGCATTATTTTTAACGTGTGAAAAATTGATGAACCGTTTTTCCAAAGGAATATTGAACTACAGAATAGACTAAATAATAATTAAAATAACTATAAATAATATAACTGTAAAAAAAAAAACTATTATTAAATTAACTATAATTTAGTCTATTATGTGATTGAAACATTTAAATTAAATAATACTAAATTTGTATTTAATCAATGCCTATAATTTTACCATATTTACCAATGAGAAATGTGGTCTTGGGTGTGTAAACGTTTAAATTAATTTTCACCATTACAATAGTCAAATGGTTTTTACAATTAATAATAATAATATGTTTTTCGGTACTCGGTAGTTTGGTTTACAAAAATTACAACAACTCACAAAACTCCTTTCAAGTATTGTAAATTTTTGTTTACACTTGACCATATTATTTTTGTAAAATATCGTCTTGAGGATTTTTTTTTTTTTTAAACATGGTGGGCAATGGACCAAATTCTGATTTAAAAGAGACTATAATCAGCTGGTTGTTTTCTTTTTGTTATCAGCGGACTTTTGTTGTGTTTATCAGGGAAGAACATTCTTGTGTCTTGTCTTGTTAGTTCTCCACAGACTACAATTATTCTTAAATCTCGACCAAGTGGAAAGCTGCTTGTGTGTACAGTGTACTTATTTAGTGTACCCAACTTGTTTGTCCGACTGAAAACTGAATGTTTACAGTCAGTTCGAAACGGTTTAATAATCACATTTGTTTGAGTTACACGAAAAATATGAAATATTTTTAAGAGAAGAAGAATTTAACGCAATCCAACACGTTTTGTTGTGAGTGTTTTTACAACGGTTTAAACGAATTTGACAATTTATCGGAAACTTGTATTTCAGAATTTATATTAAAAAAAAAAATTTTTAAAAAATGGTAGAAGAACCAAAAGAGATCCAAGATCAAGAAATCATTGTTAATGAAATTGACGGTCTGCCCAGCTTACATGATGAAAAACTTGACCTGTACAAAGCCTTGGCTTCAGAGCAGTCGTCACTAGAAGACTTAAACGATGAAGACCTGCCCACTTCGTTAATTGTTACTAATGTGGATCCCGCTATTTTCAAGGATGACGATCTTAAGGTTTTATACATTTCCATTTACTACTATGTTTACGTGTATGGCTTAAGTTAAGTAATTCAGTTTACACTAAATCAGTTCAAGTCACACGTGTCAACATGGTATATTATTCAAAGTTGGAGTAAGTAATCCTTTTTGTTTTTATAGAAAGAAATAGAAGTGCTATTTAGCCGATTTGGTGAAGTCATCTCCATTCAGTATTTCCGAAGCTTCAAACGTCTAAGAGTTAACTATGGTACACCAGCGTCGGCAGCCAACGCAAGAATTCAAATGCATCAAATACGTTTCTATGATACAACAATCAACTGTTATTTTGCACAGGTATAAAATATATATACATAATATACACAATGTATGATATTATATTATGTTACATTTTTTATTTTTATGGTAGCCTGTAACACCGATTGACGCCGCCGACCAACACTTGCAATTGCCAGCTCCGGTCAAACAGTTTTTGATTTCTCCTCCGCCGTCTCCCCCGGAAGGTTGGGTACCAAGAGCAGAAGGAGAACCGCTTATAAATTACGATTTAATAGCGGCCATCGCCAGTCTTACTCCTGGTATGTCAAAATTATAATTCTTTTTATATTAATTACATTTTACAAAGAATTATAATTATTAAAATTTAAGCTGTAAAACGGATTATATTAGATGTACATATTTTTGTTAAAAATGTAACATTGTTGCACTACAAAACTTCTTCGAAAACTACTTATTTTGATACGTCACTTGAAATCCAATGTCTTGATAATAATCAAAGCTCCATAAAAATAATTGTAATAAATATGACGTGTTAAGTTTATAAATTTGATGACTGATATTAAGTATAAAAAATTGCCCCCCTCAACAAAATTGGCGTAGATCGGTTCACGGCACAAACAACGAAAACCGAAAAGTTGTCAATGCTGCAACGTGCTATCGTGCACGTTTGTTGGACCGAGCCTTTAATAAAATAATTAATTTAAATACTTTACCAGTATTGTCTAAATCATTTATTATTTTAATTAAATTTGGAAATAAAAATTCTCAGCTATCGAATCGAAGCTAAAATTATTTAAATAATACACATACATTAAGTTACATAAAAAACACCAAGATTTGCTTACTTTAACTATTAAATATATCAAAAAAAGTTATACTCTTTTTTACTTATTTATGACCAAAACTATTTTTTTTTTTTGTAAAATATATGTTTTTACCTAAAGGTAGGCTTTCTGACGACTCGCCAACATATATTAACACCAAATCAAATAATGCTTTTTAAATTTAATTAATTACAGGCCAACCTCATGAAATTCATGCATCTACCGACTCATTGCCAGCCATTGTTTTACACGTAGCAGACGGATATGAAAGTACTAAATCATCAGTTAAAATTCCTCCAACTAGACTACCGGACAAATGAAAATATACATTAATTAGTCAATGTTATTTCAATCTATGTATTAAGTACTATTAATTTTATTATATTATTTTTTTTCACGAGTATTTTAATGTTTGTTCTATATTTAACGTTGTATCATTTATCATTATTATTATTACCAAGAATTTATTTAATATTATCCACGTTAGTGTGAATATTAATTATACAAAAGTTTGTGTTCTTACTCTTTTTTTTCCTACTAAAATTCTAATATTTCTTTTCAACCTTAGTGCTTACTTCTTTAAGACTGTCAATAAATATACTTACTTATGTAATAAGCTGAAATTGCTAAATTATATGTCATCATGAACTCTTATAAATAAAAGAACTATTGTGTATACATATTTTAATGCTAAAATTTTAGTGTTAATTAGTTATATATATATTTTTTTTTTTAGAAATGATTAATTCTATTGTTTTACGTTATTTTTAGATATTTTAATAATAATAATACGTTTGGTTTTACACATGTTTAAAATAATATATAAATTAGTCAAGGAGATGAATAAATCAGAATAACCAGGGTGTAAAAAATTAGCAGTGTTAAAAAAAAACCAAATCTTTAGTATAAATTTAAAAAGAAAAAAAAATGGAAAAATCTATTAACACTATTCTTTTTTTTTTTACCTATTATTGTATTTATTTTACACTGAATTTGAAATTCAAATAATAAAATTAATTAATTATTAATCAAAATTCGTTTAATTATTTCAAGCATTATTAATAAATAAATATTCATGTTATTTGTACGAGGTTTTTAATATTAAAAATACAAACTAAGTTAAAAAAAATAATAACCAATAATATACTTCAATTTCCATGAACATCATGGCACGAGTCCGTTTTATTATCGTTATATCAACAAAAATTATTATAATAATCATTGTGATAAATAAATAAATCAGTTGATCGTATTTTATAATAATAATTACATCTGCAACTTATGCGTTGACTCTCTTATACATTAAAAAAAAAATATATATACATACATACATCCAAAAAAAAAATATTTAGACACAGGTTTAAGTTCTTTTAAGGTAAAAATAAAAATAATAAATAAATACTGAAAATAAACACGTAACAATTATGTAAAATTACACAAAAGCCTAATGTAGTATCACAGAAAATATGGTACTGAATGAAACACTGATTGGCGGTTATGCAATGTACACAAAATTATTTATATCGTCTTCATCGCGTTTCATGTATTTATGTTCAATTAACCATTCGATTTGTTCTTTGATCATTTTTTTACTCGGTAAAAACATATTTTTCAGTATATCGACTAATTCGGTTTGAAGCTTCCAATTCGATATCTTTTTGCGCATTTTCAATATTTTAATTATTGCTTCCTGCGTAAATAAAAATATAATAATTAAATTTAAAAAAAAAAAATGTTTTTTTGCTAAATTTTTTAATTTATCGTCAATAACTCCCGTACTTGTACTCTTAATATCCTGAGTTGAACAATACACTCGTTGTCTTCATCTTTACTGCGCTCGGTCGACAATTGTAGTCTACCGATCAAATTGATTTTTCCTCTTTTTTGCAGTTTACCATTTTTTCTAATAAAATAAGAAATGGTAAAATCATAGCTCAAAATTTATAAAAAAAACAAATAATATAATTTGGTTAGTTTTAGCCTGCAATGCGAAGCGGAGAAGGTAATGTCTTTACAATGTTGTTTTCTATTTTCGTATCTAGACCTACAATCGTTTAAATGTCTTGACCGATTTTTACATGTAGCAAGTCTATACATCGGACCAACAGGTACTTTATAAGACCAAAATTGGAAAAAAGGTCCTTACCCCCTTTTCCTTCAAATTTATCACCCTAATTATGTGTACATAATTATTCAACTTAAAATTATGTTACACTATAACTTATTAAATAATAGTCGGAATTACTTCAAAACTTAAGGAGATATTTTTTAAACATAGTTACTACTAATGTACAGTGAAAAGCTAAGAAAATATCACTGACCTTCTCATCCCTCTTTGGAGGAGTAAACTTAGTAAGTTAAAAAAAATAAACCAAAATCTTTACTAATATAATTATCAACACATTTATCGTCTATAAAATGATTTATATTAGTGAATTGGTTTCGCATCAAAGCATTCATTCAAAAGTGACTTTTTTTTTTACTCACACAATAGAAAACTGTTCGTTTATCCAAAAGGTAGTATTTTCATTAAATTCTTTTGGAGACGGCACTTCGGGTGATACTAATACGACTTGTTTTTTTAACTTTGGAAAAGCTACTAAAGACTAAAACAAATAAAATTAAATAAATTAAATTTTAAAGTTTATAAACGGATTACACACAATGTCATACCCATAACGTCCTTCGTAGTTCTGGGTCAGGTAGTTCCGTGGCTAGTCTGAGATTCTCGTAAGTTATTTTGTCTTTTGGTCTTTGATTCCACGCAAACAACACTGCCATTTGAAACGTTGTGACGTCGACATCGAATCGGCCGACATCATTGGTAAACGTTATCTAATAATATTCAAAATGAATTAGTTAATTTTTAAACTCCAAAGCAAATAGCAAATTTTTGTCGTCATGACAAAATTCAGTTCTCACCGTTCCGTTGGACATATGATGATACCATTGGAGTTTACGTCCACTATGTTTCTTTCGATAAAAGTCTTCTACTTCCGGTATATAATCTTCCAGCTCCATCGGCAGTGAAACTGTTACGCGTTCGCTTCCTCTGGACCACGCTCCAGCGTTTAATATTTTTATATTTATGGAATCTAAAATATAATATACACTGTAATTTTGTAAGTTAAATATAGTTTTTTTTTTTTTAAATAGCCTTTATTAAAAAAATATAAGTTTAATATAGTTATTATGTAAAAATAAAAATATAACGGTTCTTTATCATTTGGCATGAATATTGTAAATATTTGTTTTCCCTTAAGCATCCCCAAAAAGTTGTAAAGCGCAATTATGCGTCAATTTCGGCTCTTAATCGTTAAACTTTTGTTTTACAATTAAAACAACACACTCGATGCATACCTGCGATACTCCCTTTGAGATTTCTATATGTTTCTTTAAACATTTGGTTTAAGTCTTCACTGACTTTTATGTCTTGAAACATTCTTGCTAACTTGTTTACATAATCAGCCGGCATTCCGACTTCCCTTAGCCTAAACAACATCACTTTTGCAAATAAATATAACACTCTTAATAGTTGTAATTATCTAATATACAGCATTACCATTCGACCATATTCTCTTCTTTTTCTGAATCGGCCGAGGTGTCTAATATTAATCTTCTGGTTAAATGCGCTTTGTGGAATCTCATAAATACATCTTTGTTTTGTACATATTTCAATACAAGTAGCTAGAAACCGAAGAAAAAAGATATATTTTTCATTTATAAATATGTATTTGAATTATCATATTGAGTCGTATTATTTTGTACATACCACGTCTTTTAATTTACTTTCAATTTCATCGGCAGTCAATCGTTTACTCAGAGGTGTTTTTCGCAGTAACATGTCACAATAGTTGGCCAATAATTCCGGACACTTTGATTCCGGCTGGGATTTAACAGCCGAATTCTAAAATTACAATTGTAAAAAAAAGGGTTTAATCACTTATTGGCAAGACAAAAAAAATAGATTAGATATTTTTTTCTTTCTCATTTGTACACATTATAAATCCTTAAAAAATTATTTATTGCGAAAAAAATACAAATTTTATATATTATAATAGTTAATTATTTCAAAAAATATTATAAAAATTTGATTTTTTCAGTGTTTAGTGAAACGAAAATAAAAGATTAATTAATTTTAAAGGTAAAAAATACAAATTAACTAGAACAAAAAATAAGAGAGAAAAAAAAACTAAATATTACAGTCCGACAAAACAACTTACCTGCTTTGTGGGTAGCTCTAATCGAAAAACTGTAGTGTCGTTAACTACTTGTTTGTACGCTTTATCTCTTGCGGTTAAAAACCTGGGATCGTCGTTGAACGCTTCTTGTACTAAATTACTGAATTTATGGAAGAGCAAGAGCAGTTGTTCGACATATTTTTCAGAATCCTGTAAAATGATAATTTATTTATTTATTTACGGAATTAATTTCATTTACAATATATAATATTACAGCAGTATAGACAAAAAAAGAACAGTATAAGAAAAACTTAAAAACTTACAAAATGTAATAAAAAAAGCCTGCTAAAAAATTTGTATGGTTTAATTCCAAAAATTGTCCTCCCAACTAAATTTTCATAAGCAAAATGTTGAAAAAATTGTAACTTTCGAGAAGTGTCTAAACACAGAGAAAAGCTACTGTACTCTAACAAAATGATTGGACCAATTTTACAAAAAATGGAGAGTATTTGGAAGGGCATACATTTAATTTATCATGTTTGTTTAATAATCAAAAAAAAATTTGTTTTGGACAAACAATGTACAACAGTACAGTAACGAGTTAGGTAATTTCATTACATTTCAAAAGTAACTTGACTTTTTTTCTTTTTAATTAATATGCTCTTATTCCAACAACATAAACTTGACTTTATTTAATTATAAATTACCTGTGTTATTATGTCTGCTGATGCCATCATATCAGCAAGACCTGCACTGACAATATATTCTTCCAAATCTTTTAACATTATTAAAATACCATCAGGTACACGATCCATAAGTTTGAATAAAAGCTGCAACTCTAAAATAATGTATTAATACTCGGTTAATACAGAAAAACAGTATTTTCACAATCGTTTATACTATACTTTTGGTATCGTTTTTCTTGATCATATCTGTACATTCAGCCAAAATAGTATGTCGGAAGTTTGAAACCAAAACGGAAACACAACAGTCTGTCAACTAAACACAAACATTTTTATTATTATTAATATTCGACCCTTTTATAAAACTACTATAAATATGTAAAGCGTTTAACAAACCATTTGAACTGATCCACTGCTCGGCTCTAAATACTTTTGAGCTCGGACTTCTTCTTCACGAAGTTTTATATCGGCATATTTCATATAATTCTGAACACCGTGAAGTTCTAAATATTCAGGCGCTTTGGCTTTGTAAAATGATTCTGTTGTATCAATATACGCTTTCTCGAAATATTGACGGTAAATTTGAAGTTTATCTTCGGGATTTGAGCAAAGGTTAACTGAAAGCAATTGATTTTTTTTTATCCACTCAACTTGGCAATGCAAAATTCATTAAAACTTACCATACGATTCTCTTACGCCGATGACTAATTGAGAATCAAAAGCTTCTCCGTTTCGTTCTAAATAAACAAGTTTCATAGCAGAATCTTGAAGTCTTTGTTTAATATCATTGAATATACTTTGATTCCAACTATCCAACATTAGCTGTTAAAAAAACATTGTAATGAAATATAATTTAATAATAATTATAAACATTAAAATATTATTTATTAATACTTATTTAACAATACTTTTGCATTGTATAATAATAATTACATTATTTTATCATAAAACACAGAAAAATTTGTATTAAATTTTTGGTATAAGCCTTGGATATCTAAAATATTTCTAAACATATAAAACGAATGCAAAGTAATTATGTAAGATAGGTATTTTGTGAAATTGAAATTGAAGTTATATAATACGTCATGATACTTTTACTTTACCTTACGAACAACAGTGTCATTATCATTATTTGATTTTTTACTACTATTAGGTTTTCCAGTCAGCGCGTTTTCTAATTGCCTAAAAGGTGTTGGCAGATAGTTGCATTGAGTAAAAAATTTTCTCCATTCCGTTATATATGCTTTTAGTAAGGCTTGATCTTCTTGATGAGCCATCACTCGCTTCGAATAAAAAAAAACCAACAATCATAATAAAATAAATAACATTAAAATTAAATTTATACGAAATTGAGTTGTTGATTTTTATACATCACCAGTTGAACTTACTTGCTGAGCTTTTTTAATAAACTCCATGATATCAGTTTTCAAAGCTTGCCTCATCTTAAAAGGTCCTTGTTCGTCCCATAAACATACCAAATGAACAGCGTAAAATAAGTCTTGCCATTCATTTTGTGTAACAGGTTCTTGTTGTAAAAGTTTAAGTACAACTGGTCGCATATTAACCCATTTCTCTTCAAAACGTACTACAGTCTTTTCCTAGTCAAATATTGAAAAATTTTAATTAAAATTTGGTACATTTTTTAAAATTCATACCATTGTCACAAATGAATTTAGAAATTAACATAAACCAATTTTAATAAATAAGAATACACATTAATATTATAATAACATGATAGGTATCGATTTAAAATTGTATTTTTGAAATTTGTAAATTACTTGTACAAAAATTATTTTTCAATTACCTACAAAATTTAAAAAAACTAGTTTTTATATAAAACATATTATTCAACGGAACATAAATAATTAATATGGTGTGATATTTGTACAAGGTTATCTAAGGAGGTACCTAGTCTTTAAAAAGTACCTATTAGGTATGTAAGCCTATCTATTTTACACTAAATAAACGCAATAAGTATTTCAATATGAAGACAATAATCATCATTAACACTTCGACTAAAACAGATAAGTTATTTAAATTGGACGCTTAGGAAAAATAATCAATTTCAATAACTTTTTTAATTTTCAAACGTATGCAGAATATTATTATAGTGGTCGTTTACCTTTAATATTTGGGACATTTTCAATTATTTTTTTTATACTTGATTGACGAACAAACACTGTCACTATTGAATAATTAAATTAACTAAACACTACGAATAAAATTTGAATAAATTAAACGACAAATAATAACAGACTTTTTGATTCAAAAACATCGGATATATCACAACGTTGATCAGAATGGTTGATACAAGCTGCTGTACGCTTTCACGCCACCAAATACTGCAATTTCAAGATTACAAATATTTCCACTAGTGCTCCGAGCTCCCTCACAGCCCCGAAATGGTTTGATAACAACAATGGTTTGACACCGGTGGTACGGTCGATACCTGAACCGTGGTACCGAACTGAATGATAACAAGGCTACAGTGAGGGGGGGATCGGCCATCGAATTGTTTTTGTACAACGTCCTTGGTGTGTGGTAATAGTTTGGTCACGGACAACTGCGGCTGTCACCAAGGTATAATCACTAATCGGACAATCATATTTTAACTTTCGAGCTAAATTCCAATTTCATATTATCAAAACATTTAACAATAGTCAATAGCTTAAGAAAAAAAAAATAAAATGAAAACAATATTATTATATTAACCAATAATAACTACTACCTAGTCTGTGAATGCAAAACAAACACCTTTTATTACTTAATATTATATTTAATTAAACCATCAGAGTTCCTGTCTTCTGACTACAACTGCAGCTTTAAGTACAACATAGAATACTTCGATTACCTACCTTACATATTAATTAACAACAACAGTACAGATAACTGGTTTTCTATTTTGTAAGTTTATTTCAATATAATAGGTAATCATTTTTTTTTTTTTTCAATATTTTATAAATCCAAATTTACCTATTTTGTTACTGCACATCAACAATATCAATAAACTTTTTCTATCAAAGTGTCTTGACAAAATACAATTTTCAAACTAGTTCGCTAGTCATTAACCATTATTGTAATTGGTGATTATTGAAATCTTGTTCGTTTTGTTTTATAGTTTTTTTCTATTTAAGTAATTTAAAGATGGCAAGAAAACGTCGTAGCACTACAGAAATAAATACAGCAGAAAATGCATCAGTTCCCAAACGTCGTTTTACAAGGTTTGTAAAGAAAATTATTTTCTATGATATATGTTTCAAAATAATTTTTATGCAAGTAAATTATTGCATAATAATTTTTTTTTCTATGATAATTATATGATGTTTGTTTGTCATTCTTGTCAACGTTTTTTTTTACCCAGTGAAATTTTGACCCTATGGGTGTTGATTATAGCTAGATTCCAATCTAGCGTTAACCAAACAAACTACATCCATGGAGGTATATCTGGGTGATAACTATATGTACAATCATTCCTACCTTATCCACTTAACTGTCTTCTATCAATTTCATTAAAAATTCCTGTATCTCAATACCATTGTATTATAAATTAAATATGATAGTTCTCTCTCTTTTTTTCAAATAGTCAAAAGTTATAAGTACAACATATGTTTGTAACAATAATATCACCAATTCATTGATTTTAATATTGATTTATCATTTTACTAATTTTAGTGCACAAAGAACGCAAAGTAGACTTGAAGAAATGATGGCTTTTAATCATAAAAAATGTTTAAGTTGGTTTCACAAATACACCAACGATTCGAGTGATACCTTAGGTAAATATCATTGTAAAAATGTTATTTTTTTATATGTATATTTTTTTAATTGATGTCATAATGTTTCGAACAGGACCTGAAGGTATGGAAAAATTTTGCTTGGATATTGGAGTGGAACCAGAAGATTTAGTTATGCTTGTATTGGCATGGAAAATGAATGCCAAATCTATGGGCTATTTTACGAGTACAGAATGGTTAAAAGGACTAACAGAATTACAGTAAGCAAATTAAAATATAATATAGCTTATTTAATATTTTTGAAAAATTATCTACACATCAAATACCTTGACTATTATTATGATGTATAAAATAGCAATCGATGGTTTTGGTCTTGGCTATTTTCAATTTACATATTTTATAACTGATTATTAAAAAAATCAAATAGAATTTTTTTTCATTTATTGAATATTATATTTTATGAATACAGTTATTTAAAAATACATTTTTAATTTATTTATTTATTTTGTTTCTAGGTGTGATTCCATAAAAAAATTACAGAGCAAGCTAGATTCATTGCGATTATGCTTTAACGATCCATTAATGTTCAAAAGTATTTATAGATATGCATATGACTTTGCTAGAGTAAGTACAATTATTATCAAAGTAACATTATGACGTTTAATTAGTAGAACTTTTTTTTATCATTTAATTAACAGATAAAACGTGTATAGAAGACTATCGTTATTTAACAATTTTTGCTATTCCTACTTCTTTTAAAAATTAATGTTTTTTGTATAGCTAATAAATTTGTTTAGAAACCTCGACCTTGGAGGTTACAACATTAACCAAATTTAATCCCTTTCACATTTTATTTTATATCTTAAATAATTTAAAACTTAATTTATAATTACAAATATATTTAAATAAAAATAAGAAATAAATATACTGAATTATTTTAATGAATAATTAAATAATAGGTAATTTTTTTGAATATTGCTTTATTTAAATATAATACTATTCGAATAATGCTCAACTATGTTGAATATGTAGATTTGCTTGTAAAATACTGATTTTATGTCGATATATTATCCCTAAAGCATATATAATAAAAATTTAAAAAATGTATTAATTAATATATCGCTTGCATCGTTTTAGGATAAAGATCAACGAAGTATGGATATAGAAACTGCCAAACTGATGTTAAATTTATTACTTGGAAAACAGTGGAAACTTTATCCGTTGTTTTCTAGATTTATAGACCAATCCAAGTACAGAGTTATCAATAAAGATCAATGGTGCAATATATTAGAGTTTTCCAGATCTATTAATGCAGATTTATCCAATTACGACATTGACGGAGCGTGTAAGCTTAGCATAATTTAATACATGTATACTGTTGTGTACGACATATCTTTATTGTGTTGGTTTAATTACTATTGTTTTGCAGGGCCTGTTATGTTGGACGAGTTTGTAGATTGGCTAAAGCAAAATGAGAGCTGAAACAAAAAGTGTACCATTAGATATACCAGAGCTACATTCTGGACCGACCTAATAGTTATTAAAATATATTCAAATAAAAGAAATCGATCTCTTGAACGCTTTTTTTTTTCATTTTTCATGTAAAGACTATTTTTTGTTCAAATTAAATCGCTAGATTTACCGGTCTCTTAAAAATAAATACAATTATATTTATTTATTATTTTTTATTTATATATCTATGGATAATTTACAAAAATAAATAAATCATCACAGGTCACTTTTTTTCTTTCTTTTTTTATGTATGTTTTATATAGTAACTACAATTCATTAATAATTAATAAAATTAATTTAAAAAATCGGACACTTAAATATTATATACTTTAAAATAAATTACAACTTCAAACACAGAAGGAGAATGAAATGTATTCCAATAATTTCATAATGTATATTGATGTATACACTTAATAGGTATTTCTAATTTGATAATTTCATGTTGCAATATGTATATTATTATTTGTATCGCCCGCTCTGGGTTTTTTTTTTTATATATATATATATTTTGTAGCGTGTACGTATTTATACGAATTTGCATACCTAATAAACATGTTTAATTATGTATTTGACTTAAAAATAATAATTTCAATTTGAATACGAAAACAATAAATAATTTACTTGAGTTAAAATATTGGAATCAATGTCGCTAATATTTACAATAGTTGATTGTAAAAATGTCATTTTTTGGTGATATGACTTTTCAAATTAATGATGCGTTTTTGTATGGCGTGTAGCTGAAAAAATGATATAAGTCTGTCAATACAATAATACTTTTACATAAGTAGACTAAAAAAAAAAAATTACGGTATAAAATTAATTAATAAAACCTTTTGCATTTCTTTTTCGACGTTAGTAGTTGTTTGAGAGCTCTCATTTTTCTCATCTATATGTTCTTCGCCCGGCTCTTTTGATGATATATCAATAAGCATTTGATAAATATTTGACATTTCTAAATCAAAGTCAAACCTAAAAGCAAATTTTAACAAGTATAGAATACTGACACTAAAATATGTTATTACGATAAAATCGGGTTAGTTGAAAAATGATAGTTAGTGTACGGTCTACATTACGATAAATGATACTTACGGTTTAGACATAGTAATAGTTGTTCGTTTAGGTTTCAGACTTTCACTAATTTCCTGCCATAAAAAATACATCCATAAATGTAAGCGGATAAATATTTTCGATAAATTACAACACACTAATTATTATTAATTAGTTAGAAGGTAAGTATGAGTATAAAATAAACAAGTGCAGCGGAATGATGTTTAAAGTTAAATAATATATAACATTACCAACTTCTATTAAACTGTAAGTTTGTTAGATGAAAAATCAGTTTTCTTTAGAAATTAATATTATTAAAGTTGGACAGATGATTAACCCTTTACTTGGCAAGTGCTAATTTTTAAATGTCAAAAATAATTAAAATAATAGTCATGGAAAGTGGAGTATAAAATGTATGTATTTCTAAAAATACAATGCCAAGGGTTAACAACACTTGCTCGATACTCTAAAGAAAAAAAAAATTATGTTATGACAGTTATGTAAACTACATTTCAAACATAAACAGCTGCGCTTCTTGTCCAGTGTATAAGTTAAACAGAAATGTATGCATATATAATTTAGCTGTATTAATCCCAATAAAAAAAAAATTACTTTATTATAGGTTTGCCTAGATACCATTTTGAAAAAATCTTTATCGATTCCAAAAGGCATTTCAAGTCCTTTATCTGTAAAATAAGCAAGTATAATAATTTTAAAAACTACATTGTACTGTTCAATAATAAAATGATTAAATATTAATGTGCTTACAGTTATTACATTTGTAAGTACTTTCAATACGTTGTAACTGTTTTGCTTTATTTCTCCACGCTCTTAATGTTTCTTTATTCCTAAACAATTTTTTTGAAATATTTAATTGTTTTTTAAACAGACATTTTTTACAGGGTGATAAATTGAATGTAAGATAATCATTTTCTAGAGAAATAATCTTAATTTTGTAATTTATCTTTTTGAAAACATTTGTTTTATTTTAAAATAAGTAATAACATAAACTTAACTTTGTCTCCAAAAAGAATAACTACAAAATTGATATTATTTTAAGAAAAAACGAGCGTCTTACGTTAAATTGACAACTCTGTATACTGGAATAACCACAGTCGCAGATCATGGTAATTATTTTAATAATTATAATATTTCCATTTGCCACCTTTTAAATGACGATATAAATAAATATATACATAAATAGGTAAACAGATTCTTAGGGTAAAAGTACATTATTAAGAAAATAGAGTTTGAGACATTTTTTAGATTACTACATGGGCTGTTTTTGACAATGTTATAAGACGTAGAAATTTTCACTTTTTTAAGTTTACTGACTTTGGCCATAATTGTTCTATCAGAAATCGCCCATCGGTCACCTCAATACCTGATAAAAGTTTTGAACTATTGTACATATTTATTTTCAAGTTAAAACTGCTCAATTCGTCTGAAAACTGCATCACCCAGCAAGACATGTTTTACACGCAAATAAAAAAATTGTATCGAACCCTCTTAATAGAAACTTGGAAAGTATAACCGAATGCATTGTATATAAAGGGAAAGACCCCCCAAATAAAATTAGTTTATATACGTATACTCGGTACATAAATTAAATTTCGCAGTGCACAAACTACTTAATAAAGTTAAATATACTATACATGTTAAAAATTGTACAGATTGACCATTTTAATTTTGTGTTTATTTACAGCTCATGTGGAATTGGGTTTTCCCCCGATTCCTAATGATAATATTGCGCTACATTATCCCCTCTTTTTCCCCTCCCCATATTATAGCCTATATAGGTATACTATGTCTAGGCAATTACTTGTATAACTGGAGATTCCTTTCTTGTTTTTCAAGTATTGCCTTTTGTTTTTCCAAATAAAGTCGCTCTAGTTCTTTCATCCTAATATCCCGATCGGTTACTAAACGATCGCTGCTCCTAAAATGTACAAACAAACAAAAAGTGTATATTAAATATTAATCAAAATTATTTAGGATAAATAGCCGAGTTTGTATCAATACATCGTCTTCCGATTGATACAGCCCCATACTAATACCTATGCTATTTAATGTTTTATCAAAGCACTTGCCAATTAGTCAGGAATATCATTGGCCAACTGTATCTTTCCATCAGTCGATTCCTTTTTGACGACGTACTGTCCTAAATTCATAAAACATCAGTATACCTACACATTATTGACAATTGTTATTTCTTAATTTCTATGTTGCCCCCCTCCCCCCCACGTGTTTCTTAATAAAAAAAGAAAAATGTTGACTCCAATGTAAACACTCCAACCCAATTCAAATGTCCGCCTGTACAACGAGGTGAAGTCTTTCATCTAAAATACATACCTAGTTTTTTTTTGAAAAGATCTTTAAACAGAAATGAATTGTATTGATGAAAAATATTGATATTATATGAATCTGAATGGCATGACCTCTACTTTCTAATAAACAATTAATACCAAAATGAAATATTAAAATACATCCTTCTTTCTTAAGGTATTATGTACGTTTAAAACTTGTAGCTTAATGTTAAGTTTTAGTGAAAAATTGCCTATTCAATGCGCCTTAATAAATTCTAGTGTAGAGGCCTATTAAACGACATCTGGCTCTGGATCCGCAGCAAGTCAACTCTTTACTCTTCAAATGATATGTTTACAAAAGTTAAAACTCATTTTCTCGGAGACTGGTGTAACGGAAAAACTTATTTGTATTTTTCAAAATCATTGTTAAACGCTAATGCCTGGTTAATTACTTAAACACAATACATTGAACTTACAGGTAGTTTTTTTTCAACGGGCATAGAAGAAACCGAATCAGCCGCTGGTTTTGTTCTTTTAAGGTTCTCGTCGTTTTCGGATTGATCCGTTTCGCAAAGCCATTGACGTTGTAGATATTTAATTAAGTATTTCGAACCTTTTCTTAACACGTCTCTACTTGGAAACTCTAGAGGATTTCCGCCGAATTGTAATTCCCGAAGTTTGCGTATTGACCCTAGATATCATAATATATATTATACACTGTACACAACGAATATTGTCAAGTGCATTATAAAAATTCAACTTGCAAAGTTCTACACACTTTATAGACGTTGGCAAAAGAGCCGAAGACGTGGCTCATATAAATGGCCTACCTACTACTACTACCTACTAAATCCAATGGACAATGTACAAGGTGTGTGTTCATCTTCCACAAAAAAAAAATGTATATTAAAATCCAACTACTCTACGGTGACCGTAAAAAATCGCACCGGATGCCTTAAGATTTCTAAGTCAGCAACCAAATTGGCATAGCTCCCTAATGAACAAGTCCAAGGTTTTATGTAGATGTTTTTCTTGAAGGGGGAGGGGTATTATTTAGGCTCTGTGCACGTTTAAGTCTAAAAAGTTTTGTACCATAACTCGTATACTCACCAAGCACTGTAGGTAATTCCTTTAAGTTGTTTTTTCCCAGTAAAAACACTTGCAAATTGGGATGGCCTTCGACGCTGTCGGGTATTCGACGAACCCTGTTACACCGTAAGTCTAACCATGTAAGATTAGGAAGACCGGTGAACAGTTTGTCTGGCAATGTCCGTATATTGTTGTTATTCAAATATAAAAACTATTAATTGTAACGGTTGGCTATGTTAATAATTCATAAGTTATAAGAGTAGCCTATTTCCAAAACTATATAATAACTGTTTGAAATTTCTAAAACAATTATTAGTGTCCCAACTGGGATCACAATGTATAACATGCATTTTTATAGTTGCTCCATATTTTAAATTATTCTTCTATACTTAAAATCAAAAACTTTAAGCAAAGTAAAAATATTTAAGAAAAATAGCTTGAGTTTAGCCACTCAAATGTGTAAATTATTAGTTTTGGATTAAAGTTGGTTATTTCTGGAGAAAAAAAATCATTGCTATTTTATTTGTAACAAACATTTATAACTTACATTTTCAGTATAACAATAATAGTTAAGTATTTTCATTAATGAAATTAAAATGATTTATCACCCATTAGTACTCATTTGAAACCCGTTATTTGAATAAGGAGACACTAAGTTTTAATTTAACAAATAATATGTTTATTACTGCATATAATACATTTTGGAAATAAACATATACATAATCATACCTTAGGAAATTAATTCCCATCAAATCCGATGGAAGAAAGTTTTGGAAATAAAGCTACATATAAAGTGTATTTTATTAGAGAAATAATAAGTTAATATTAATGCTCAATGCTTTTACTGTTAACTTTTTTACCATGTATTTTGTTAATGCAACGAAACCCAGTTAAGTATTGTTATGCGCAAACTTAATAAAACCCTTTATTTTTTGTTAAAATATACTATACATTTGCTCGGTTTTACCCAAAAAACCAACTGATTGAAACTTTTTTTAAATATAAATATATGCAAATAAAGTTTCATCACAAACAGTTAGCTTAAAAAACAAAACAAATATTTTGTGCTGGCTTGTTTAGCCCGGCATCCAGTTAGAGTAAATTATTGTCTTTAAGAGTGAAATAATTAATGAATAATTATTCAAGCATTTTTTTTTTGTACAATCCAAGTTTAACTTACACGAACACCGTATCCAATGTCTTGAAAAATCGATTCTGGTATTGAACTTAAATTTCTACTTTTTAAATCCACAATTTCCATTGCGAATGTTTTCCAATAATTATTATATTTAAAATTTTAATAATATGGGCAGTTTCAACTTTTAATAAATGCCCGTTGTCTATAGTATTTGGCCTATTTGAACAATACACGAAAAATGACTTTGCGCTGTACACTTATTATCAATAAGGGAAAATATAACCATAGAACCCATTTTTTCGGGCTGTCATAGCAACTCAACCTATGTTTATTATTGGGTGCAATGTGACATGGATAGTGAACAAATAATCAATGGACTGTGCGTCGCGCATTGGTGATTTTTTACTTGTCTGATGTAAAAAAAAAAAATTATTTTTTATATTGAAATGTTAAAAGGAAGGGATTCCTAAAACTAGTAGGAACGCAGTAGGACATTTTATTTTGTGTGGATCTACACATCATTTTTTCTGTTGTATTTGCATCATCAGCCTTTTGAAAAGGTGGTCCATTCCTAAGAGCTAATATTTTTCCAGGAAGAATTTACGGTCCAGTTCTGTGCTAAAAGTGTTTTTGTTTAGACATTTTAAGTTCAGAGCAAGGTGTAATTTGTTTTAAGTTTGAACCACAGATTAAAATATATATCTCTACATGGAAAGTCCACGGCAACCGTTATGATAACGAAATGGACGCAACGGATGGTTTGCGTCCAAAATTGGCTTGCCAAAAAGTTAATGTCGTGGTCTACGTGTGTATGTTTAACACTACGGTTGGAGCTCACGGCTTTCTTCTAGCTGATATTCACATCAAATAACCAGATGTTATTTATTTAACGACTGAGCTGTTTATAGAAAAGTATTAGCAATTTATAGACTCTGGAACCAATAACATGTGAGAATAGGCAAACAAAAAAAAAAACCGAAAATTTTATGTTTTTAACTGATTCAAAGCCGAAAATGTGTTATTATCTGTATGAAAAGTAATTTCGCAAATGTTCTGGAAACAAAGTACAAATGACAATGTTATTCGAGAGCCTTAATACAGATTTTATACGCTTTCGACTTTACACATATAATAAAATTCAACATTAATAATAATACTGTGACGTGTATTTCTTAACCACGCGGTTCCAAGTGGTAACATTTGTCTGGTATTTTATAAAAAAATATGTAAGAATGGATAAAACTCAGTACACATACCAATACATTGTATCGATTGTGCACAATTGATACATCTTAATAATATTGTTGTCAAACGCATTGCATTATTATTGATTGATTGCGCATAACATACGGATGCAAAAATTGTAAGAACATCGATGTTTACTTTATTGTTAATTCGATAGTGATGTATATTTGTATGGAAAGAGGCATTAAATATATCGATATAAATATAGATTAAAAATATCGACATGGTGCAATTTGCATAGCGTTATAAACATCGAACACGCTGTTGTTTTTTGTAATTAACAACTAACAATAGTATCTATCTAAAATATATATAAAATAAAATATCTTACATTTTATGAGTCTATAATTTTTCTGTTCTTTACAAAAATTTAATTGTTATAAAAAATATATTGGTTTATCGTTTTTTTTTTTTACTATCGATACCGCATACTATACTATCGATATATTTTCGACAACCATAGTGACAAGACAGTAGTGCCTAAAATCTAAATTCAGGCTTCGCATGTTTCAAGTATACCATTACATATTATAATTGATAAGTCGGAAAGTGTGTATTAAACTTAGCGTTGGGAACTAGTTTACGTATTTTAATCACAGTGTTTTTGTGTCAAACACAGTTTCTTTTATAAATATATTAAAACGACAAATTTTGAATGATAATACAGTAGAGAAAAAAATGTGTTATTTAATTTCAATTTAAGTATTTTAAAGCTTGGATTTTTTTTATTTCAATTTATGTTACCAAAAATATTGTGTCTTATTTTAATATATCATCATTTAATATATATTCATTAAAATAAAAGTTGCTTTAATTTTATATAATGAAATCGATCGTTGTTTGTGTATAGTACTATGCAGAAAATATTATGTGGTAGGCGTTACATGTTAAAACTATATTGTAGCAACTGAAATCACTTTTTACTTAATTTATTGATAATAAGTTTAAATGTATATAAATGTGTGATTATTTTTAAACTTTGTGCTGCATAATGTGGTCAGACCCATCATTAAATATGGCTTTTGGAAATCAGTGGATGAATCCTGCTTTGTATCAACATATGAACAACGAACAAGGTTATTATAAAAACTTGCAATAAATAACCTTATACTTATACTTTAGGGCTATAAATCAGTTTGTTATTGTCGTGATAACTAACTTATAATTGTATTTAATTTTCAAGTGGACTGGGCGAGTTTAGCCCAACAATGGATTAAGATGAAAGAAACATCACACACGCTTCAACCGGGACAACATGTGAGGCCTATAGTATGTGAAACTAATACAGAAGCACCTCGTCCACCGACAGATATTCAAAACACTTTGAATGCTTCAGGTCCTAGTAAAACAATTAGCAATCGCAATACAACTGTTAATTCTGTTGCTGGTTAGTAGTCTATAGCACAAGTCGAACATCGATACAAATATTTATTTATTGTCTGTGATGTGAAGGGAATAACATTGAAAAACCGAGTGCCTGGAATACATTGACTTGGCAACAGCAGCAGCAATGGAATTGGAATTGGAATCCCAATACAACACCGCTCCCACTTAAACCTCCTATTATGGAGACAGTGACTTCAGTCAGACCTCCATATGTTGCACCCCCGGTGCTGCCGAAACCAGAAACTTATGCTGTCAATAATTCAACCAGAAATTTCAACACAAACGTTAGTCATTAAACTTAGGAAAATAAGTTTTACTGAAGCGTTGTCCACACTAGCGAACCAGATCCAAACTACAAGCACATTGATCCTAATGTCAGTATTTTGACAAACGTTTGATGTGAATGTTGCTGCAACATTTAACTGTAACACGGTGGAGTTGAAGTTTGGTATTGGGCTCGTTAGTGTTGATGAAGCCTATAATATATAAATAAGTAATAAGGGTGGGACGTTAATCGAGTAACTAGAAACTCGAGTTTTGGTGTATGCGGTTATTATTGAAGACAATTCAGTTCATTATAAAAACAATTGGGATTACATTATGATGTTGTATATTGCCTGTTTTTTTCCGTAAAGTTATACTTAGATTTCTTGTAAAAAATATACATTAAATGAATACATTGTAAAACTTAAATTTTACTTTAGAGTTATTGGGCTGGATCTAGTAATACTAGGGTCCCTCCTTCAACAGAATCGGAGCAATGGAATAAACCAAGTTTGGTCACGACTTTAGATGATAAAAATCAAGATTCCTCTTATATTGGTTAGTATTTTTTATTTTTTTTAACTAGTTTTTGTACATTTTTTTGGTAAAAAAAAAGTGTAGCGCTATTAAATGTTATGTAGGTAATAATTTATTATTCAAATATACATTTTTAATTTTAATTATAGATGCAGCCAAACGTAAACAACTTCCAGCTTGGATTCGGGAAGGCCTTGAGAAAATGGAAAGAGAAAAACGTAGGAAAATAGAACAAGAGCAATCTAATAGCGAATCAGAATTTCAAAGTTATCACGATGAAAACACATCGATCGAACTACACAATGTATTTTTTGTTATGAGTTTTAGAGGTTTGAAACATGCAAATAATATGTTTTTTTTTTTTTTTTTAGATATCCAATCAATATAACAGTGAGACCGTTATGGCCGATGAAGAAATTGAACCAGATCCTTTAGAAGTCAACGCTGATGAAGAATTTCGGAAAACCGATTTTATTAAAAGTGAATCTCCATCTTTAATCCCACGTAAGAGTAAAGCTCAGATTTGGGAAGATACGGTAATAAAATTAATTCATATTAATTTGTACTATACATTTAATTTTTTTGAAAGTTTCAGAATTGTTATTTATGCTGCCATGTTCTTGTATTGTTCTCAATCGAATGTTTCTAGTTAATATTATTTCTTTTAGATGCTGAGTCTTCGTCAAATCCTGACAAAATTATTGATGGATGTCACTAATGACATGATGTTAAACGCTGCAAAGGAAATGTTAAAAACTACTCTTCATACAGGTAAAGTAAATAGTATTTTAAAATTTGGCCCTAAAAAAGTTAATCGTAAGTAAATATGAAATTGATTACTTCGAGTGGTAAAACAAATGTATATAATTTTTTGATTTTTTTTTTCAACTTAACTCTATTGTCAATTTTACCATATGCCAATGTAACAGATACACACGGGAATCAAAATCAAACCTCGTTAGCTGGTAAGCTGGGTGAGTTAATTTCTAATTAAGTTTTCTCAAATATTAGTCATTTATATTGTATGTATCTCGATAAATACATCTAAAGCCTCAGATTATTAGATTTATTCATAAATATTTATATTATTGTATTAATATATTTATTTCATAAATTTATTAAATATGATCATTAATTATGTTTGTGATGGTCATAGTATTATTCTCTATCGTTTTGTGTCTTATTTGATCCAATCAATTGGAATCATATTATGTACTTTCTATACAGTACTACGGCTACAGTGTTTATTTCTTTATGTAGCTATTTCTATATAGATATACCGCCTTAACAATACACGCATTGTTAATACTCTTATTTCATTCTAGGTCTTGGAGTTTATGGATCGGCTTCGGAGTCTTCTGGCGAAAGCGACGACGAAAACACTATATCAAGTCGTAAACCATCAAACAGACAAGATTCAGATGAAGCTATTCAAGTATGATTTAATATACCTATTCAGTTCCTCGTTTTTCAAATTGTAATAAACAATAATGTAAATTTTCAGGAAAGACTGTTGAAGCGCCAACGTGAATTTAGTAATATTGAAGCGAGGATACTTATGGAGTTGGACAAACTTGAAGACCGGGAAAAGCTAGTCAGGTCTAAATTTGATAGCAGTGTTAAACTAAGTGGAGAAGTAAATGATACTGGTAGTCAGGTAGTGGAAAACGTTCAGACAAAAGGTAAAATTATGATTCATTTATATATTAATGAATATTTTTGTTGTCTGTTTAAAACAAGTTTGTAGATTAAGTTTTAATATTATAGAATTAAAATTTTATGATTTTATCCAAAAATAAAAAATATGTTTAGTTTTAATTGGTTTTCAACCGTAAATATAATATATTTATAGAATTATTTATTCATAGTTTTTACATATAACTATAAACTCGAGACTTCCAGTGTTGGTTTTTACTCTAAACCATGAAATTAGGGATCTTGGCTCGTAGAATGGTAGTTTTTCTTTAAAAATAAACTCAATATTTTATCATCCGCTCTTTTGAACTTTTCAACAATTGTTCCCGATTTCAATTTTGGTTTAAATGGAAGAGGGATTATCACTATGTTAACATCATCATTGTAACTTGTTTAAATACATTTTTCAGGACGCTCCGATAGCGAAGTGTTGAACCCGAAAGTCAACAACAAAGGAAATGACAAATCAAAACCGGAATGGTCAGGTGAAACAAGCGTTAAAAATGGAAATAGAAAAAAGAAATCGAAAAAATCGAGTTCGAGTGATTCTAGTAGTAATAGTGAAAGTAGCGAAAGTGAGGACACCGATAGTAAATATAGTAGGAAAAGTGATAAATATAGATCGAGATCCTCAAATACAAAAAGTAAAGCGGTTGTTAGGAAGAGATCGCGTTCTAGAAGTAGGTCTTACACAAGGTCAAAGCGTAGTAGGTCGCGTTCAAGACGGAGGAGTAGCTCGCGGTCGAGACGCAACGATAGAAAGTCCACAAGTAGTTATAGATCAAAGCGAAGTCGTACACCGGTGTCCAAGCATGGGAGCTCTAGAAAACGTAGAGGTAAACGCGACAGTTCATCCTCGTCTAGTGGATCAAGAAGTACTAGACATCGGTATAGGCGATAAGATTTTGTTAAACAATCCATTTGTATTTTATAAATTAAGATTTTTTAAAAATAATAATTTATTTCTATATGTATAACTAGCTGATTTTTTTTTTTTTTTAATGACAGAATTAAAAACAAATTCAATTTTATTAAAATTTATCTACAACTACAACATTAGAGGGGGTGTTGTAATTGATCGTAAAATAGTTAAATAATTACAAACCTTTAACTAGAATAATATTTCAATATGTATCGGCTTGTACTGTTATATTTTATAATTGACTGATTAAACAAGCATTAAATAGTTTGAACAAAATAGTCATTTAGTTTTTCTTTTGATATTTTTTCTTCCTCTTTGAAGATAAATGTAGTACAAGCGCAATTTCACAAAAAAAAAATAGTGGACACGCTTAAACAAAAATATAATAAATTCCATGCTTCCGTGATACTTAAGTAGGTAATGTTAACAATTTACTTGGTTTAAAACACCAAGCCATACTTTTAAGTCCGCTATTCTTTATATAAACTAAGAATTACAATTTTTAAATAATGCAAATTATTTTAAACAAATTTATGTTTTGAGCATTTCGAATAACTTTTTAATTGAAATAAATCACTGATTACTATTTTTGAATAATACATTATTCGAAATAATTTATCGCTTGAAACTTTAAACATTTTATTAAAAATATATTTTTATTTTTTAAATAACTTATTTAAAAAAAATTCCTAATAAACAAAATGTATTTGATTTATTATTTTCTATAGTTATTTTCATTTGTAATAAAATAAAAATGATTCGAGTTAGTAGTAGTTTTGTTAATTAAATATAATTTAATTAATTAGTTGAGTTTAAATACATACAATTTATGCATAAAAATTGAATCTATGATCAAATACCTTAAAAGTGTGTGTATGCATTTTACTATAATCAGTATTATTAATGTAACCAATAAGGTATTAAATTTACAGTATTAATAAAATTTAAAAAAAGTTAAAATATATAATTGCATTATTCTTATAGTTGTACGGTTTATTACCTGTGAAGTGTTGTCGACTGTTATGTGCCACAACAACATGTGTTCAGATCCATTCAGTCGATATATACATTTAATGACTGTTAAATAAATAATTTATTAACATAGAAAACATTTCATAACAAGGATTCCAAAAATATATAAAGTAATTACATATATTTACATATTGTAATTAAAAAAATCTAAAAATGGTTCACTTTCCATATCTTTGCTCATGTCTGCTAAATGTTTCCATCAATTTGAAAAATTTACAAAATTTCACGTTATAGTGAGTTTTTAGTATCCTACAACAACAATAAACCGTCTTCTTTTAATTGTCACATAATTAAAAATTGATGCGTTGTAAACAATGTAATCTAACAAAAATTATTATAACTTACAAAAATTCTGTAACGCGAGTGTGCCATGGTAATAGGCCAAACGTCGTACATGAATCGCCACAAATTACTACTAAATCTGGTTCGATCAGGGGATATATATTTCCGATGACGGATTCTACCAGTTTATCTGAAAATTCTTCTTTTGAATGGCAAACATTTTGTAAAACATTTACTAATTGTAATTTGGAATGTTTGGACGTTAGTACGTTTACTTCAATTCTTGGCTCCCATTTATAGCCTGAAAGTGTAGTACGCATATTATTATAGTTATAAAAACAACTATTCAGTTACGAAAATCCTGTCGTGGCAATTGTTTAATAGATTATAGTTGTTCCATACAAACACTAGCATTTCTATTGAAAGCTAGTTTACGAAACACCAATTGTAAGTAGATAATTATTTTTTTGAGTTTGTAAATGAGTCTTAAAATATTGTTGGTAAGCTCTGAACAAAGTTTATCATTGAATTTATATATTTTTTTAATTCTATACATAAACGTAGATATTAATATTAAAATGGAACTGTCCAATAATCCATAATTACAAAGATGGTCGGACAAACGATCATAAAATGAAACTAAAAACGTTTATTCAATATCGACTCAAAACTTAGAGTTAAATAAAATGTTAAAATACTCACCATTAATTGAGTTTTTAGACTCAAATTTAATGTCGTCGTTGAATTCTATTCCCCACTTTAATTTTGGAAGAAGATTTTGGTATTTCTTCTTAAACACATGAAATACTTTTTCAGGTATTATACCTGAAATACACAACAAATGTGAGTTAAGGAATTAAAGGAATAATATTATTAATATCTACCATCTGTATAAATTGGATATAACTCAACTAATAGAGCAAACATTAAAAATCAAATTACAAATTATACTAAAAAATGTCTAAACCAAAAACTCTTGGTTGGAAATAGTGTTTTTTACCAAATGATTCATTTTTTATAAATAAATAATTAGTTTTTAAAAAGGTCAATATTATAAATAAAGTTTGTAGTAAGTTTCTAATTTATAGACTGGCTATATGAAGAAACCGTCTTGGTGGATAAAAATCGATCGCGTGTAAAATTGACGTTTATATCAATTTTTTTTTTCTTACGATACTATCTTATCTGTCTCCCGAAACGTTGAATAGTTTTGTGCGTCAAGTCATTTCTTAACGTTGTCTTAAAACTAACACAGCATAATATATTATGTAAAATAATTGTTTTTTTTTTCTTACCATTATTGTTGTGGTAGAAACTAATGATGGGTATTTCTAGAAACAACGACCAAGCTATGAGCTTAGACAAGTCGTCGTAAGACACTTCTTCTTGGCAAACGGACACCACCAAGTGGCTGGGAGTTTTTCTTAAACTGTACTTGTAATCTTCGGCGGTCGAACGATTCAGCCAAGGATCATCGAGTTGTTTAAAGTATATTGTTTGATTCACAAGCCACAAATAAAAAGCGTACAAAAAATGTGCAATAAACAACAAAATTGAAAACAAAAGTTTGAATATATTATACATAATTGTGTGTGTGTTGTATTTGTTTTTTTTTTTTTAGTTACATTAATTATTATTTCATTTAGCACGTCTTTCGTATAAACATTACAATAACATATTGAAACATTTGATGAAACGTAAACTGAGGTAGGTACGGATAGGTGTTTTCGTTTAGTAATCAAACGCCGCTGATTTTTTAGAGTTCTTATAATATTGTTGATAAATTGTAAACTTTGGGGTTTAGATAAGAAAAACTGTTGTTATCGGCGGTCGGCTTATCGTTTGATCGCTTTGATAATGAAATTAAATTACAGTGTAGGCGTAGCACGGTATTGTGATGGTGTTTAAAACGGATAATAATGTAAAAACAATAAGAAATCAATAAGAAAATATAATATTATGATGAACAAAAATAATAACATGATTATGATATATTTTATCATATTTCACCAATTGCGGAGAGGCACGAATCACGTTGTGATTTGTCTATTAAATAGGTAACGTTAAATTATCAATGACTTTTATTTTTTTTAAAAGAAGTAAACAAAATTACAGATTTAAGAACTCGGCTGATAAATCTGTAGAAAAATGTGGCTTTTCGACAATCAAAAAAACACTAAGAACCTAATGCAAAGCGACTGAGGGAACAGTCGAAAACGGCTTTGCATTGTTCGACACATTTAATTGATGGGAAAGCGTATTTCCTTGAAAAATTGTACCCATTTAAATTTTTTAATTGCTTAATACATCCCAACCGTTCCCATCGCCATTGTGTTTGTTATTTATCACACCTAATTTAATTAAGGTAAATAATTTATTTAAGGTTATCAGATCAAAAGTTTCCCACGTGAATATGGAACAATGTTTACACAAAAGATGGAAAATATATTATTGTAAAAACAATTTTTAAATTATGAGTATTTCTAAATACACGTTAAAAATCTGTGTTTGTAAAGTACATTTTTTTAGCGCGTCAAATATGTATTTATTTGAAAAAAAAAAACAATATTAATAGTACCTACCTATATTATATTCAGTACATAGTAAATCTTATACTGGAAAATTAAAAAAGGAAGCAAATTTTTTTTTTTTTTTTTAATATTAGATATTAACTCTGTCAAAGGTCTTCCACTGGGAATCTCTTTTCACTGAAGGCTCAGCTAATAAGTAAACTATCTTAAACTTTTTTTTCCAGTTTCCCATATTGTTTTTTTTACCTAATTACTACACTATTTGTATACAATGTATTTAGTATAGGTAACAAGTTCGTTTGTATGTAAACTCGGTAAAAAATTGTGGGAAATTTTGATTAAATCGTTTTCTACAGATTAAAACTAATATTTAGTTATCAAAAAAAAAAGATTTAGGTGTACGCCATGTCGGATTTGGGCATTGTACTTTTGTACAAGTTTTGTTTTTAATAATGCGCTTTATTTCATTATAAATGTACACTTAATATTTTATTTTATGCAATTAACCGAATTCCATAAATGTGTAAACTATAATTGTGCTGTACTTGTAATATTTTGTCAACACGTTTCAGTTGAAGTGCAATTGCTTTTTACTAATTTATTATAATACATTTTCGAATCTTATTTCTACCTTTCCACTAAAAAAAAAACATCTGAATCCGTCTGAATATGTATGGCAGCAATGTCTGAATTTAAAAAACATAAGGTTTTGGCTTGTGGGTAATCATTTACATGGCAGCAATGCAAAATAATTTATATCAGTAAAATACCTGAGTAAAAGTAGATTATACCTATACCTAATACACTGTTTAGGTAATAAGCGAATAATAAAAACAAATTCTGTCGAGTCAAGTTTCCACTATGACGGTATAAAGTTCAATTATAATTATTGGTGCACATAAAAAATATTATATAATCATAGTTAAATTACACCTTGATCAATGTTAACATGTTTTCGGTACCTACATGATAATAATATATTTTTACTTTATAATAGGTATTTAACGTGTACACATATTTTGTATTTATCAAACTACTTATCTTGCACTTATAATTAGTGTATAATTTTCGAAGTTTTAAGGCAATATCGAAAGTTCAGTTTTCAAGTATATTTCACATAGTCTTGAATAATTTAAATATGTTATCAACGCACATTATATAAAGACAAGACGGTTAGGTCTGAGGATTTCAGGCGACTGTTGCCCTAAAAAACAACAATGGGCACAAATTACTAATTAACGTCTTATAGAATGTTCTATGTGACGACTAACTAGTACTAATTGCACAAAAAAAAAATCATTACCGATTTGTAGTACAATTAATCTACTCGTGGGTGTTATAAATATCGCTTTAACAATTTACAAAAATAACAATATAAAAAACGGTATTTATAAATAATTCAGTTGTATTTTGTTGGAAAAACAATAAAAAATAAATATCCTAACTAGACAAACTAAAAAATATATATAATATATAAATACCATAAAAAATATATCCGCGAAACTTGGATAAATTGACCTTTCTTTTCCATAAAAATGTATTATAAAAAAATATTATAGTATGTTTAAAATGTAAAACAATAGTAAAGTATTAAAAAAAAAAAACAAGTTTCATGGAATACAAATGAGATATATACTTTTTTTTTTTTAATACAAAATAATAATCAACTATAAAACATTTTATAGTATAGTATAGTGCAGTATATGTATACTGTATTAATATAGTATAGTATATATTTACTTATTGCAGGTATGTAGGTATAAATAGTATTCATAATATAATATAACGTTAATAAATTAAAACGAATCACATTGTACAGTACACAGCACTGACAGTTCAGTCAGTTTCAATGACAAATTCTTGGTGTACATTTTTTTTTTAAATTATAATCGTACACCAATAATAGTTGTACAAGTTTAAACTTCCTTCAGAACAGCGTTTATCCATTTCAGATTCGACTTGACTTTGTCGTAGAGTCTTGGACGCATCATGCCGTCGGCTGAACAGGCTATACGCCAATTCGTCACGCCAATAAGAACCCAATTCTTTTTGCTCGAAGACAAACACATCATTGGACTTCCGGCGAATTCCTCTTCCGTACAATCGTTATGGTCGTAAATCGAATCGAAGCACAGTCCGTTCACACTGGTGATGCTTATGTTCGCACAGCTGTCCATGGACGTTTCTCTGACTTCTATCCGTTGAAGCGTATCGCCTGTAAAGCAAACAAACAACACTTCTTCAGCATGCGAAAAATAAAAGTCACCGGGCTGGGGGGACAGGGATTGCCGATTCCCGGGTTGACCGCAATCATAGCCATTTGTTGCTTGTACTTACGATTTTTGGCCCACCCCAATGTCTGACAATGCGTGAACGACCCGTCTCCTTGATCATCGGTCAGGCACACCGGTCGAATGTGATCCGAAACTGTTACCGGGGAATGTAGCTTGACCAACACCAGGGTGCTTCCTTCGACAGGCGATTTTACCATACCGACAATGTGTCTTTCCTGCTGCCACGGCGACATGGCGTTCAACCGGACAGCTCCTAGTCGGGCTACCCATTCTGCTTTGCTCTGTCTGAACGATTTCAAACAACTGTTATGAGTTGAGACGAGACAGCGGGAATTGTTAGAATTGAGAGTGATACGAGGATAGGTGTAGGACTACAGGTTGACCCCATGTAGTTGGAAGTGTAAGGCTAAGAAGAATCGAGAAGCACTCGTTAAGAAGAGGTCATATGTATTTACCCTTGAAAACACGAAGCACTGGTCAACAACCATTCGGTAGAAATGAGACTAGCATCGCACACGTGAGTTCCGCTTTTGAAAAGTATAGCGTGCCAAGGCCAGTCTCCGTGAGACGCCATTTTGCTCAATCCTTCGACACCGTATTTCGGTTTTTTATTCGTCTGGATGCCGCACACTGTTATCAGAACAATACTTTTACATGTATAGCGCAGGAACGTACCGTCGCAATAATAATAATAATAATTTTAAACGGGCAAACTTTTACCGGCATCACTGCATGCGACGTGCAGCACTTGTTTACTAGGACAAGACCCCAGGTTGAATGTGATTTCACTGGCAAACGGGTCGACGACATGCACGTATCTCGGTGGAGTCGCAGAAGACGGATCCTCGTCGTCGACTATTTCAATGTTTGAAAGGTTCCTAAAGTACAAAAGTAACATTATGTAACGCAAACCCGAGTACACAGCACACTCGTTACACTTACTGATAGTTGAGAGTACGGCAAAGAGACGTGGCTATCGTGTGAAGGGCTATATCCATTTTTTCGTTTGGTATATCCGTTTGAAAGTTACCGGCGCACAGTTTGCCGGTCATTCCTCTCTCGATGAAAAACACATAGCCCTCGGGATGATACATATCGACCGTGGCCAACGGTAAAATCTGGTCGACGGATCTGGCGTTTGGTGAAATAATTACTACATAAAAGAAAAAAAAGAAGAAACTAAAGCCATTTGTTAACACCGACAATCAACAATATGATCTCCATAGGAATGAAGGGTCATCGTTTGCACAACGCAAGACGGATTGTTCAAACAGCTTGCCTATACAGTGTAGGGTGGACACTGACAGAAATAACAAGCGAAACAAGCAGGGCTTAGTTTTACTGAAAAAAGTGAAACCTGAGGACTTTCGAGAACAGAGTATGGAAGAAAATATGTGGACCTATCATCGTTGAAACAACGGGTACTGTCGGAGGAGATACAACAAAGAGCTGTACGATATGTTGGAACTAGCACCAGTAACAAGCTTTATTAAGGGACAAAGGAAACAATGGTTCCGTCACATAATGAAATGAGGAGAGAACGAAACAGTTAGAGTAGCATTTTAATGGAAACCACAAGGGAAAAGATCTAGGAAAAGATGGATTGACGTGGTGGAAGAAGATCTAAAAACCCTTGGAGTTGAACATTGGAGAGAGGCAGTCCAAGATAGAGAGATTGGTGGAGAAGTGTAGTAATGCCGACAAAAACTCTTAGAGAGTAGACATGCCAGAGGAAGAAGACTACATTCACACACTCACAACAATTGCGTTCGTCCGTTTCGCCGGGACAATCCAGCACACCGTCGCATCGAGCCGACACGGGGATACAAGTCCTGGTGGTGACACAATGAAGGTACCCGGCTGGACAATAGCCGCAAGTCATTTCGTCGGACATGTCAGCACAATCTAGTACGCCGTCGCAAAGGCGATTGGCCAGTCCTGTGGTTCGCAGCTTGTAGTCGCACCCGGGTTTCGAGGCACACGCCGAATCGATGTTGCTGTATTCTGGAAATTTAGAACAGTCAAAGCCGTCCAGCAACTTTGCAGGTATCCTGTGCCCGCAGCCGTTGGTGAACAACCGACAGCTGTGTTTGCACGGCAACAGCATTTCGTCTTGCATGGTCTTGTCGTTGGACCTGCAAGCCGGCTGAAGGAGTTGACACACAAGATCCAACGTCCTCTGGTAGCATTCCGCGTCGACCAGATCTCTAAACCGTCATTATGAGTAGTAACGTTGAAAATATTCATTGAATCATAGTGTAAAAATACACGACAAAGTAAACAGGTATGATCACAACTTTGTGATAAACGCGACCCACGATTAACCTGAGAAAGTGGTGGGAGAGTTCCGCATCTTCTCATTGGTCTTTGGTATTTTGACCGTAGTTTTGGCGGAAGTCTCCCACCCTTCTGCGCCAGTTAATCAACAATTGGTTCGACGTGATAATACCTATTTGGTTTGTCTTATAAAATCATATAACGCTCTATGTACTCAGCAACGAAGTTGTTGTTCAAGAAGGCGAAAGACTGCGTGACCGCGCTTTAAATACAAATAAATACTTTTTTTTGATAGGTTGTTAAACATTGCGCCGTTTAGTCTTTATCGACTATACAGATCAATAGATAAATTCGAATTTCATACGATAATGTTATTATGAGTCATATGTTTTGTATCACATGGTCGCAGTAGTGATTCAAACTGAAAATAAGTATCTACCAAAGAAATTTCGTCATTCTGGTCACACTGTAGCTCGCTTTTTCGCCAACTTTATAGTATTAGACTTGATGCGATCCCTGCGTGGATTTAATAGTCCGGCATACCTGAACGCAATTAGATCATCGTGTATCTCGTCCAAACTGTTGTGCCCGAAATGGTTGGGGTAACTGGTCGTGTTGTACTCCAAGACCGATTTGCACAGGTTCAGCTTGACGGCAGTGCACTTTCTTGGCAGTGGCGTTGACGGATAGAAGTCCGTGACTGTCGTTTCAGGCGACACGGTCGAAGGTTTGACGGATAGCAGAGCGTTATTAGTTATCTGCTTAATGTGCAAGCTGCCAGGTATGATGTTTGTCGTAGAGTAGAGGCGACGGAAAGCCGACAGTATATCTTCTACAGTTACGGACGAAGTCCATCTCGCTGGATCGAATCTCAGCCAGAAGTGTACTTTTAAGTTGCTCTCCTCGACTCTGAAAACATAGTAATATTTTAAACGACGTTTTTGTTTATTTATTTATACCGTAATTTCGGGTGACATTGGAAAAATGGGGATATTTTGTTTTTCTCGGTTGGCTACACTGTCAGATCAAACAAATTCCGTTATAAAGTGTTATTATTGATCAGCTCGTGTTAAGGCAAGCACGTGAGTATAGTCGGCGCAAAAGAAGTTAAAGGTAAGTGTTATTTACACTAAAATAAACTCTTATAAAACAAATTTGTCAACATTTTAGTGTCAAAACTTCTAACGACCAAGGTGCGGTTTAATTTTTTAACAACAGTTTTGTAATGATTAATTAACTTGTATACTGTTATTAGTTTATAGTTGAAATCAAAAGTCATCAGAAATTACAGTAATGTATGGAAAATTATTGGGCATACAGTTCTAAGGCGACGACTTCGACGTCGATTAGTTTGTTTTCCAGCGGGCTGTTATTTATTATGTGTTTTATGATCCGTGTGTAGTTGGACGAAAACCGCTGATATTCTTGGCTGGCCGGGTTGTCAAAATCAATTAAGTCCACTCCTTTTTCAACCGTCGTCAAGTCACCTCTGAACACCCTTTCTTCGCCGTTGTACGTTCTTTGTAAATAGTCATCTGTAAACAACGAGTGGTCGTACAACATGTCAATAAAATTACAGTAACTGCTTTCACAAAGTTATTTACAACTTGTTAAAAAAAAAAACAATATTTATTCCTTTCCAGATTTAACCAATATGGTAGTAACATGGTCAGAGTTGGCAATAACTCGGGCGGCTTAATCTCTATAGAGTCTCTCTATTTAGGATTACGTTAGAAATTAAACCACCCGTTGCTCATATAGAGTATTGAAACTGATTAATGTTAAGTTTTAAAGTACTCCTCCATTTTTTTGTTCTTCCATCCAGTGGAAGTATCGAATCGCATATGTAAATACACCTTATACAATATAACTGTTCTCCTTTCCACAAACTGTGTGGGTTTTCGTGTGTAAGTATCAAAGTGTTGACAATTTTCTAATGTATAGCACTTTCCGACGAATCATTAGATTTTAATTATCTTAAAATGGAAAACAATTTCCTTTGTATTTTTTTTTTTTATTCTTATTTTATCTCCATTAAATGCCCATACTGCGTTCGACCCGGTAAATTAAAAACGATTTACTATAACATACAGTGTGACTATGAAAATACAATACACACAATGGATATGGCCGATCATGGGTGAAAGGAAGCGTCGTTTTGTTACACTTTCGTTCTGTTTACCCGTACAACTACTTCATACAGTATCAGGTAACAGAGTGAAGTGTGCAATTCTGTTGCATTCGAAGAGCTCATATAATGATATGCGACCAAAAACGTCTTGGGAACCATAAAATCCAAGTAGCTACAAATAAAGTACAAAGTAAATTTAACGTTTTTCAATTACCATTTATCATGCTCAGTTGACGAGACCAAACATAATACATCAAAACCCTTCCTTTCCTCCAGAAGGGTTGAAAATGTTTTCTTTATTTAAGCTTGTCTAGTTTCCACAAGGGTCGAAAGAGAAGAAATCGAACCACTAAAAGCAGTTTTCAAACGGTAACCTCGAGGTAAACGATCAAGTGGTCGACCCAGGAAGAGATGGATGAATGGGGTTGCAGAGGATCTAATAAGAAATTGACACTGACGGTTGGAATGAAACCGTACAGGATAGAGATAAGCGGCGTGATACTCTAATTGCGGGTAAAAGACTTAGAGAGTATTTATGCCAAGTGAAGAAGAAGAAGTTTAGAACTCAGTGTCTGGTAATATGACTGAGGGTATATCCAGCAGAGTGAGGCTGGCTACAACGTGTACAATTTTCTTAAAAATCTGTAGTCTGACTCTTATTTTTCAATAAGGAAAACCCACTACCCGAAAGAGGTAAAAATCATACTTACTGGATTAAAATGCACATAGTTGCGTTAAAATTAAAAATAGGTACAACTAATCAATCCGATGCCTATAAACATTCCTATTAAATAATGATAGTTTAAAATTCCACCGTTTATATTTTTCTACTTAAGAACAATTATTGTAATTAGGTACCTATATTACTGTATATAAAAGAGACCTCCGTAGTGACGGTATATAATCGCTGAACCGAATGAACGTAATCGGAATTAAGCAAAACGAAAATCTCCCATGAAATTATTTATCAGCGCATCACATAGTGTTTTTTTTACGGTGTTTGAGAAATTGCCAATCTGTCTTGAGAAAAAAAAACCCGCTGAACCGTTAGCCGTTAAAACACTAAAGATTGCCACTATAAATAGATTAGAAAAAACAATTTAATTAATTTTTTACTAAACAGTAATCGGTATTATGTACAGTAATCGCACGATTACAAAATAAAACAAGGATTCCGTTAAAAAAAAAAAAACACTATTATTCCCAAGAAGGATTAAATAATATTCTATATAAATACAACCTCTAATGAAATGATTGCTACTGATCGTTTTACCGACAACAATATTTGCGTTCAGATATTATAATAAGCCAAAAATGATTATCATCATACATGCATTTAACATTTACCAAATAGAAATAGTAGTTTGTTTAGACCGCTTAACATTCAATATTTTAATAACTTAGACGTCCGTATGGTATTTAATTATTTAGAGTTGATTTTTGATATTATTATTTTCATGTACTCACATCCGGCATACAGAGATATCGACGAAATCAACAAGAACAACAATAGCGTTTCAATGATACAACACTTCCACCGATATCTTTGGCTAAATTTTCTAGTGAACTTAAGTTCACTGTCGGTTGTCGAAGCATACGAACTGGCCGCTCCGCTCCCGACTGATACCTGAAATCAAATATACAATGAAAATTTAATACAAAATGGTCCATATACATGTGTATGGATTGAATTTATAACACATAAACCATGACTAAAATAATATACTTAATTTAACAGGTTAACCCCCTCTCAAAACCTCCTCAGTTATGAAACAACGGCAATTTAACCTAAAATACATCATTAACTTCAGGTTGGTGGTTTTAAAAGCGAATTAATCCTTGTATAGTTTTTTTTTTTTAAAGCAGATTTGAAAATACAGTTAGTACCTGCTCTGTTAGAAATGTCAACAACGTAAAAATGCAAAGATGTCCAGGAACTAATGGATAAGTTAGAATTAGAGACATTTATACTGTTCCATTCCTACTATGTATTTTATTTTAGAACTTCTCTTTTAAATTAAGTGCTACTCGTCCAGTCTGTCGTTGACATCTTCTCGACGCCTTTCAAGTTTGATAATTATAAATTTGTTTTTAGATATTTCACATTTATCTTATCGCCTTGAAACCCAAGACGGACAAAAAAACATTTTTTTAAATTAATTTTTTAAAATCTGTATTCGATTTTGCGCAGATTTGTATGTGAAATTAAATATTTACAAGGTCGTGTAAACACCGAGTATAGTTTTTCAGCTAAGGTAGACTTTTTCAAAAAAAAAATGCTTCCCTTGTAAAATCAAGGTTGAGGTCTTTAAGAAATATACTTTTTTTTTTTGAAATATCGAGGAGAGGGGTTTGTGTTGTTGTTACCTAGATTTCTTCAGTATGAATAGTCAGCCAACTTTGAAACGGTTAAATTTAAGTTAAGCTAATTTTATCATTAGCTTACGTTATAGGTATCTGTTCTTTAATTTCAAAAGTATTAATACATTTTTTTTTTTTGCTTGGAATTATTAATTTTTAGAATTATTTGTATTTTGTTACTCTAATTGAGCCAGAAATAAATAAATTGCTAGATTTGTTCACTGTTTTCTTACTCAGTTTATTTTACAAAGCCTAAGAACAATATCTTACCTCTACATTAATTCTAGGTTGAGATCATATCTCATTATCTATTTTCTCGACTACCATAAATATTTCAGAATCGTAACAGAATATAAAATTTCTTAGATTTATTTATATAGCAAATGTCGTGTGACGCTTTTTCCACGTGCACGTACCACGATCATAATATTATAATAGTAAAAATATAGTCATCAAGATGGCCCAATTACAACCGCGGTGAAAATACACACTAACCTGTCCTATCCGTGTACACGGTTTAAACTGTAGACAATAATAACATGGCTATAATAATAATAATAATGTGTAGCACGGTTTACATGCTTATCTATCCGTGAGAAAACAAAGCACCTGTTTCGGATCATAATAATTGTTTTTCTCTAATATCAATTCGTTGGTAAAATATAATTATTAATAATAACCGATAACGATATAAACAAAATTGTATAGGGAAAAGATGTAATAATAATAATAATTATGCAACCAACGAGGCAGTGATGAGTGAACAATAACTGAATAAATAATAATACAATGACGGTTAATGAGAAACGCTTCGATGAAAATCTAAAGACAAATGACAAACCCTAATTTTTGAATAGTATAAGTAAAAAAAAAAAGGTTAGGTGTAAACCGCCAGCAAACAGGATTATCGTAGAAAAGATATTTGTTGATATTTTGATCTAAAATCATAATTAATAATAAATTATGTAATGCTAAAATACAATTCGAGTATACATTTATTGAAAAATAACTAAAACCAAAAAATGAACACTCATTAGAAAAATAAAAAATGCTATTTAATACGTTGATTTTAAGTATTTAAACAAAAAAATCACAAAAATGAGTAAAACGACCGCAAAGTGATTTTTTGAAAATTAGGAGAACACGTGTATGAAAATGTGGATGTTTTTTTTTACTGAAAAACACATTTTTGTAGGTTTAATGGGTCAACTGCTTCCATAATATAATTGAACGATTAAATATTTAATAACGAAATTTCTCCGAGGTGAGACGCGCATTTTTCTAAAAACATTTATAAGTTATGGAATCTTTTAATTTGCTAATTGCTATTTCTCAACGTCTGAAATTTCTCCGATCTCCAGCATGACTAAAATAAAATAATTTTACACATTTATCGGTATTCTATTATGTCTTGACTGTGATAATTATTATTACTGACTAATTTCAAGACCTTTACAGCAGGTAAAGGATTTATTGGAATGTCGTGTGAGATCATTTAACAGACACTGCAATAGTTTTGCATAAAAAAAATGTATTAACCTGTTTATTAATATTAAATTTGAGTATGTAAAATAAAATACATTTATTATTTGTATTATTAATAACCGTAGAAAAAATAAAATACAGAGATGGGAGTAGCTAAAATGTTACATTGTAAAATAATAATGACCGTGCACAATTTAATGATTAAACACTATCCTATGTTGCTTAATTAATAATTTATATATTGATGATAATAATAAGCGAGTAGCGATTAAGCTCAATTAATTTATGTTTCCTAATTCAACGTTATAATAATTAAACGTTGAAGTAATTTTATAATGTAAGTTATAATATTTTAAACTGCTAACCAAGTTTCGTTTACTCGAAACCTAACCTAACCTAACCTAAGTAGACTTATTTATTTTTAATAAATCCCATAAAACACTATCGTGCTTCTACGTTTCCACCAGCAATAGGTGAAAACCTTACAAAATTTGCATAATATTATTGTACCGAATGCGTTCTATATACGGTGATTTAAATGTATTGTTTTTGTTAACGTTCAACGGGCGCATACAGACAGGAACTATTAGATGCGGCTGATAACAATATAATGTTATACAGATGTAGATTTTGATGTGAAATGATCGATGTTACTAAACGGTTCAATTTTGACGGTATATTATTCAATTTGTATCGAAAAAAAAAGTGAATGTAATTCTAATGTCAACGGGAAACCGTTTACGACGTCCCGTCCATTGTTGGCAATCGTTAAAATATCGTTTTTCGCATCTTTTGTGTGTATTCAAATGGCTACTGTCGTTGGAACTCCTACAACGAAAATTACTGTCGTTCTCATTTGATTTCTACACCAGTTGCTATTTGCTCGTCGAAACGGGTCAGAAAATTTTTTTTTAGAAAAATATCTCATTGTCTTGGCCGTTAAACTAGTTAGGTATCTTGGGTAATTTTTTTAATGGGAATACGCCGGCCAAATAGTGGTGGCGGATACAATGATAATAATACAAAATGAAAAGTAAAACTTTTTACAACACTAGTTCACAGGTTATTTATTTATTTATACAGCGAAAGTAGCAAAATGCTTTGACGTGCATTTTATTTTCAGCGAATTTGTTTATTGCCGCTTTGCTACAAAGAAAGTCCATTAATTAACAGTTTCGTCCGTATTTAACTGCTGTAAAATATATGTTTTCTCATCATTAACTATTTACTTTTTGTTTTCCCCTAAATAATAAAGAATACGTCCGTACGTTATTTTATGCCGTGGAAAACTACAGAAATCTTAGCAATTACTGGCTGTGCAGAAAAATTAACTAACTTCGTCGGTTAGTCAACGGTAGGACACTCATTTCTTGGGAAAACAGTTACTATTTTATAAATGTTATATTTTGAAAAAAATGTTTACTAAAAATATTGTACAACACTATAAAATCACCAAATATTTTTTTTTTTGTATTTTCCAGAGCGCTATCAACAGTCAACGTTTTTGGCAAATTATTCTTATTTTAAAAAAGCCAAAGTATATAATATGATTCTATTTAAGTTTCAAGAGTGGATGGCGCTTTGGAGAAAACTATAAAAAGAGTGTACACTTACTGACTCAACTTCACTGACTTACACTGACTCAAGTCAGTAAAATTGGTAATATCGCACTAAATGCAGACATATTATACCAACTAATACCAGTTAATGGTCGTACAACTATATAAGGTAGGTATTAGTACAAAATAATATATTATTATTATTTTATACACCGCACCGGTTAATGATTATTATTATTTTCCGCTACCGAGCACGGACCAAGCCGGGTAAAATGTGTATATAAAATATAATGGCTATAATAATATGGACCACGAGCAAAAATTGTATAATTTAACCGTATCCTATCAAGTATCACATGCACGTGTAATGTATATACAAGCGTGGCGAGTACAGATTTTTTTTTGGATTTTTTTAACACAGTAGTGTTTATTCATCACCTTCACGCATATTACCGTGTAGTATATAATATACATATTTTATTTTAATATATACCTACACCGCTATAATATCATTTACACGGATAATAACAAGAGCCGCCGTAGATGAACCGAAAGGTTTTTTTTTCTTTTAAATATAAAAAATATTATTCATATCCATTACCGCCTCTATGTGTATTTACAGGGTGATCCATCTGATGTAAGACGCTCGTTTTTTTTTTTTTGGAAAATATGAATATTTTGAAACACCAAGTCCATACTTGTTCACTTGTATACAAGGGATGAAGATGATAAAAATGTTTGAAAACAATAGTAAAATATGTATACACCTTCAAGCATTGGAAAACCCTAATTTACAAAATATTCACGTTTTCCGATAAAATTAATGTCTTACATCAGATGGAGCACCCTGTATATATATACGTAGGTACTGAAAAACAATCGCACGTTGGGCATAGGTACGTTTCTGGGGCGTCCACACGTGTGTACCCGGGGATCAGTAGTAGTAGTAGTCGCCGTTGACCCAGTTCCGCGAGCCATTTATAACCCACACTCTTGTTCCGTGTCCGAACTGCGGCGAAAATGAAAAATAACCCATAACGCACCGCGCTGTTCCGTCGATTATATATATGTATATAGTAACGCACATGGCGTACCGTTTACTATATTATTATATTAGGTACCTATGTACCCATTGATAACGTATAGGCGCACTTGACGAATCCCGGTCTCGTTGTCGACGGAATACGTTTTTTTTACCGTCGTCCGCGCGGTCACACATGGCGTCGCGGCGCACGGACAATGCCGTCGCGCGGACATGATAATGTGTTATTTTCTTTATCTGTCGCGTGACCGCGATGACGTCGCGTCGTGCGCACACGTACGAAAACATCACGCGGCCGTCGTCGTAGGTTTTTTGACATTTGTACGTTTTTCGGGCTTTGCCGAGTGAACGCCCTCCGCGCGCGGCCATATCGTTTACACGTACGGAGAGGATTTTTAATTCTATATTATTTTGCCAGAAATATTCGTGTCCAGATGACAGAAAAAAAATATATATATAGTGTTTGAGCACACGGACACGTCTATAATATATATATATCTATACACAAGTGTATGTATAGATAGTATAGATGATATATATTGTGTGTGTACGGCCCAAGTTGAATGTGGTTTCTCTCTTGGGAAGCGACGCCGCCGTTGCTTTCACACCGAATCGTAAACAAATGGTCATAATGTAAGAAAATAAATAATAAAAAAATATAATATTAAACTCTGGAATGGACTTGTGAAATTTTCTTGAAGGGCAAGCGCGCGCACACACAACACACTAGCTGCAAAACAGGTCGCCGCGCCGGCCAGGACCACCAAACGGTTTTTTATTATTATAAAAAATATGGTCACGATTTTATTGTTTTCTCCGAGTATCCCCAATGTATATAATATATGTGTATATAGGAACGACAGAGTTACATAAAAGTTTCAATATAAAGAAATGGTATTTTACGAGCGGTTGTTTAATGGCGATTATCTCCGAAAAAACACATACCTCACCTGTATAATATTATTATATTACCAGCGTAGACGGTGTAAACGCTGACAAAGGTGAGCGAAAGAAAATAAAACCGCAATGTTGTGCAGTGTAATGTTTGGAGACTTTAACGAATCATAATTTTCGAATGGAAACAACAATGGTGTGTAACTTGACACCGGTAATCGTCCAATTGACTCGAAAGGACTATTATTAACAATAATAATAATAATTGTAAACGAGTGAATGTATTTTTGTTTTTATAATTTATAATAATATAATAAGTTATAACGACCACTTTGATTGCGACGTTGCATTCGATTCTTATTTCAACGATTACTATATTATTATAATATGCTAGTAATTAATTGCACTAAACTTGTGTCATAATAATGAAATAATATCTATATGTTCAACAGTCGACAGCTGTTTATGTCCTTAGGTTCTGGCGCCAATCACACACTACGATTGGCGATGGAAAGTCCACAGAGAAAAATGTCCGCGGTGTAGGTCATGGTTGAAAAAGTGACTGACCGGCAGCAGCTGACCCGAGTTCAAACTCTTAGATCAAAGCGAAAGCGGACGAGAGTAGGAAATGATAAAATCGCTATCGGCTAAAACGCTTTGGCGCGAATCTGGCAAAATGCGGTTAAAACTGAATTTTTTTCAAGTATCATGGGGTATACGATTAGGGTTGGTCGTCTGTCTGTCCTATTACAAAACGACATAAGTAATGAAAATATTATTTGTCTGATACTTGTTACTGCGTTGGTTTAACTAGAGGGGAGACTGGGCAAGTCCAAATGACAGCAACCAATCGGGCACGACCTCCGAGTAAGGTTGAACATTCTCACTACGTTCTGAGGGAGCATTCAGAGTTTTTATAAGGTCCAAACTTTAAGTATTTGATTTTTGAGAACATTTCATACGTTTTGCGGTCACATCAGATCTACCTTTAGTCTAATTTTCAGATCTCATTCCATTGAAATACTAAAATCATAGGAATGTTTCTGCAGAAAAGGCTAATGTTTTTAGGCTGAGGTTTCACTTATTTGGAAATAGTTTGACTATTTTAAAAAACAGTTAATGAAAAATATGCACATTTCTAAAGGGCTTACAAACAGTTGGCACTGTAAAGTACCGGTTAAGTACGAGGTCTGATGTAAATGGTAGACTTTTGGTACACGAAGAAATCGGTTCGGCGGTTTAAGAGATATTGTTATCGTGGGACAAGATAGAAAATAAATATATATATATATATATATAATAAAAACACATCGTTGTAAAAGCAAAATACCTTCTCGGCTAACATGTCAGTTTTTTGGTAAAAAAAAAAAATCAAGCAGATAGAAACAAACGGTAATTATTATATTACCTATAATAATGTATGTGTTACAGGTTGATATGTGCGTTTGCCAAATAGGTAAGTATACAATTCGTTATGAGTGACCGCGGTTTTTAATTTTTTTCTTTTTTTTTCAATTTACCGTTAACTACTAGCCGTAGCAATTTATGACTAATAAACTTGGCGATTTGATTTTTCTAGGCAGACAAACCGTAGCCAAGCATGACGACGTGTACAATCACATTACCGGTCTTAAACCGAAAGTTTGTAGTGGACTTGTTGTTTGTTTGTTTGGCACGACAATTATTAATGTCAACGACAAAAATCTTTATAAAAAAAAATAGTTTATTAACGTTTATTTGATCAACGCCATAAATGGAATAATGAACGCGTTTAAGACGATGGCGGGTACACGTGCGTTTTGTTTAAATTACAAAATTTCTTTTTAATTAGCATTCCGGCTAGGTAAGAAGTAAACTGTTTTTATGAATAAAGTAAAACGTTCGGTTAATTGACTGTATTGTTGTGCAAGTGATTCACAGCAAGCTTCTCTCGTACTCTAGTATATATATATATATAAAATCGGTACATAAATATTAATGAGATGTGGTTTAAAACCAGGTCGTTTTGTTGCATTTTCTAAATTGCGATAATATAATATTATGCACGTTTAATGTTTGTATAAATGTAATATGCTAAACTACTTAATTAATTAGTATGATTTAATCATAATATTTATGTATTAATATTGATATGACTTGGAATTGGTTTGTTGTTTCACCATAATTAAATTTCCCGTTTAGAATCATTAAATGCCAAGTAACAGGCCGAGCTCTTTGAAACGCGTTTTGAAAAAAAATTTGCATAAAACCAAAATGAAACACTTATATATAAGCGGGTTGTACGCGCCAAAATCTGCTTGACTTGATTCGATAAAAAGCCTCGAAGATGTGAATTCGAATTTCACCAAAAACTTTCGAATAAGAAAACAAGCAAGTTAAAAAAAATGAATAAGAAAAAGTAAATGAATGCAATCATTGCCCTTGTCAAAGTTTAATGAAAATGGAGATTTTGTCCAATAACTTGAAAATACAAATGTTATTCGGCTTCTGACTTCACCGTGAGTTTTACTAACTTTATAATAGACTGTTATAAAATCAATGCTTTTTTAGTATCATGAAGAAAATGTAGTAGTTATATCGTTTTAACAAAGTTATAATAGGTATACATTTTGAAGACCTAACCCAAATTAATACGTGAAGGGTCAGGCGGGTTGCATATTAAAATGGTAACAAATGGGATGTAAAACTATATCTTCTTTTTTTTTGTTGCATACTAAGTAAATGAAGTCTAAAGTTGTATAATTTCAGAAGTAAATCAGATAAAGTAAAAAAAACCTCAATGAGACGATGGTAATGGTTTTGTTCCCAAACCTATCTCACTTTCTTGAACTCACTCCAATAACTCACTTCATTTGTCTTTGTACATTTTTTTTTTTTTTTAATTTTATTTTGATATTATTATCCTTTTATAATTTATAATAATTGTATTGATGAGAACCAAAAATAAAAAACGTTATAAAGGGTTTTTTTTTTTAAATTTCACTATTTTGGTCATACGATAAACTATTTATCAATAAGACCTTATTTATTTTTTTGTAATTATTTTCCATAAATTTCTGATAGTCTTAAGTTGTATTGAAAATCATAGCTATTTTTTAGAGGAATTGCAGTTAATAGTGTCATAGTGGTTTGGGTAGATTTCTCAAACGCAACAAGTTTAAGTTTCGATTGGGAATTTTCGGTTTTTCTACGTGTATACATATTTTAAATTAATTATCACGTTAGTGGTTTTTAGGAACGCCATTTTAAAAGTGGGAAAAATGAGAATTTTCAATCAAAGAAATTCATCCCAATAATAATATTATTGTAAACTAGGTATATGTGATATGACAGTTGGGAAAAAGTCAACCAAATTTAAAAGTGTGACTATACATTTTGAAATATACAGTATACTACCTTCTAGTTTAAAAGTAAATACAGTAAGTATAGCCTACAAGTTTCGAAAACTTACACCGGCAAAACAATAATATGCCATATATATATCTAGGTTTGTTCTTTTACTCACCTTAGTGTCCCAAGGATTTTTTCCGGTCATATTAATTGGGGTGTTTTGTATTTTTCACCAACCATACATTCATCTTTGTTGTTCATTCGCGGGTATCAGTGCATTTCAAAGTCTTTAAGAGACTACATAGGTTAACTACCAAAACACTACCGATCGACACTTTTATCAAAGTAATAAACAACAACAAAAATAGTAGATAATTCGAGAAAGAAAAATCACATAATATCGGAACTGAATTTTTAATTTTAATCCAGTTTATTGAGTTTATTGTTTAACGTGTACCTGGAAGTTTTTTTTATTAAACGTCTTAGTGGATAGACGGTCTGCACATGTACTAGAAGTGTGTCTGTTTGCAGCAGGCTCGGTGTCCGTTTGTGTTAAGAGTGGTCGCGGAGATCACTTTCTCCAACAACAGTTCCTCCGTTCCCGTTTTTTTTTTCTTTCTAGTCCGCCACTGAATTACAAGGATATGCATTTTTAGAAATCCATTAATCAAAATAACTTGTCTTGGAATTGCATTATTTATGTGTTAGAAAAAAAATCCAGCAAAGTCACATCCGATTTTTTTAAGTGTTTATAAGAAATGTATTATATAGATTAGCGTTAAACGCACAGAGGTAATATATTATATTATAATGTCCGCTAAACTATAAAAAAATTAATTATTTATAAACAACGTTTTGTAAACAAAAACGATATTTACAAAACCAAACCTAATTGCGTGGTATAACGGCAATTATCCGAAAGACATTTTTTTTAGACCGAATGATACAATGTTTATGTAATGTTATCTTAATGTAGACAATCAGGAATGTGTGTACAAATTGTACAGTCAAATTTAATTCCTAATCATGAGCGGTAACTTATCAGAATCCCCAATAAAATTAATTAATTATTATTTATGTATAATTCCCTTTTTTTTTTTTTAGGAAAAAAGACACTAGTGACTAGTTGGTAAGGCGATAGCATATATTTTACAAAAAAAAAATGGCAGTTTACATACCAATTATATATTTTTATAAAGATTTACAGTGATTTATTTTAAATTACAAGTATAGGTACTAGGTAGGTACCCAACAAGGTGGGTGACTAATTTGAATATTCCATAAATCCATTGACATGTAATTTGTATGTTACTTATAATTACAGTCCAATGAAAGATAAAATAAAATGGAAATGTATGGAAATTAAAGTGTAAAATTACCGATTCGATTTAAATACTATCAATATACCTAATAATTTTTTCAACGACCTGGAATTTCAATAGATATGTTTAAGTTTAATAAAATCCGGATTCTTGTTTGAGTGGTTGAAAAAATATGCAGGTCAACATTTAATTTTTAAATTTGGTACGTGAGTCGTAAACTTAAAAATTCAAACGAAAAGAGATAAAAGAAACGTTGGACTCTAAATATTATAATAAAAATTATATTAGTGTGTACACATAATACAAGACATATAATATATCCTATATGGGTATACTTGTACAAAGGTGCATATTTTTATGAAGCCCGAGAAAATTGTTCATTATTTTTATGCGGTTAAAAATTTACAACTCTACTTTGTTATTATATACCTACTCTCTTTTACATAACTTAAAATTGTATAAGATTTCATGTCACCAAGACAGGTAAAGTCAGTGTTATTAATTTTAATGTATTCATACAATAATATCCTCTATTAAAAACTAAATAGTGGCACATATAAAAAAAAAAAAAATACCTGAATAACCGATTTTATTTGAAAACAGATATTAGACATATTTTGTAGGCTGTATATTTTTTTGTTATGGTCTCTATAATATCCATAAATGCATATATTAGTTTTCTTTCATTGTAATTTAAACATGTATTGCGTTTTTTTTTCGTTGAAAATATTTATTTTAAATAAAGTACCTACCTATTATTATGTTATATTTAATATTATAATATAGGTACTTGAAATTGATGAGATCGATCGGCCTAATTAATATTTAGTCCACGTTTCTCACTATAAAACATTTCTATTACTAATTTACTGGCTTACTAGATTTGTTTACTGATCCCCCTCCCTTATAAAATCCTAAAAACACTAACATGCTTTTACATTTCTAGCTTAAGCTCAAAATATCACAAATTTTTTGTACCTCGAATTTATCATTTTTTAAAACAGTAATTAGAATAAAATATTACCGTTTAACAAAGAACCTAACCGTAACACTCTTTAAGTATTTAAATCTTCGAATTCATCTTTAAAATAAGAATATTGGATAGATGAGACTTCAGCTGTCGTCGGCATCATTATTATTATTATTTTTTGAGATTTTATTATTATTTATTCTCGTTTTGAACGCAATTTAAAATTCACGAACGAACACGCGATAACTGTAAAATATAGTTTATTGGGCTTCAACCAAAAACGCAGAAAATGTGCTGATGACAATATTATAAATCATAATGTACTGTTTACATTAAATAGGAATTTGTACGAGTAAACTGTGGAAAATAAATACAACAAAATAATTTAACTAATATTCGATTTTTGTACATGATATTTATTCAGTTAATTTTTATACTAAAATGATGTTCAAAACTATTTATTTGATGTATTGAAACATGAGATGTTGTTCATATTATACCACTTTCAAGAACAGAGTCTTAACAGATGTTTTGAGTGAAACATAAAGCAATTAGTGAATAAAAAAAACCCCAATTAATACAAACCATAAAAAACGTTTGTTTCATAAAACATAAATCACTCGATACAGATTTCTTATAGTAAAATAATTTATACCTATTCTTAGCATTGCAACGAAGCTAAAAAATAAGTATTAAGGTATTAAGACGCATTCAATTAAAATACCTGAGGTTGTAGTTCTGACTACAACCCATTAGATTTGTATTTAGACTTTAGTAAACACTTAAAAGATGCAGTATTTATGCGAATTGCGAACACTGGTATTGTCCAAATATATGTTAATAATAATAATATATAGGTAAATAGGTTACCGCTTACCGGTAACCAGTATTCTGGTAACGTTACCTATAGGCTCAATGCTCATTGAGAATTTACAATTATTTTAGGTCTGATGAGACTTTTGAAATTTTTTAAACTATAAGATTTTTTTCTTATAGCATTATTAAATTTAAAAAAAATTACATAAGTACTTCATATCCTAAGTCAACGATTTAAACGTTTGTTTTCCGCTTTAGTAAAACGGCGGTTTAACGTTCGAACATCAAATAATAATGTAACTCGGGTCTTGTAAGTATTATATTTACCTGCATTTCTTTCTTTTACAACTATTGATATATATATATATTTTGTTTGACACATCAGTTACATTTGTAACAGATACCTTCGATGTACAATGTATTAATAATTGACAAACAAACCACAAACAACTTTGTTTGCAAGCCACAAACCGTACAGAAAAAAAAATGTACCTAGTTGCAGGCCACTGATTAACGTTTCTTATGCCTATCGACAATTTGTGGTTTTTCTACAGTATTATCTGACAAATAACGGAATAAACGATGAGCTGTTGTGTTATATCATAAAATATCTGTAGCCCGGTAGCGTGATGATTTTGGAAAATGGTGTATAGTTTAATTAAAAAAAAAAACTTAACATTATACATATAGCTCGAGAAAGTTTTTCTGTATTAAAAATTAATTTAGATCCCCAATTGAAAATAATACTGCCCCTAGATAAGATGTAACATATTTTATTGAATACTACTATAAACACAATTATTAATCATTGTGATTTACAATATTGCATATTTTTACCGAATGGTTTGAAAAATAGCTAGGCAAGTTAAAAAATATATGAATTACATATTAAAGAATCCAAATTCTAAAATATGTTTTGCGTATTTAAATTTTTTTCATACAAACATTTAAAATTTTGGTCATCTAAAAATACTAACAAGTTAATGACAATACAAGAAGATTTTTTTTTTGGAAAATAAATATTTAGAACTTAAATTCAAATTACCAGTTTAAAAAGAAAAAAAAATCATAATTATTTTGTTAGAATAATTTGTTTCATTTGTGTTTTTAGAAAAGTAATGATAATTTTTTTTTTTTTATAGTTTATTAATTAATAACTAAATATTGTATACTAATACATTTTTTGTTTAGGTTTCATGATTACAATTAGTCTCAACATGTTAAAAAAAATATGAAATATGAGAAAAAGTTGATGTGTATAAATAACTTGTAGAGTCATCACAGTGAAATTAGTCTCTTACCTTGCACATAGAATTACTAGACATATTTTACAATATGTGGTAATGACATAACGTTCGACAGAGGTTATCGTAGAACATAGGTTAAACCAATCTGTTACTTTAGACTTGTTTATCTAGCCAATGATAATTTTATGTTAATGTTGAATATACAATTTTATTGGTTATAATTTATGTAATATACTTTTATATTATCGTCAAATACAAACATCGCTAATAAATTGTAAATCTATAAATAACAATAAATGTGGGGACCGGAGAAAAATTGTCACACACTAAACATGAATACTTCCGGTAATTAAAATTTTGTATTCTAATGTTAATATTTATTATTATTCAATTATTTCTAGACGCCCGTCATTAAAGAGCACACGCTTTATAAAATAAAAATATAATAATAATTGTATAAAATATATAATATAAAAAAAAAATATGAAATTTTAAATAAATAATAATAATATTGGTACGTAATGAATTAGAATAATTTACTATAACACTAGACACAATTAGTATTAGTAAATACGTGTGTACATTAAATACATGTTGCGTAAGTTATAATGTTTTTGGTTACAAATAGCCAATTAAAAAACATCCATATAATATTTACCTTTTCAGAATACCTTTAAAATCTTCAGAAAAGGAAATTATGAGTATTATTATTAATTTATTTCACAATAATAACAATAATGAGACTTAGAGTCAATAAATAAAACAGTAAATTTAACTTGCTGTAAATGTTTTGAAACAATTTATAAAGCTAGGAATATTACAAAAATGTATTATAATGCATTATTATAATTTATAAAGAATTCAAATGAAATCAAGTCGTTACTGTAACGTAAACTGTTATGGTATGTACATCATTTTTTATCAATATAGTTAATATAAACGTTAACTACAAATAATGCTATAATAATAGTTATAAAGCTATAATCGTCACAATTAATTAATCTAATCTCTATTCACTATACAGTTGTTGGTATACTACGTACGAGTAAAATGTTTTTGTTGTGTTTAAATTTAGATTATAAAAATTTGATATCCAATCACATTAAACTCGCACTTAATACTCACATTATTAAATTAAAAGAATATGATAACTTAAGAGAAAAATTATAGGTCGGTGTCGTACCAAGCTGCCACTTGGTTGTTGTCGTGAGGAGGTTCGGGTAAATCGCCCAAACGTCCAAAATCGATATCGTTAGGATTTCCAACATCCATTGGACTGCAGTTGGATTCTTGTTGGGAACATATTTCTAAGCCTTGCATAGAGTCTATTGGTAACGTGTCATACCCTGAACAAAACAAAATATGAATATTTCAGTACAAAACATAAAACGTTGTACTATAATTGTGTTCTCTTTTACTCCAATTCAGATTTTTTCTTGTACGTTTAGATGAGAAATAGCCTAGAGTGTGTTATTAATTGTTAGTGATATTATACTAACATTTCCAGTTTCAGGTTATACACCTAAGCAGGATAATATAAAAATTGTGGCATTTACAGTACTATATACATGTAAAGAAGTTATTAACCTTTATGCTTTAAAGAGTTTAAAGATCGTTCTACACCGGACGCGTATAGTACACAAGTTTTTTATATGCCACGGACAGATGTAAATCAGGGCTAAAAGTTGAGAATTAGTAAAGACTATTTTACTGTATTTAATTTTATCGTTCCCTAATAATTAGGATACTGCTTAGCCATACTTAACAAAGTCTATTACATAAACAGGTTTCAGGTTTGTTGATTAATTATACACTTGGGTAAAAGATAGTGTGATAAAAATGTATTTAAGTACTTACTGTTAGTAGTTTTTGCATGCAAAACAAACACTGGGTTAATAGAATTTAAAAAAATCAAGCGTATCAATACGTAAAATATAAGCGTACCTGACTGTTGATGGTAGTTGTTATGTCTTGTAGGTCCAACTCCATTATGTATGCTACCAAGTCCATGACCGTATAAGTCATATGCATCCTATTTTAAACACAAAACAGTCTAACTACTGAACACAAATAAGTCTCAATTCTAAATTGAAACAAAAAAAAAAAATGGAGTGGAAAATAAAGTATAATACAAAATAAAACCAGAGTTGGCAAAAAAAAAGCCCAAACCATTAAGGATTTATTGGGCTTACCCAACCCGGGTGCTGCAAACTGTGTATAAAATTAATTTAAAATGTCGTATCGTAACAAAACATCATGCTAATACTCGAATAGGTGTGCTAAACACCATGCACAAAAATATTAACTAAGTAAACATTCCACTAAAACATACCTCAAAGGGCGGTCATTTTTCCTGAAAACTATTAGTTACTTTTCTTAATGGTTTTTAATTACCTGAAGATCGGGTCCCATACCAAGGTCGTTGGGTGGCCACGTATTTTGATCTTCTCGGCACAGAGAATTACTTAATTCGGCCGATAACCTTTTTTTATAATCATTGGGTTTATCTTCAGACATTCTAAACAGAACTGCTGCTGCATACGTCGCTATATAATTAAAAATGCACTTGTTACATTTAGACGTTTTTGGACACGTTTCAAAAAAAAAAAAAATCAAAATTAATTTACTTACCAACTCCTTCATTACGGGAATGTAATAATTCTGTTAACGGTGCAGTGGCGCCTTCGGCTTCTATCATGTCAGCACCTTCTTTATCTATAGCTAACTCGCATAAAGCTCCCGCGGCAACTCTTTGGACGTTTTCAATGTCGTTGAAGAGCAATTGTACGAGTACAGCGATTAGCCCTTGTTGAGAGCGCATTAGTACTCTGTTGTGCGACTCTCGTGCGAGAATATGTAGTGCTCCCGTAGTACCTTCGACAATTTCTTCCATGCGGACACCGTCGGCGTATACACCACCGGACTGAGATCGACCTGATCCGGCGACACTGCTTGTCGTAGATGTCTAAACAAACATTTTTCTAAAATACTCATCTCATTCATGCAACTTGTGTGTTGAGATACATACTCTTTGGATGTCTTGGAATGCTCTCATTAACAAGCGAATTAGGTGATGAATGGCTCCATGGTCTCTGAGTGGCACATGGTTACCCTGACACTGAGCTATGTTCCTAATGAGCCCTATAGCTGCTTTGACGAGTGGCCAACGAGACGGGGGTTGTTGCAATAGTTTTACTATGACCTGAATGCCACCGATATGGCGAATAGCATTTTGAGCACTGTCCGATTCAACGTGTCTGGACGTCAAGTGTCTTAGAGCGCAAACCTTCATAAAATAAAGAAGTTTATAATTTTTAAACATAAATTAACTGTTTAAAATTAATACTAACTGCTGGCTCGGTAATTTCTTCACGATCTCCAGCATTCATTATCGTTTGAACTAACGCTTCAACACCGCCCACTTGAACGACAGTGACTTTATTTCGCTGGTTGTTACAAGTCAGGTTTGACAATATTCCGGCGGCACAAGTGACTACGTTGACATCAGAATGATTCAAAGCGATTACCAATGATTGCAATAGTTGTTCCAAACCATCAACCTAATATAGAATATATAACGGTCCAAATTTACAAACAAAGTAGATAACAATATTGGACGTGTACTTGTTTCTTCAATTGTATTTAACTACCTTAGTTCCAGCATCGGATAAATTACGCAACGTCCACAAAGCGTTTTGTACCAGCCGCTGACTACCGTGTTGTAAGTGCATTGCTAAAGCTTGCATACCACCAGCTTCGACGATAGCAGGTTTGTTACTTGAACATACGGATAATACTGTAAAAAACAAATTAAAATTAAGAACAAGACAACGAGATATATTGCAGTTAATTTTTTCAAGAAATGACTATTAAGGCAATAGAAAATGTAAAAATAGATGTAAATTATGCTTTCAAACCTTTCAGAACTCTAGACGTCGTCCATAAGAGCTTCTCGTAGTCATAAGAACGCATAATACGAACAAGTTCGATAGGCCCTTGAGACGCTAGAATGATTAATTTGCTCTCTTGATTTCCGTAGGCCAATATTTGTAGGCAGTCAGTTATGATTGTTAAAAATTTAACATTGTTACGCTGCAAAAGGGCAACCATTTTCTGTAAGCCTCCGGCGAGACGTACAGCCATTTTTGACCCCTCTTGATGAAGCAGAAGGTTGTGCAAAGTCGTTATCGCATAGTACAAAATCGATTCGACGGGGGAACTAATTGAAAAAAAAATGTTATAAAATATAATATAAGTCCCTACTAATGATGATGTGGTATCGAAGGTTAGCACACCATCAAAAATGTTTACCTGAGTAATTTAACAAGAGCTGGAATTCCGCCACTTTTAAATATGGCTAAAAGTCCTTGACGATGATGCGATAAATTATGTAAAGTACCGACAGCCCCTTTTGTCATTTCCAAATCATTACTGTTTGTTAAGGCTTTCACTAACGCAGCAACCATCTAAGAATATAAATCCATAGTATAAATAATTTTTCAATACATATACTATTAGGAAAAACAATTTTTAATTACCTGAGGGCTGTTCATTATCGCATGCCGTGACGCTTCTTTTTTTGATAATTGATGAACCATCATAGCAGCTTGCGATACAACAACTTGGTCTTCGTCGTTTAATAATTTTATTAATTCTGGAATAGCTCTAGTAGCTAAATCGGCATCGTCCTAACATATTGTTTATATTTAGATATATATTGATTGGCTATGAATTTAATAGACATTGTTACCTGATAATTAATTAGGTTAACCACAGCGTGCTTAAGCATTTGACTTGGTTCGGCTAATCGTTGGACAGCTGTCAGTTGTCCTTGATTAAATTGTGTGGATGGTATTTCAATACCTTCTTCCAGCGTTTCCGGAAACATTGCAGCTCGCACTCGTTGCGTTCGAGATTGACTAAGTTGTTGGTTCATATCTAATTTAATAATAAATAATGTTAATCGATAAAAACATTAAATGTTTAAATCACTAAAATGCCAAAACAAAATATTGAAAACATTTACCATCGACTTGATCTTGAGTGAAACCGTGCGAAAACCCTTGATTGAGTTCATAGATTAATTGATCTCTTTCCAAATCGTCTTCTTTATCGGTAATGGAATGTGCCTGGGTAGTACCCCCGGAATGGATTCCGGACTCCGGTAGGTATTGTCCACCTTGTTGCCACATCATTGCCGAGTCCTTAGAATAACCCGTGTTGCTAGGCACTAGATTAGGTAAAATAAGCAAAGCAAATTAGGTACAATATTAAGATTTGGATATTTTTAAAAAAATGTATATGATAATACTTACACACTCTGGTTTGATACATGTTGGATTCTAAAAAAAAAAAAAAACAATAACATTTATTGAAAGAGGAAATAATGACTCAATTACATCATTTACAAGAATTTATGACTCATTATCATACACCTAGTTTCTTTGCATATAGGTGCCTGTTTTTACAATACTGATTTTAAAATGTAAAAGAGTTAAGACTAATTTACCAATTAGGTATTTACAGATTGATTTTCTAATCAGTTTAAGTATTTACTAATTGGTCTGGAAACGATTGTTGCGTTGTTTATTGGTGTAATTAATTGCCAAGATCCAATGTTGTTGTTATTACGGTAACGATTCGATATTATTTATTAAATAAAACAATTACCTGTTCAAGAACGCTGTCAAACTATCCGATAATTCGTAAACGGAAGTGGAAGAAAAACAAATCAACACAAACACAAACAATATTTAATTATCAATAAGATTACAAACAGCAGCTACCGTTCGGAGTGCACTATCAAGATTACGAGGCGGCCATTCCCTGTGCAACGCCAAGGAGCAGCTCAAATATGTCTGAAATGGGAAAATATGTCACAACAATGAGTTATGGAATTATTGGTAGGTGTGTGTGGTGGGGGCGACAACGGGGTGAACGTACAAGAACACTACGGTCGATACGTGATTTTCGGCCGTAGTCGCTTACAGTGTAGCCACTTGTACGATATTAACTTTTAATTTTACCCAAAAAACAAGATGATAGACGGATATGTCGGGTCTGATTTACACATATTTTGGTGAATGCACCTGAAAAAATCATCCGAGATTGAATCAATAAAAATAAATTATATTGATCTCTGGAAAGAGACCCGTGTCGGTGAATTTTCAGTATCACATTCGAGTGATTTGTCGAGTTGCTAACTACCGTTGGGAAAACATTAACGTAGAAGTTACAAAAGCACCGACTTTGAATAACATAGCAGGAGAAAGGGTGGACCAAGCTTAAAAAATATAATAGCATGCTAGTGTATTAAATGGTTTTTACCATATTTTCAAAAATGTACAAGTTTTCAAGTAACTAAATTTGTTCGATGAAGATGTCAACAGGTAAAGAACTCATGTACTGGTAATATGTTCATATTATGTACACACTTTACCCAATGACTTGCATCCAATAAGTAGCAATATATTTTTAGATAACAGTAGGTAAAATAAAATAGTAAATAATAAGAATAAAACAGTATAAGATTACAACTATCAAAGCAATTATATTCATCTTAATCGATCAAAATTATAGTAAAAATTACAATAATAATAATAATAATATTTAGTTACTAATACACAGGACAAAAAATTAATAAAAAAAAAATTATTTTAAATAAGTCTCAATTGATAAATAAAACACTAATTTCAAGATACACGCACACACACACGTGTATATCTTGTTAACTTAATTTTATCTTAATATTGCTAGAATATCAATGTATAATATTATAGTTTAAGCAGTCAAAAAGTATTGTTGATTTGAACTTAAAAAAAAAAAGTTAAAATAACAATTAACAGCCATAGGGGTAAATTGTTATATATTTTATGGTATGAAAACAAACACACCTTAATGTTTTCGATTTATGGCATACAACAAGTAATGCAAAATGTTAATTACATTTTCATAATATAAAATTATTATTGTTCATCGAAATAATCACTTAACAACGTTAAAATATTATAATTTCCGAAATTAGTTCACACCAACGAGGTTCGTCTCATGATCAGAGTGGCATGGATGTCAGATCACTTTGTAGACCAAAATCTACGTCCATCGATCCGTAGCTGGAATCTTGCGGTGGACATATTTCCAACCCTTCCATTGAATCTAAGGGTAACGCGCCATACCCTGTACATTCAATGAAAAAATAAAAAGTTATTAGAAAATTGTACACGACATTTAATGTTAGTACAACCATAGATTAAAATATATACAATAAAATATAGAAATATTAAATAGATAGAGTACATTGAATGGATAATATCTTTTTTAGTATTCGAATAATTTTTTTATCTATACAGATGAAGCAATAAACATTTTTTTTAGCTTTTAATGAATTCTTATTACATTATGATAAAACTATTTGCTATTCGTTCTTTGTTTGAATAGTTATAAAATTATTTATTATTCATAAAAAAAAAAAAAATTATACAACAAACTATTTATTATATTGTTATCTATATTTTAGAGTATATTTAACTTGATTTAACTATAAGTGTATTGTTGTATTATTAGACAATAGTAGCACATGACTGTTCTTGTAATTAACAATTTGCGTACAAACATTCATAAATTTAGTAAAGAAATTAATTATCATTAAATTACTAAATTAAGACTGATAAAATTACTATTTCAAATGTCTCTATCACATAAAAATATTTAACTGTGAATTTAAGAATTTAAATTATCATAACATAAAATTTTTTTAAAAAATCAAATTAATTTTTTAGATTAACAATAATAAAATAATTATTATCGTAGTTAAAGTACAGCGATTGAATGCTAATTAAGTTAAGAGGCGTTTTATTGTTAGAAAAAGGCTTTATTCATAACCAAAAAACAAAATTCATTATAACAATATAATCCGAAACCGATTATTCTAAATTTTGAAATGCAATAACTAAATATATCGACTTACAAAAATTATATTTTACTTGTTAATTTTTAGTTTAGAAATGGTTTTTATAATTTTTTTTCAACAATCACAAAATTATTAATGTTAACAATGTAAATAAATAACTATTTTATATGTTAGTCAATGTTGTTAAAGTAGACGATACAGTATATTGTCGGCCAAACAGTATCAAAGGGGGGTTACAAAAAATCGGTTTATGGTAATAAAAATTTGTTAATATGTACTTGTGTATATGTCACTATTTCAATATAGTACATTATGAAACTGCGATATATGGTTATTTTACTGTTTTTAGCCAATAATATTTTGATCTAATAATAATAATAATGTTATATAGTATTACCGTTATCACCGATTAGTAGACTTACCTAATATAGCGACTAGCGTAGCTGTGAGTTAGCAAGTTAAAGCAAAAGCTAATCCAATTAAAAAAAAACCCACTAAATTCAAGCAAATGTATACTTTATTTTTTATTTGTGTACCTGAAGCACTGTGTTTGGGCGACCCTACACCACTGTAGACAGTGCTTAATCCTTGACCATAAATATCATACTCGTTCGCCCCTATCATGTCCTGTTGTGGAAACACACAAAAGCTCAAACATCAATTTACAGGTAAAACAAAATATTATCTAAGTTCATATTCATTAAAAAACTAAATAAATTACAACTACCAGGGTGTGTAATGAAAAATAAAATAATTTGTAAATAACCATACAAAGTAAAGCGCTAATTAAAACTAAATATCATGTAGAGAAGCCTGAACGGATTGTGTACGGAATCGACAAACCGCTTTGCGTTTTTTTTTTTTTACCGAATAGGACAGAACATGGAATTTTACTCGTCTTAGACATCGATTCGAATCAGAAAACGCACAAATCGAGGAAATTTTACTCAAATCAATCGTTGTAGAAAAAAATTTCTCGACGGGTACATAATTTCAGAAAGAACGTAACTGTGTAAGTAGTGTGGACAAACGGGAAACAAATCAAACATACAAAGGTGAGAAATGTTCCAATTTTTTTAAAACTAACCATTCTAAGTATAGAGTGATGATATACATAATATCTATTGTACATAACGATTTCTAATACTCTACGTACGTACATTACAAAGTGAAAACAAATCTAAATCTAAATATGTAAAAAAAAATAATGCAGCACACAAATTTCAATTGTATCATTTTACTCTACTTACCATTTAGAAGATATTACTCGAAATAATATGTACGTATATATATATATATATTTTTTTTTTATATATATAAAATTACTAAATTTGTTCTTTAAAAATTAAGTTCACACAAACGCATACCTGGAGATCGGGAGCTATACCGAGGTCACTGGAAGGCCATAAGTTTTGTTCTTCGCTAAACAGAGAATTTGTCAGTTCCATGGAAAGGCATTTTTGCAACTTATGTTCCGAGACCCTGGACAGGACGGCCGCAGCACATGTAGCTAAAAAACGACAGCGCACACATGTTTATAACATAATGATATCACGGTAGTATTATGTCGACAATGTTTGATTGACAATACTTACCCAGTGCTTCATTTCCACAGTGCAACAGATCAGTCAACGAAGCGGTTCCGCCTTCGGCTTCAATCATATCGGCACCTTCTTTGTCCGCAGCCAATTCGTTGAGCGTGTCTGCCGCCAAACGTTGTATGTTTTCAAAGTTATTGAACAACAGCTGTATCAACACAGACATAAACCCTTGTTGAGAACGTATGATCGATCGGCTTTGCGGTTCCTTGGCTAGGATTTGCAACGTTCCGGCAACACACTCGATCACTTCCTCCATTCGAACTCCGTCTTGTTTGACGCTAGTATTCGAATGCTATAGACAACAACAGTTAGGTATGCGAAGAAGTCGAAACGAGAATTTACATTTTTAGTCGTAAATAAATCACATTACATTTTGGAAATCTTGGAAAGCGCGCATTAAAAGTCCGACTAAATTATGCATGGCGTTGTGTTCACAAAGTAGTCCGTGTGACGCTTTGCATTGGGCGACGTTCTTTATCAATCCGATTACCGCTTTGATGAGAGGCCAATGAGACGCAGGCTGTAATAATTTGGCCACTATCTGAACGCCGCCAGCTCGGCAAAAAGCGTTGTGTGCGTTTTCGACTTCGGCATGACCGGACGTAATGTGTCGTAAAGCACAAACCTTGAATATTTATAAATATCGCCAATTAAACAAAAAAAACTATGAAGACATTTTAATTTATTTTATATAACTTACAGCGGGTTTTGTTATTTCCTCGTTGTCTCCGGCACTCATGATGGCACGGACTAGAGCATCGACACCACCGAATTGACATACAGTCAATTTATTTCTTTGATTATTACATGTTAAGTTTGATAATATTCCGGCGGCACACGTTACAATGTTCATGTTCGAATGACCTAGCGCCGCAACTAAAGATTGTAACAGTTGTTCGAGTCCGTCAATCTAAAATTTACAAAAAGTAATTAGATTAAAATTTTAAATACACTAAACATAATCGATTAGTCGACTTACTTTAGTTCCCGCATCGGATAAGTTTCTCAAAGTCCATAAAACATTATACACTAACTGTTGGCTGTCATGCTGAAGATGCATGGCCAATGCTTGCATTCCACCGGCTTCTACGATGGCCGGTTTGTTTCGTGAACAAACTGACAAAACTAAAAATAGTGAGTACATAAGTAAATAACAAACCAATTCACATTAATTTTTGTTATCGTTAATAATTGTTTAGTCGTATACCCTTCAGTACTCTGCAAGTCAGCCATAACAGTTTCTCATAGTTATAAGAGCGCATTATACGCACAAGTTCGACATGTCCCTGAGCCGCCAATATTATCAGTTTACTTTCTTGATTTCCGCATGCCAATATATGCAGACAGTCGGTAATGATGGTCAAAAATTTTACAGTGATTGAGTGACTGTTCGATTTGAAAGTCAAGAGAGACACCATCTTCTGTAATCCGCCGGCAACGCGCACAGCCATTTTCGAACCGTCTTGGTGTAGTAACAAATTATGAAGAGTTATTACGGCATCTCGTAGAATTGATACAACAGGTGAACTAAATGAATAAGAAAAAAAACAACATTAATTGTCATTCCTCTAAGTACACTAATAAAAAATTACCTCATTAGTTTAACTAGCGCTGGGATTCCTCCGCTTTTGAATATGGCCAACAAACCTTGTCGATGATTCGATAAGTTGCGCAACGTTCCAACTGCACCGATCGTTGTTTCTAAATCACTGCTATTGGCGACGGATTTAACTAACGTAGCGATCATCTACGGAAGAACATTTTTTAATTTCTCAAATAGTTGAACTCGACGACTACCAATTAGAAATGGATATTAAAATTAAAATTTCATTTACCTGTGGACTATTAATGATAGCGTGTAAGGCGGCTTCTCTGTTGGACAGTTGATAAACCATGACGGCCGCTTGGGAAACCACAACTTGATCTTCGTCGTTAAGCAATTTTATTAATTCTGGAATGGCCCATGTAGCTAGTTCAGCGTTATCTTGATAATTGATTAGATTCACAACGGCGTATTTCAACATTTGACTCGGGCCCGTCATGTTTTGCACATTAGCCGCACTGTTTACATTGAACTGAGCTGGCATTTCAACATCGTCCTCCAAATTGTCATTACAGTTTTGATTTAAATGTTGGTTCATACCTAAGCGACGTTTTACAATATAAGTTACACTAGTAAAACGCATCGATAGTATTATATAAAAAAATTAAAATAGTGTAATCGTGTATTATTACCGTCGACTTGCTCGTGCGGAAACGTCTGTGGAAATCCTTGATCGAGATCAAACAGAAGTCGGTCTCTCTCCATATCGTCTTCTTTGGTGGTGATGGAATGCGTTTGAGTGCTACCTCCGGACTGTATGCCGGAATCGGGCAAATACTGGCTTCCTTGTTGCCATACTAAGGACGGATCCTTAATATCCAGAGGCTCGTTAATGGAATTCACCATGTTTGCTGCCACTGTGAATAAAAGTAACGAGTAATACGATTAAACGTTAAAACTCAAGTAAGTATGTGTATTGAAATAAATATATCAAAATCCGGTGTTAAACATACTTCCTCGAGACTGATAGCTCATGGTCGACAGTGTCGATTCGATCAATGACCTGTAACGTTTGACAACGAAGCGAATGAACAATTATTGTTAAAAACTTGCACAATATTTTAATATTGCATTTAATGTTGAAAACAAGTCCTAATAAAAAAAAATGTTAAAAATATTGTTGTAACTCACCGAAATTGCTGCAACGGCGGCGGCGAACCGATCACAAAACGATTATTGCTGGTGGAAAGTTTTCAAGTGCGGCACATTCCTTGATAAAGCGCGACAACCGAGATTTCCAAGTATCGAGCAATAACCAAGCCTTACAATGAGGCGAACACAAAATGGCGTTCGTAAGGCTTGCGCGAGGGTGGTGTATGGTCCAGGATCCTTTGTGGGTTGTTGTGGCAGCCTGTCCAATACACTGGCAGGATGCAGGTTCACATTCCACACGGCCGCTTAAGTGGGGGCGATTATGACAGATCGGCTACAGAGCAGGTAGAGCGGTGCGTGCGGTGCATACACCGCGGTCGCTGCGACGGCGGTGCACTGCCTGAATAATATTATGGTATTATGGAAACGTTCAAAGGGTTCTTAAATTATTGAAGCGAGAATACCGTTTAAAAAAAACTAATATAATATATACTTTATATTTAAAAAAAAAATCAATCTAAACGAGCAAATTAAATAATATATATTTTTTATTCTGCGGTTTCACAACGAATTACACACATTACTCTGTTTGTCTGTTGGTACACCTTACGGTCCGCAGTTCGCATAGTGAAGATTCCCTGTGTGTTTGGATATAGGTACCTGTCAGCTTCTCGTTATTGTGATTGTGTTATCTGAAAATTGGCAGACAACGTCCGTTACCCGGTTCAGTCGTTTCAGCGTTCTTTAAAAAGTCAATACAAGTAATTACAATTCTTTAACTAAAAAAAAAAAAAAAGAGTGCTATATTGTTGTGGGTTTTTTATTATAAATAGTTTTACCTTGAAAGACATAATTATCATTTATCCTACGCCTTGACTCGATTGTAAGTAAACTGTTTATAGATTTTTTTTCCCCATTAATAGATGATTACCGGAATCCGGTATTCTAATATTTTAAATTATTGGAAACCCCAGCTGAGAATCGACAGACAATACAATAAAAACATAAATAATGTTTCAATGCCATACCATTGGATAAAAATGATTGATGTAGTTTTTATTAAAAAATCGAATGGATAAAAGTTCACCTTTATCCATTCAACTGTTCAGGAGACCACATTTTAGTCGATATATTATATTCAAATACTTTGAAATTTTTTTTTTGAATTTCTTAAACTCAATAGACATTCAACATAATGTTTTGCTGAATTGCGTATTTTCTTATATTATTATTATTTTTGGCCCTTTTTTTTTTTTTATCAATGCATAACTTCCGTATTAATTACTCGAACACAACCAATCGCTCGTAAGCTATCGACGTAATTATCTCACAGTTTAATTTTAACTCAAACAATTCTAAATAAGTCCATTTCGTGTACGTCGGGAGCAAACTATTTCCATTTTGAATTGTGTGGATATCGAACTTGATTAAAAATGTATTCTGTTTAGTTCAAGACATGGCTGACGAATCACCACCAATCAAAAAATCGAAATTATCTACTTCAGATGCCGGTTCGTCAGCACAGAGCAATTTTTTAAGTACTGTGTCTGCTCAAAGGAAAAAAGTAAGTTAGATTTGGTTTTTTTCTTTCTTATTAATGTAAACCCAAGTGTACAACTAAAACGGACGTGTGTTTAGACGGCTCCTTCGGTAATGGAATTCAATTTCAATAAAAAACGTGTACGAGTTTTGTCCGACGTAAAAGAAGTACCTGAATGGGCTGATGGAATAATTTATTGGACTTTCCGAGACGAACGAATCCATGGTAATGATTAATTTTTTTTTTCAATTTTATGATGGTGTGTGCAGAGTAATTCAAATAAAACATCATATTAATGCAATTGTATTCTTAATGTGTTAACATTGTGTTAATACCGTAAATTACATTTTTTATACATTGTTGAAGTGTACAGTGTTGAAATTTTTTTTTTTTTTTCAGATAACTGGGCATTCCTGTACGCACAAAAATTAGCTTTGAAAAATAAAGTATCGTTGCACATCACATTTTGTAGATTACAAAAGTTTTTAGACTGTAGTCTTCGGCATTACAAACATATCTTTGAAGGTATGAAATTAATATAAATTAAAAAAAGTATAAAATATTCCGTTAGCTAATGTTTTGCACTTTAACAGGCTTAGAGGAATTGGAGACTGAATGCAATTCGTTGAACGTACAGTTTCATTTCTTAATCGGTTGTGCGGCCGACGTACTGCCAGACTTTGTCAGGAAACACAAGTTGGGAGCTGTTGTAGTCGATTTCATGCCCGTCAGAGAACACATGTTGTGGACGAAACAACTGGCACAACGTCTCGGATCAGAAGTGCCGGTCGTGCAAGTCGACGCTCACAACATTGTACCCTGTTGGGTGGCGTCCGACAAACAGGAATACGCCGCGAGGACGATACGCAATAAGATCAACAGCAAGCTGTCGGAATTTCTAACGGAATTCCCGCCCGTAATAAAGCATCCGTACGGCGGTAAACTCAAGGCAAAAGTACTGTGGTTTTCGAAATAAACAAACTTACGTAATGATAAATTATACTTGTAATTGTCTCGTGTTAGCCAACCGACTGGAATGAAGCCGACAAAACGCTCGAAGTCGACCGTTCAGTCGGACCCGTCGCCGGGCTGAAAGCCGGTTACAAAGCGGGAATGAACGAGTTGGAAATGTTTTTGAAAAAAAGGCTACCGAATTATGCGACCGCTCGTAACAATCCTGTAAAAGACGGTCTTAGCAAGCTTTCGCCGTGGCTGCATTTCGGTGAATGGCTAAAACCGATTTTGTTTTATCAATTATATTATGCTGTGATATATTAACAAATTTCTAATATTTTTTCAGGTCAGATATCGGCTCAAAGGTGTATTTTGGAAGTAAGCAAGTTTTCCGGCAAATACAAAGACAGCGTTGCGGCTTACAGGGAGGAAGCGATCGTGAGACGCGAACTGTCGGACAACTTTTGTTTTTACAATCCGAAATACGATTCTATCGAGGGCGCGCCGAATTGGGCCCGAACTACTCTTAACGATCACAAGTAAAGTCTTATCGCTGCTGTGTATTGATCATAACTGATAAGTCCAACTATTATTATGTCTTTTTTTTTTTTTTTTATCCAGGAAAGACAAACGTAAATACGTTTACACCCGAGAAGAACTCGAAAAGTCTCGCACTCACGACGACTTGTGGAATTCCGCTCAGCTACAATTGGTGAACCAAGGCAAAATGCACGGTTTCCTGCGTATGTACTGGGCGAAAAAAATACTGGAGTGGACCGACACTCCGGAAAGGGCGTTGGCGGACTCGATTTACCTGAACGACAAGTACAGCATGGACGGCCGGGATCCGAGCGGTTTCGTCGGCTGCATGTGGTCCGTGTGCGGCATTCACGATCAAGGCTGGAAGGAACGAGAGATCTTCGGCAAGATTAGATACATGAACTACGAAGGGTGTAAGAGGAAATTCGATATCAACGCTTTTATAGTTAGATACGGCGGAAAGATTCATAAGTATACTAAAAAATAAAACCACCGACAGTATTGTTTATTTTATTTACTGTTTACACTTACTTAATGTTTTACTTTTTTTACTTTTTATTTGTGTTTAAATTTAAATTTATTATTTATAAATAATAATATAAAATCTTAAAGTCGTGTAAACGTTATCGAGTTTACCGTTGTAACCATATGTTTTTTTTTGCAGTACTCTCCTATGGGGAATGTACTGCAGTAGTAAGTTTTTAGTTTATATTGTAAACAACAGTGAATATTATGTCAATTTATTAATTTTTTTTTAATTATACTAACATTTTTTTACTATTTTCTACATGTGAGTATTACTTTGACTTGGAACGACGACAACAAAGAAAAACCAATTGCAAACGATTTTTGTAATTATTTACTATTAAATACAACGCTTAGGTTTAAGGGCGACATTTGTTTATTTAAATTTTATTAAATATTTTTATAATCCAATATAAATTATTTTAACAGATTGTTTTTTTTTTTTTTTACTCGAGGACAGAAACCACTACTTTGAATAAGAATTGTAAGTAATGAGCATATGTTTTTATTGTTAAAATTTATATCTTAAGAAAATATTTCCACACATTTTTCAGTTTTACAGCTATTGTATTGTAATAAAAATATTATCTAATATTCAGAGAGGATTGCTGCGTGCTGTCTGTTTTTAAGGAGTTTGGTATAGGCAATATTGCGGTTTTGATCCGCATTTCGACCATGCCATGTTAATTTACCGGTGTTAATGTCAAGTAAGATCTGAAACGCCTGTACTAAAATAAACAAGGAATATGGGCACCATAGTAAATACCGTACACTGTCACAAGAGGTATTTACAGACCATTATAGGGCAAAGAAATAGCATAATACTGGGTAATAAAACCGACGATGGTCACTTGTCAACTAGTTATTATCTTATCTAAAATAATTGTAATACCTACTGTATATTATTGAGTACAACTCGCAGCAATCGAACCGTCGCTGAACACAAGAATATTGTATGGAATTATTTTTACCAACAAGTACAACATTTTTACAAAGACCTTCGAATAGTCAGTGTCTATTTGTAAGTCGATCCACGCTTTTGGATCCACCTCTTTTTTTTGTTCTTAAATATTGCCCCTACCTATAGAAGTCTTCTTAAAAACAGTCCACGTGCCAAATCAGGTACATTTTTAGATTTATAAAATATATAGCTATGAAACTATATTCTCGCTGTACTCTGTAAAGTCTATATTTTACTAGGCGGTTTTTACAATTAAATGTACATACCTACTATCGAATTTACACAGACCGTTTGTAATTTTAATGTCTTCTAATTTTCGGTGTGTATTTAGCGGATAAAATGACAGACAACAAAGTTCAACCGTGGAAAACGCATACTATTTCGGAAAGTATTGGCTACGGCAAATGTAAGTATAGCTTCATTTTTCGGTTTAAGTATAACCGTTTTTTTTTTTTTGAACTAAGGGACCGCGATTTTTCATAGAAACTCTGAAAGACGACCGGAAATGTGGATTTATAAAATCCCAACAATATTGCCCCCCTGGTGTGTGACGAACAATAAAAGTAGTAGTATGAGATAAGAGATTTCAATAGCAAAAAAAAATTAGAAATTCAGTGGCCGTCTGTAATGTTTTCCACTTTTTTCCCCCTAGAAAAATGTCTTTATTATAATGTATATTTGCATCTATACAAAATACATTATGCACAACAGTAAATGGGTAAACAGTAAAAAAAAAAATAATAATAATATATCTTGAATAACATGCAGTAGGGGGGCACCTGATGGGCTCACCTACTTTGAATTTTGCGTTAGTTTATCTAATAATTGTTTTAATTTATAGGAGGTCTCTACGCCATTTCTTTTTTAATATTGATTAAGTTTGGAACGTAAGAGAGAGGACGAAGTAGATTAAGTCTGGTGTTTAATTGTTTTCTTATTTTTCAGTTATATGATCTTTCCAAGTTAGGCGTTTGTCAAAAATGAGGCCTAAGTATTTTACTCGGTTAGTTTGGGAGAGTACAGTGTTGTGGAGTTTGACAGTTGTCTGGCCGAAGAGAAGAGGTGATGTGATATTTGATTTGCTTGTGTATTAAATTTTATTTTCCACTTGGTAAACCATTTTTTTCTAGTAGATTGTGGCGGTGTTGGAGTTTAAAATTTGCAATTAAGGGATCAGCGTCAAATGCTAGTGTACCTGTATCGTAAATTATTTATCCTTTTTTTTTTTTTTTTCTAGTAAGAGACAACCAAAACTGGTCGAGCAGTTATTGTTTTGTGGTCGGCTCTGATCCTCAGTTTGGTTATTGCACCGACTGCAAACCTCGGCCTCCCACGTGCTGGCACCAAGAAATGAATAGATCCATGAAGGCTGTGGAGAAAATCAACGCTTTAAGGCCCAGGCCTCAGTTTGTAGTGATTTGCGGTGATCTGGTGCACGCCATGCCCAGTGAGTGTTACTCTATATTTTTTATGAATACAACAATATGTTGTAATAATATAAAGAGATGAACAAACATAATAATAGTATACTAGCTTGTATGCAAGAGCCAAGTAAAAAGTAGGACCAGTAACCAGTATGACCACATGGAGGGAAAAAAATGCTTTATTGTCGAACAAATAAAACAACTGGGCATTGTCGTTAACTAATACAAATTAATAGCTAAAACTTATATTGTACAAATTAATAATAATACATTTAATATATATTTTATCGAATTTAAAAAACAAAATTTTTTTCGAAACACTGTTATCATTGATATTATCTTATCACCACGATACATTGAACGATAATTATTTTCTTCTATGTTGGCACACTGACTTTAGTCCTAGTGTTTGCAACACATTTAAAACTACCATAGCCACAATAGTAGGATAGATAAAACAGAATAGGACAAATATTTATTAAAACTACCTAAATCCATATTGTTGTTGATACATATTATTATACAGGTAAAGACGAAAAAACGAATAAATTACAAGTGCAAGATTTTAAAAAGGTGTACGATAAGTTACACCGGTCTATATCTCTTGTGTGCGTTTGCGGCAATCACGATGTAGGCAATGAAGCAGACGAACAATCTATTGATATGCAAGTATTTATTATCAAACAAAACGACATATATTTGAAGAAAAAAAACCCAATATGTTTTACTGTTCGGGTATAGGTATCGTGACGAATTTGGCCAAGATTATTTTTCGTATTGGTGTGGTGGTGTACGGTTTTTAGTGCTGAACACTCAGTATTACAAAAAGAACACAGTACAGGAAAAGGCAAAGGAACAACAACAATGGCTGGAAGGACAGCTGGCCAAACACAAAGGACAACGAATTGTTGTATTCCAACATATAGCGTGGTTCGCACTGAAAATCGACGAAGACGAGACAGATTATAATCTTGGTAAACAATTAAGAATGGAGATGCTCGAAAAATTCGCCAAAGCTGGTAGGTAAAGAGGGGTTTTATTTTTAAAACAATTTTTTGTAACTTTGCTAGAAAGTCATAAACGTGTGTGAATGTTCAAATCGATAACTGTTCAACTGTGTTTTTTTGCAAACATGTGATTTTTTTTTTGTTTTCAGGCGTCACTCATATATTTTATGGACACATTCATAGAAACCACGAAACGTCCTATAAAGGCATGGACATGATCACTACTAATGCCATTGGTAATCCGCTCGGAGAAAACCCTGACCCGCCCGGTTTGAGACTGGTAAAAGTTTATGAAAATAACTTGACACATCAATACTATTCTTTAGAAGAATTTCCTTGTTGTGTCGATTTAAATTAGTCAGATTATATACATATTAAGATAATTGTGATATAACTTTAAAAATAAATAATACTACACGATTATTAAATATTATGCAAAAGTAAATTTATATTATTCATTTTGTTTCGAAAACAATATTAATCCGCTAGATTTGTAATTGAAAAGTTGTAATAATTTTTTAAAAATATATATATGTTTATTATTAATTTCCATGATATCAAATTTTCCTTTCTTTGTTTACGGAGCTGATCCCAAAGGTATAAAATATGTTTTGAAACTTTCTACATTCTTCTTTTGAGTAGTAACTGTGAATGCAATTTAGAGCTTCGGGATCTTTTTATTTTTTATGAGCGAGTATTGTAGATTTACTTCTATGCATAGGTACTTTTGTACACACAATTAAATAAACACCTTATCCACAAAGAGACTCGAATTGAATAATTTTGTGAATGGTTTTTTTTTATTCCACAAGTGTAACTCTTTAAGTCCAATTTTGATCAAATAAAAAACCTCTGACTACCCTACAATCGTTGATCTATATAGTGCTTTACCTTAGCTTCTTCATAGTCACATCTGATGCTTCTCTTTTTTTCTATTAGTACATTAAATGTTTCAATTCCATTTTAATTTTTAGTAAAAGTAATTAATTTCCGACCTAAATACCGAATCGATTAAATCGAATAAGATTTATATAATTGTTGGAAAATAATGTTGACGTACTTTCTTGTTGTAAAAGTAGGTATACTGTTTATGTAAAGAGTAAGCTGTTAGTATATAGATACATATTGTCATACAATTTTCGTCGATGATGATTTTTTATTTAAGTGAATTTTCAATATATTTTTTGCACCTATCGCAAAATATGTATTTTATCTTTTCGTGTCAAGGTCCCACCACTTACAGTAATAATAATGTTGTAATTCCTGACAATCGCCGTTTCATACAATAATAAACACTTTATACTTTTTTTAATACTTTATACTCGGCGCTACGTGTCAGCTTTTTAGACACGAGCACACACACAAGTCCTAATGGACAGCACAACTTTCGAACAAACACAACTTTTCCAATAACATATTTTTTTGGGTCACAAAATCAAATTTAAACGTTACACTTGGTTTGCCTTGCATACGTAGAATAAACCAAAACTTAAATCTCTTTGCATAATTGAAATTGTAAAATGTATTATTATTATTATTATTATTATTGCAATACATCCGAATTTTACAATAATTTAAGTGTTAAACGTGGGAGTTCAATACACACCTAACCTGATTTAACCTAAATTGCGTTTGCCACCATTTTGTACAGCAAGAAATGTCCTAGGCTTGTAAAGGACAAATTCTCGGTTGCTACTAAAATATAATGTGCCAAAAGTAGATTTTAAAATAAATGAGGTGAATATAAGTAGTAATGTTAAAAAGTATGGTTTTCTGAATAATGTGCTATGTAGTTTCCAATGTTTACATAAATACAAAGTGTGGTAGCGCAGTTTTTTTTTTTTTTTTAATACGTCTTTGTTTGTGCAGTAAAATACAACGTCTATTTCTTAGACAAAACGAATATTATTTCGAAACGATTTTCTAAAAAACCTGGCTAGCATTGAGCATTAGAATCATTAGGTGATTTCATTTCGTCAAAAGTCTTTAAGCGATGTTAACCTTTAACGAAACCGCACAAATGAATAGTACAAAAAATGTTATTTTATTGTTTTTTATGTATAACATTGCAGCAGTCTATTCTATGGATGCTGGGGTAATTATATTTTTTGCAACAATAACTTACGATTAGTTCTAAATCATTATAATTATTTTTTATATTATTAGAGTTCAGTAATTTTTAAATATTAGTTAATAGTTTAACTATTTAACTAACCGGTTACTATTTGCGAAATCAATGCAATGTGATTTTATTGAAAAAATGTTAATATTTATTTTAAAAAAATGTGCTCATACAAAAATATTATCATTGTTTTTCAAATGAATTAACTTATCAATGTCCAAAGGATATAAATGAACTTAAAAAATGGACACAGACCCTCAAATCAGCAAGAATATTGAATTCGAGTCTATTGGTACCAATACCTCCCGAATCCTATAAGGTAATTTTTGTATAAATCGCAATAATCAAAAATATAAACATTAACCGTTGTTTTAATTTAAAGATTTATATAAAGGAATTATTGGAAGTTAGTAACCCGAAATTGTCAGATGAAATTACGAATCACCTTGTTAAACACGCCAATGAAAGTAACTGGCCTAATGGTATATCGACGAAGGAATTACGAGACATTAATAAGGAACATATGGACAAGTATAAGTGTAGACTTAGTCCGCGAAAAATACAATCAAGACAGTTAGTAATCGTGTTGGCATCAGAAAATGAAAAGCTGATACCTGAAGATATGACTGCTGTTCCAGCATTTATCATGGTGTTCGAGTTTGGAGGATTAATTGTACGAAGTTTTTATGTTACAATGACTAAAAAGTGTATTATATATATATATAAGTTGTTCTATAAGTAGTACTTGCTTAGTATTTGTTTTTCAAAATTAATTAGCCTATCACTATTTTTAGGCCGTCCAAGAAACATATTCACCGGCATTAGACGGGTTGGAAATAGATACATCGGGAACAGATGTGTCTCAAATGACAGATCTGTCAGATCTGGCGAAGACCCTGAAACCAGCAACAGTTGTGTTTTGGGGTGGAGTGCGATCTCCGCTGTACGGGCCTCTTGTTGAATATCAAGTAATTTTCGCTTAAATTGTATTAATCAAAACAATGAAAACTAAACCGTTGTTTTCATATTTTAAAGAATTCCGTACGGGGTGGATTGGTTAATTGGCCACCTGAATTTGTGGATGAACTTGTTAAAAAATTGGATGAAAAAAGCTGGCCTCCTGGACTCGCGGACGGGCTAACAAGGAAAGATAATCAGATTTATTTGGACAAATTAAACTGTAGACGTCTTCCGTTTGTAAGATATTATCAGTATGAAGAAGCAGTAATCGTGTTCGCTTCTGATAATCCAACGATGTCTGAAGAATTTATTGATAAGAAAGCATTTGTAATGTTTTTCTCTAAAGGATCTACAGTAGATAAAGAAGTTATTGTAATACCTCGCCCTTCTACTGCCAGCTTTCATATAATATAATATGTAATCAATTGTCTCTACTTTTTCAATTTTTACGAATAATGTTATCTCAGAAAATAAACAGACTGGAAAGTAATCATCCATTTTAAAAAGTTTAATTTAAAAAAACAAAAGTTTTATTTTAATTTTTGCATTGTTATGGACATAACACCTACAGTCACTTAAAAGTGTCTGGATGATGATACTATACTAGTGCTGCCAACACATTTATTTTAGAAGTTGTATTAACAATTGAGTAGCGCAATGTTTATAAAAAAAATTAAAACAAATGCTATTGATATTTGATTAACTCGTAACAATGCCGAATGTTAGTCAGAGTCACTAAACAATGGACCGTGGCTTCTTATTTCCCTTATACTGGTAACACTGACGTCCGACCATAAGTTTCGAACCACTAATCTGTTCAGGCGTGTGACGTCACGAAGCGTCAAGATGAACTGGAAGAGGTATGGTAAGGGTAACTTATTTCAATAGAAAAAAAAAATGAAATATATAATAACAATGTTTAAAACTAGTTAGCTTAAAAAACTAGCTTAAAAAAAAATAGCTTAGCATGTATATCTAAATATAATATACAGGGGTTCCAAAATCACTACTCCCTAAATCCTTTTACCGAAGAGAGAAAAAATTACAATGACCTTAAATATCATTGTATGATAAAAACCCAAAATTATTCACAAAATCGATAACAAGTCAGGTGGCCATGAAATTCTAAACGTTTACAGTCTTTTGAACGTGTAAAAAACATTTACATAAGCGACTACTATATTTTCATTTATGTAAACGGTGCAAATGGAAACGCACATCAACAAACACACAAGTGTTTTTTTAAGGTAAAAAAATAAGTAGTGGTTCCGGTGAGGCAAGAATTCGTTAAACAACAGTTAAACAAAAAATCATAGTTTTGTTTACTTTTGAACTCACATATTAAAACACATGCGTCGATGCACGAAATCCCACAGAAAAACTCACTTTCTAACAATTCAAATAACTCATATACATGTTTGCATTGTCTTATTGTTTGTGAAGCACCCTGTATACGCAATCCGTGGGATGAGACCACTAATATTTTGAAAATGTCTTAAACAAACTCAATTTAAACCAACTTGAAATATAATGCGCCCAAAGTAGATTAGAAAAAAAAATGAGGTGAATGTAAGTAGACAAAAAATAGCTGATGGGTTTTGAAATTATTTTACAGAATGTGAATTTAAATCGGCTTTCAGTGAAATATTAAAACAAACAGGTCAATCAGTTTTTCAATCATTACATTTTTGAATTAATACAATTGCAAAATAATAAACCATAGTAAAGCAGATTTGTTTTACTTTATATTGACATGAGGGGACACGTGTATTTTTGAAACCTGTTTTTTTTGTTTTCAAATGTTAAAAAGTATGGTTTTCTGTATAGTGTGCTATGTAGTTCCCAATGTTTACATAAATAAAAAGTGTAGTACATTGTGTATAATCCTAGTAATATGCTATGATAAAACGTTGGACCAAATTTTCAGCAAAAAATTGTTTTTATCAAAATGAATACCGTATAATATCATAATAAACAAATGGCACATTTCTTTTACAAACATGCCTTAGTTTGTGCAGTAAAATACAACGACTATTTATTTGGCAAAATGAAATGGGAAAATAAATATTATTCTCAAACGATTTACTAAAACACCTGGCTAACATTGAGCATAAAAAATACTTTTGTGGTAGATTTCATTTCGACAAAAGTCTTAAGCGTTGTAAATCGTTATTGCTGCGATACCGCACAAATACAAAATGAACTATACCAAACATTTAATTTTATTGTTTTTTGTGTTTTACATTACAACAGTCAATTCTATGGATGCTGGGGTAATTATAATTTGTTCGACAATGACCTACGATCAGTTCTAAATCGTTATAATTATTTTTTATATTATTAAAGTTAAGTCATTTTTAAATATTAGTTAAAAGTATAACTATTTAACTAACCGGTTACTATTTGCGAAATCAATGCAATGTGATTTTATGGAAAAAAATGTCAACATTTTTTTTTTTAAATTGTGCTCATACAAAGATATTATCATTGTTGTAAAAATGAAAAAGCTGATGTCCTCTCTTAAAAATAAATAGATTATACTAATTTTCCTGACCTAACCGACCACCCACCAAACTAAAATAAGGGGGGGGGGCAAGTGCCCCTCTCTGACTTCCTTGGTTAGGTTAATTTATTAATGTATCATTATCCATAGGAAATAAAAAAACTTAAAAAATGGTCAGAGACCTTAAAACCAGCAAGAATTTTGGATTCGAGTCTGTTGGTAACTGTACATCCCGAATACTATAAGGTAATTTTTGCATAAATCGCTAGTCAAAAATATAAAAATTAACCGTTTTTTTTCATTTAAAGAATTCTATAAAGGCATCATTGGCAATTACTTATCCGGAAATGACACTTGAAATTAAGAATGAGCTAGTTGAACACTCCAGTGAAAGTAACTGGCCTAAAGGTATATCAACGAAGGAATTACGAGACATTAATAAGGAACATATAGACAATTATAGGTGTAGACTTATTCCGCGAAAAATACAATCAAGACAGTTAGTAATCGTGTTGGCATCAGAAAATGAAAAGCTGATACCTGAAGATATGACTGCTGTTCCAGCATTTATCATGGTTTTCGAGTTTGGAGGATTAATTGTACGAAGTTTTTATGTTATAGTGATTAAAAAGTGTATTTTGTATAAGTTATTATAACATTTCAAGGAAAAACTGTCCAGATTATATCTTCTATATGTATCTAGGTTATTAGCGTTCAAAAAACAGGCAGGTTGCCTAGTATTTTTTTTCCGTTTGCTTATTTAGTACTTACTTATATTGTAATCGTTTTTCAAATTAATTAGCCTATCATTATTTTTAGGCCGTCCAAGAAACAAATTCACCGGAATTAGACGGGTTGGAAATAGATACATCGGGAACAGATGTGTCTAAAATGACAGATCTATCAGATTTGGCAAAGACCCTGAAACCAGCAACAGTTGTGTTCTGGGGTGGAATGCTATCCCAGCTTGACGTAACTATTCTTAAGTATCAGGTAATTTTAACATAAATTGTATTAATCAAAACAATGAAAACTAAACCGTTGTTTTCATATTTTAAAGAATTCCGTACGGGGTGGATTGGTTAATTGGCCACCTGAATTTGTGGATGAACTTGTTAACAAATTGGATGAAAACAGCTGGCCCCCTGGACTCGCGAACGTGCCAAAAAGGAAAGATAATCAGATTTATTTGGACAAATTAAACTGTAGACGTCTTCCGTTTGTAAGATATTATCAGTATGAAGAAGCAGTAATCGTGTTTGCTTCTGATAATCCAACGATGTCTGAAGAATTAACTGATGAGAAAGGATATGTAGTGTTTTTCGGTAAAGGATCTACAATAGATAAAGAAGTCATTGTAATACCTCACACTACATCATAATAATGTTATTTTAGAAAATAAATAGACTTGAAATGAAATCAACCATTTTATTGCGTTATTACGAACATAACACCTACAGTCACTTAAAAGTGTCTGGAATACGATACTTAAATAGTGCTGCCAACATATTTTTTTTAGAGGTTGTATTAACAACCTCTAGTAGTGCAATTTTTATAAAAAAAAATTAAAACAAATGCAATTGATATTTGTTTAACTCGTAACAATGACTAATGTTAGGCAGAGCCACTAAACAGTGGACCGTGGCTTCACATTTCCCTTATACTGGTAACACTGACGTCCGACCATAAGTTTCGAACCCCTAATCTGTTCAGACGTGTGACGTCACGAGATGTCAAGATGATCTGGAAGAGGTATAACTTATTTCAATAGAAAAAAAAATGAAATATATAATAACAATGTTTAAAACTAGTAGCTTAAAAAAAATAGCATAGCAAGCATATCTAAATATAATATACAGGAGATTCCAAAATCACACCTCTCTAAATTTTTTTACCGAAGAGTGAGAAAAAATTACAGTGACTTTAAATATCGTTGTATGATAAAAACCCAAAATGATTTGCAACATCGCCAACAAGTCAGGTGGCCATGAAATTCTAAATGTTTACAGTCTTTTGAACGTGAAAAAAACATTTACATAAACGACTACTATATTTCCATTTATGTAAACAGTGCAAATGGACATCAACAATCACACAGGTGTTTTTCTAAGGTAAAAAAAAAAGTAGTGATATAATATGTATTCAAATTTTAAATGTCTCTACTTTTTCAATTTTAACGAATAATGATATCTTAGAAAACTGGAAAGTAAATCAACCATATTAAAAAGTTAATTTTTTTGTTATTATTATAACTTGTTTGTTATTATGGACATAACATCTACAGTCACCTAAAAGTGTCCGGAATATGTGAGACAATGAAACATTTTAACACATATTTATTTTTTATTCAATGTTTTCAGTTATTTACACATTTTTTTGTGTTGTGTTGGTGGGGTTTTACGTACTACCGGAAATATTTCAAAAGCTTTAGAAAACCGTCTTCCAGAACCGCGGTTGTGATAAAAAAATTATTCATTAGGGCGATTAACCTTAACGTTGGTTGTTTTAATAACGCCATCAATCAATTATTTAGTCACCATAAAAATATGAATAACAATATAATAATTGTCTTAATTCGACACTGCCGTTCGGTGAAATAAAAATAAACTAATACTAAATAACTGTCCTATTTTTTCGTGTAGTGATCGTACATTTTTAACGTTTTTATAAAATGTATATAAAAATACAATGTACATCGTCGGTTTTTTTTATACTTTAGTTTGACCAACCTCACTTAATTCAAACGTTGATATTTATATTAAAAAAAAACTTAATAATTAAAAGTAGACGTTAAAATGCATTAGGATAGTGTTAAAAATTGAATTTATTAAAAGAAATTTCAAAAAGCTAAGGCTCTTTTGATTGGTGTTATACATTTTAAAGTTCAATAAAATTCTGTTTTATCAAAAAAAAATAGCTGATCATGCATATTTTAATATAATATACAGGAGATTCCAAAATCACTCCTCCCTAAATTCTATTATCAAAGAGAAAAAAAATTAAAATGACCTTTAACATCATTGTATGATAAAAACCCAAAATTATTCACAAAATCGATAACAATTCATCAGCTCCGCATCGATGCTAAAATGTAATAAATCATATGAATATGTCACAAAGAATACGTTAAACCAAATTTGCAGTATAAAGGCTTCTTATTAAAATGAATACCGTATAATATCATGTTAAACAAACAGCACATTTTTGCACAAATATGCCTTTGTTTGTGCAGTGAAACACAGTATCAATTCCTTAGACAAAATAAAATAAGACAATAAATATTATTTTACAACAGTTTACTAAAAAATTTGGCTAACGTTGAGCCTATGAAAGTTTTATGTGGTAGATTACATTTCGTCAAAGTTCTTTAAGCGTTGTAAATCTTTACTGCTACGAAACCGCACAATGAATTATACAAAAAATGTAATTTTATTGTTTTTTATGTATAACATTGCAGCAGCCAATTCTATGGATGCTGGGGTAATTATATTTTTTGCAACAATAACTTATGATTAATTCTAAATTATTGTTATTATTTTTATTAGAGTTCAGTTGTTTTTAAATATTAGACAATAGTATAACAGATAAACAAATTGTATATCTACGATGAGTATAGAAGATTTCTGTACTACTGTAACTGAGAGTGATAAAATAATTTTCAAACAAACGCTTCGATCCGAATCTCTGGATAAAAAGATCAAACCAGTACAGTCTAAATTCTAAACTAAGCACAGCAGATAGCCTTTTAGTAATTATTTTCCGACTTTAGTCCTGTACTGTGCACCAAAAAACGAAATTATGAATTCATTTTGGGAGTTATAATCAATAATAGAAACTTGCATGCTTAATGTATAACCATTAAAAGTAGAATATTATATTATGGTGATATTACTGTCTCGTTACTAGCGTTACAAGAACAGGTGGCCTGTATAGTATTTATTTTTTTCGTTTGCTTACTTAATAATTACTCAGTACATTCTCCATAGGATATAAATGAACTTAAAAAATGGACAGATACCTTAACATTAGCAAGAATTTTGGATTCGAGTCTATTGGTACCAATACCTCCCGAATCCTTCCAAAAGGTAATTTTTGCATAAATCGCAATAGTCAAAATATAAAAATTAACCGTTGTTTTCATTTAAAGACTTATATAAAGGAATCATTGGAAGTTAGTAACCCGAAATTGTCAGATGAAATTACGAATCACCTTGTTAAACACGCCAATGAAAGTAACTGGCCTAATGGTATATCGACGAAGAAGTTACGAGACCGTAATAAGGAACATATGAACAAGTACAAGTGTAGACTTATTCCTGATGTAATATATTCAAGACAATTAGTAATCGTGATGGCATCAGACAATGAAACGATGATACCTGAAGATATGACTGCATTTATCATGGTGTTCGAGTTAGGAGGATTAATTGTACGAAGTTTTTATGTTACAACGATTAAAAAGTGTATTATACATAAGTAGTACTTGCTTAGTATTTGTTTTCAATATTAATTAGCCTATCACTATTTTTAGGCCGTCCAAGAAACAAATTCACCGGAATTAGACGGGTTGGAAATAGATATATCGGGAACAGATGTGTCTAAAATGACACATCTGTCAGATCTGGCAAAGACCCTGAAACCAGCAACAGTTGTGTTTTGGCATGGAGTGCGATCTCCGCTGTACGGGCCTCTTGTTGAATATCAAGTGATTTTCGCTTAAAATGTATTTATTAAAACTATGAAAATTATACCGTTGATTTCATATTTTAAAGAATTCCGTACGGAAAGGATTGGTTAATTGGCCACCTGAATTTGTGGATGAACTTGTTAAAAAATTGCATGAAAGAAGCTGGCCTCCTGGACTCGCGGACGGGCCAACAAGGGACGAAAATAAGATTTGGTTGGGCAAATTAAACTGTAGGCGACTTCCGTTTATAAGAAAGTATCAACAAGAAGAAGCAGTAATCGTGTTCGCTTCTGATAATCCAACGATGCCTGAACAATTTATTGATAAGAAAGCATTTGTAATGTTTTTCTCTAAAGGATCTACAATAGATAAAGAAGTTATTGTAATACCTCGCCCTTCTTTTGCCAGCTGTAATATATTATAATATGTATTCAATAGTATCTACTTTATCAGTTTTACGAATAATGTTATCTCAGAAAATAAATAGACTGGAAAGTAATCACCCATTTTAAAAAGTGTAATTTTAAAAAAAAAATTTATTTTAATTTGTGCATTGTTATGGACATAACACCTACAGTCACTTAAAAGTGTCTGGAATATAATACTTAACTAGTGCTGCCAACATACTTCTTTTAGAAGTTGTATTAACAATTGAGTAGCGCAATTTTTATAAAAAAATATTAAAACAAATGCTATTGATATTTGATTAACTCGCAACAATGCCTAATGTGAGCCAAAGTCAAAGTATAGTTAAATTAAATGTGAAAAATCATTACTACATAACATGTAAAGTAGCCAAAGAACTCGAATCTTCTTAAAGAATTGAAATTGAACCATCTTATGTAGTCGAAATTTTGTCTGGTTTTTTTTGGTCTAAAATAAACGAAATGGCTTTTATTTGTAAAAAAAAGTATTTTAATTAAATGTAACACTTTGAAGCTTATACGAATTAACCCGTAAATTAATTAATTGACATGGTCGACTTTTAGTAAAACCTATTTTTTCTCAAATAATGTCTTTACACAAATTTGGTAAAAAATAAATATTATAACAATTTCCAGAATATTTGTCCAATTGTTTGTAATGCATTAGCAATATTTGCGATTTTAGTGTTTATTAGCAAACGTTATACCATTTAATTTATATTTTTGTATTGACTTCTCCAATTGCTTTTGGTCAGACTTAATTGTTCTTAAATATAGCCTAAACAAAACTCCTTAAAAACAGACCCCATGCAATCCCCATGACAATAGTGTTCTGTTTTTGCCAGCTGCTAAAAAAATTGCCTATGCTTGCGCCTTTTAATCCAACGTTATTTCATGTATTTTTTAGTATTTATTGTAAAAAAACAATATTATTACACGATTAATTATTATTATTATTATTAGTTAGTTATTTAGGCATTCTTTGGGATCATTTAATTTATTTAACATTTTGTCCGACGTTATTATTTAAAATTAAAGAAATGTTCAATTTTTGTAAAATTATTACCAAATAGTTTTTTTATCTAATATATAACATGTCAAATACAAAAATGTCGTTCTAATATCCCGCATGTAAGTAAAGTGTTTTGAAATGCTTTTAGATTTGTTAAATGTAAAATAATTACTTCTCACGGGATTTCCAAAGCAGATTTCGGGTCCGACGGTGTTTCAACAGTTGGCAATATTGACTTGGTATATCATAATAATTGT